CCACATGTTGGTAAAATGTCCCCTGGGAATCAGAGTTGTCCCTGCTTGAGAACCACTGCCATATAATATAAACTGTATTTAGAGAAAATGGGTTCAGGAGGAAAGACTCAAGACTGGCACATGATTAACATTCCCTTCGGATCTTTGAGGATATTATCTAGCTCAGAGCTATCCAAAAGAAATATAATGTAACCACATATGTGATTTAAAATTTTCTCATAGCCACAGTAAAAAGTAAAAGTAAATAAGTAAAATTAATTTTAATAATATATTTTATTTAACCCAGTATATCCAAAATGTCATTTCAACATGTAATCAACATGAAATTAATAGGTTATTTTACATTTTTTTTTGTACTAAGTCATTGAAATTCAGTGTGTGTTTTGACTACATCTAGCCATATATTTTAAAGTGCTCAATAGCCATGCGTGGCTAATGGCTACCATATTGGGTAGGGCAGAGCTAAATCATCTTGGTCTCTAGATCTAGATAGGGTGCACATTACCACATAATACTTCTCTTCACCCATTTATGCCAAGAAACTGCCCTGATTCATTTACTTGAGCAAATTAGATGCTACACCATAGTTAACTATACAAATCCTCTCCCAAGGTATATAAAAACTGCTTTCTTGATCCAGTATGACTTACATTCTTCAGTCTCCATTTTGAATGATAATCAGCCCTCTGTTGTCTTGAAGATGGTTGATATCTACATATTCCTTGAACATTATCATTATTTACCCTACAACCAGAGTGATTTTTCCCTGAGTGGCTCTTTGCCAAAACCTTCGTGGTAGGTAAGACCAAAGAACAAAGGAAGACCCGTTAAGGATATTAACAAATGGGAGAGTTAGATTTTTAAATGGGCAGTAATTCAAAAAGGAAATCCTTTTTGGAGCTCCTCTGCTCATTTTAATTCAATAGAATAATCTGTCTAATAAGGTCAAAATTTTTATCACTTAATGATTTTAGATATTTTAATTGAGAAATTGCTTTTAGAGGGATGGGTTTCCTAAGCATGCATTTTTGAGACTGATCTAGAGAATTGTTAAGGGTTAAACAAATAGCTTAAAATTTTTTTCTTTAATTTTTTGAAGACTTAAAAAAATTTTTTTTTTTTTAAATTTTTTTTTTTTTTTAATGTTTTTTTATTTATTTCTAAGAGAGAGAGAGACAGCATGAGCAGGGGAGGGTCCAGAGAGAGGAAGTCACAGACTCTGAAACAGGCTCCAGGCTCCGAGCTGGCAGTCAGCACAGAGCCCGATGCGGGGCTCGAACCCACGAACCGCGAGATCATGACCTAAGCGAAGGTCAGACGCCTAACCGACTAAGCCACCCAGGCGCCCCTGAAGACTTTCTTTTTATGCAATCTCTACACTCAGTGTAGGGCTCAGACCTATAACCCTGAAATCAAGAGTTGCACTCTCTACCAACTAACGACTAGGCCGGCCAGGCACACCCTTACGGGTTAACTTTTAATAAATGAAGGAGAATAAAAGGAACAATGAACATAGTAGCCAAGTTGACATTCACTTTGATAAAAAGCTTTAGCATAATTTTGTTCTCCCCTGCCTACTGTAGCCATATAAAAATTGTATTAGAGGGGCTCCTGCATGGCTCTGTTAAGCTTCTGACTCTTGATCTCCACTCAGGTCTTGATCTCAGGGTTGTGAGTTCAAGCCCCGTGTTGGGCTCCATGCTGGGGTGTGAAGCCTACTTAAAAAAATTGTATTAGTAATTATAGGGAGAGTCCAGGCGAGTGCCCTGCTTCCTAAAATTCACCCCATTTGCCTCCTCTGAAGCGCCCTAGCTGATTTAGTCAGGAATTCTTAATTTGGGGGGTATCATGATCTGGATTGACAGTTTGGTGAATGAAGCCTGTGAACCCCTTCTTAGAATATTGTTTTTAGAAGCACCTGGGTGGCTTAGTCGGTTAAGCATCTGACTTTGGCTCAGGTCATGATCTCATGGTTCGTGGGTTCGAGCCTCGCGTCAGGCTCTGTGCTGACAGCTAGCTCAGAGCCTGGAGCCTGTTTCAGATTCTGTGTCTCCCTCTCTCCCTGACCCTCCCCTGCTCATGCTGTCTCTTTCTCAGGAAAAAAAAAGATGAATATTGTTTTTAAATTAGTAAAGTAAAATACATGGGATTATGAAGGAAACCAGTTATTTTGAAATAACTGTCTTTCTGAGAAGACAATTCTCAGAAATAGTCTTAAAATATTTGATAATGTAATATGGGTGCTTTTTAATTAATGCATTAGGTAACATGTTCTAGTGGTGGGTCTCGTGACTACCATAGTTTCAAAGTAGTGATGAGTATAAAGGATATTTTGATATATGTGATAAGAAAATATGTGCAATTTTCTATTATGAGTTAGGAATGCTAAATTTCAGAGTTTCGTGAGAATAAAGATATTCTTTTTTTCCTATTTGTGTTCACAGTTATCAAACTCTCTGAGCTGCTGCTGATAGGTGGGAAATTCTTTCAGCCATCTTCAGTTCTTTTTCAGACCCCAGCTTTTAATTTGGAAAAAAGAAATAGCGCAATAGCTCAAGGGGGAACAGGGCAGTGTGGAAGGGAGCAAGGGTAGGGGGTATGCAGCACAGAGGAACAAGAGCTAGAGGACAAATAAGGCAAGTCAAGACTGTGGAGCACAATTCTGACAGAAGGGGAGTTGCCTTTTAAAATATTAAGTGATCCTGACCAGCACAAAACCTGATGGAGTTTTAAAATCTTTCTCTCAGCTCAGATGTGAGCAAACTTGCCTTCTGAGAGTAGAAAAAGGAATTCTGCTTGAAAATCATTCTTCTAGATTCTAGAACATTGTGCAAAAATTTCAAGCTATGTATATGAAATTTCTGTGAAGTACTTATTATAAACATCTTTTTTGAAAGATTGTTAGAACGTTACCACTATCTTTTGAAATTCTATACCTCTGCCTAATCCACCACTCTTCTCTAAAATGCTGGGTTTTGGGGCACCTGGGTGGCTCAGTCATTAAGTGTCTGACACTTGGCTTTGGCTCAGATCATTATCTTACGGTTCATGGGTTCGAGACCCGCCTGGGGCCCTGCGCTGGGGCTCTCTCTCCCTCTCTGTCTACCCCTCCCCTAGTCATGCTCTGTCCTCCCCCCTCTCTCTCTGGCCCTCTCAAAATAAATAACTAAACATTTTAAGTAAATAAATAAAATGATGGTTTTTGTTCATTGTAGACCGGGTTCTGCTCACTTCCTTTTACTGAATACCTGGTAAACCCAGAACCTCAACAGTGACTTATTTAACCTTACAGATATCATACCCCTAGTTAATAGACTATTCTCTCCTTTCTTCACCCCCAACCTCACCCTGTTTTCCTTAGGGAAAAATCTGTGAAGGAAACAATTGATGCCTAGGGTTAACCAACAACAGAGAAAACTAAAGTTGTTAGCTAAATTCTCCCATGCTTTTATTCAGTTTTACCCTGATCTATCTGAAACCACTCGGGCAGGCTTTTGACGGTTTCATTTTGGTTCTTTATACTTTTAGGTGAAAAGTCACTTTTACCTCCAGGCCTGTAAGCCTAGCTGGAAGGATTTTATGCTGTAAGATAGCTTTAGTTGTGATAGGGCTCAGAGCAAATTTGGGGGAAGATACTTTCAGTTAAAATAACGGAACTTAAGTTGAGGTTCAGTGTCACTTTCTCAACTGGATAGGAGCAGGGGTGGATGAGGCTGACTCCTGTCTGGTCCGTGGTCAAGTGCCAAGAAGCGCCGTGGAAAAAGAGCTAAAGTGTTTGGTAGGAAGTGTGTATATATCTAACAAGGAAAGTAAAAAGAGGGGACTAACCAGTCATTATTTTTAGAAACAAAAAGACAAATAGAACCATGTTTCAGAGCCTGGCTGGTGAGGGAGCTGTGGGAGACCACAGCATCCAAGCTGTTACTGTGTTGCAGGCATGTTTTAATGAAGCAACCAGCCCAGCCAGCCTCAGAGGGAATTTTGAGGGTATCATTCTTTTGAATTACTGCTGTTCATCTGTTCTCTTTACCTCCCCCGCTCTAAAGAAGGGGTGGAAGCATAAATTATTGTCTCACATGGCATAAACTGAGGCATACCTAGCCTCACCTTTTCATTGTCCTTTCACCCAAACCCCTAAATAAAGAAAATCTCTATACCATCTCCTCTCCCCTTCCCGCATCCTGCCTACAGGCTTCTCCCACCCCTCACAAAAATTTTTTGCCTGCATCTTTATTCTGTCATTATATAGCCAGCAGCATTGCACTGGCCCCTTTATGGCTGACGGAGCCCAGGCGGGCTGCCCGACGAGGGGAGACAGCATTTGGCCGATGGGGCTGGTGTGTGCCATTACTGCTGGCCATTGGGCCTCTGTCCTCTACAGCCCCATCCTGGCTCATTAAAACGCTGAGCCAAATAGCTGGGCAGGCGCCTACTGCAGCACTGTGGGGGCCAGGAAGTTAAATGGTTCTCCTAATCCTGCATAATTTATCTCCCTGTTAGCCCCCTTGTAAATAGTCCAATTCAGCCCCACCATGGAGAGCTTCACTCTGAATTTCCTATTTTTGTGATGACCAACGAGTGTCCGGCCTTTCCCTTCTTCTCTCTTTATTATTATTATTAAAAATTATTTTCCCCTTGTTCGCTAAGAGCCTTGCCTAAATGTTCCTTTATTTGGAGCCTCCTGCCTAGACCCCACTTCACCAGCAGTCTGTCTACTTCTCTCGTTTGGACCTGATATTACAGAGCAGTTGCTGCCGTAGTCTTCCTCTTCTCTTCTCCTCCCAGCTTCCTAGTGCCTCTTTTTCTCCTTCCCCATTTTCTTCTTACGTCCAGCTCCTCGCATTGTCCATCACCTCCAAGTACTTCTCCTTCCTTCCTGTTCCCTCTCCAGTCCCCCTGTCTCAGGACTACCCTCAGTGTCGGGTGTTTAGTAGGACATTGTAAAAGGGCACCAAAGCGCTTATTTTTTTTTTCACATCTCTGTTTCTGTTTCGTTTCAGAGATTTACAAACGAGGACCACCTGGCGGTTCATAAACACAAGCATGAGATGACATTGAAATTTGGCCCAGCCCGAACTGACTCAGTCATCATTGCAGGTATTTGCTGCCCCAGAAGCCACGTGCCTTGGTATCACCAGACAGTTAAGATTAATACCAGGGACCAGATGTACGGGGAGCTATACTCCCCTTTTCCCATTAAGAGCTCTGATGTGATCTGCATTTAATCAGGAAAAAGGAACACTAAAAGCTCCCAAGTTTCTATTGTGCCCTCCGTTCTGTTTTTAATACAAGATTGGGTTCTGCGGTTTTTGAGGGTAGTGTTGAGGTTTTGTCTTGTCTTTTTTCAGTCTATCTCCTCCTTGCCTTCTTTTTATTAAGACTTTGGAAGATTTACAGACAAAAGATGACTTTGACATTTCTCCCTACCCACGGCAAACGGGTGAACAAAAGAAAGCAAGAAAGCTGACCCAGCCTGGCTGTTTCCCTTCCACTGGGTGTCAGTTTCTCCCAAGCAGGCTGATTGTCAGTTTGTAAATTCAACTTGCCTCGTGAACCCAGACAGTGTTGAGGTTTCCAACACTCAGACAAGACATGTAGTCAGTGGGACTCTTCTAAGCCAGTTGGGGTGACCTGGAACCTCTCACTGATTGTTTTAGATACTGGCTTTCTTATGTATGCCATTCTCAAGGGAGTATCCTTAGCAACTATTCTCAAATCGGGGAGCAGTTCTCTTGTGTCATTTTCAACTAGACAGAAATACAAACCAAAGTGGGCCTTTTCTTTTGATAGTTCGAGGGGCCTGATTTAGCCTGGGGTAGGCAAATTTGTCGCAGTATTTAACCAACACGGTATTTCGTTGGTGGTTATTACGTACATTAATAATCCAGATAAGATACAGTTTCTCTAAGTATTACTGGCCAAAATGCAACCCAGAATACAGTGAAGTATAAAGAGAGAACCTCTTTCTCCATACTTCTATGTGTGAAGAAAGGAACTTGCCATTACAGATCTCCTATTCCTTGTTAATTCAGCAGATATTTACTGAATAGCTGTGTCCACCAGCCACTTTGCTAGGAGCTTGTAGATTGTAATTCCTGGAAAAGGGCATGAGTGGGGACATTGTCATTGATGATCCTTAAGAAAGCCTGGGGGAAGGGATGCCTGGGTGGCTTAGTTGGTTGATTATCCAACTCTTAATTTCAACTCAGGTCATGATCTCACAGTTTGTGCGATCGAGCCCCTCCTTAGGCTCTGTGTTGACAGTGTGGGGCCTGCTCTCTCTCTCCCTTTCTGTCTGCCCCTCCCACACTCACTCACGCACACATGCATGCAGGCACACAGTTTCTCAAAATAAACTTAAAAAAAAATCTTCCTATTTTCTTTTGTTTTCTTTGTCTTTTTTTTAAATTTTTAATTTTTAATTTATTTTTGAGAGAGAGAGATAGTGAGACAAAGTGCGAGTAGGGGAGGAACAGAGAGAGAGGGAGACACAGAATCCAAAGCAGGCTCCAGGTTCTGAGCTGTCAACACAGAGCCCAAGGGAGCGGGGCTCAAATCCACAAACCCCGGATCATGACCTGAGCTGAAGTCAAATGCTTAACTCACTGAGCCACCCAGGCACCCATCCTATTTTACTTTGAGGCTATTTATATTTGGATTTTCAGGCTTTCTGTAACCTAGCCTGATGGTAACTACCTACTCAACTTTGTTTTTTGTTTGTTTATAAAAGATTTGATTTGGTTTGATTTTTTTAAACTAATGCTAATGGCCCTCTGTCACTTGTAGATTTCTTTTTTGTTTATGTTTATTTATTTATTTTGAGAGAGAGTGAGTAGGGGAAGGAGAGAGGCGGGGGCAGGGGGGTGTGTGGGAGAGAATCCTAAGCAGGCCCCACATTGTCAGCGCAGAGCCTAAGGAGGGGCTTGATCCCACGAACCGTGAGATCATGACCTGAGCTGAAATCAAGAGTCGGACAATCAACTGACTGAACCACCCCGGTGCCCCTTAAAAGATTTTAAGTAATCTCTGCACCCATGTGGGGCTCAAACTCATAACCCCGAGATCAAGAGTTGCATGCTTCACCAATTGAGCCAAGTAGGTATCCCTACCTACTCAACCTTGTATATAATTTATATACCTGAATTGATTATCTTTTTTAAATTATCATTTTATTTTAAGTAGGCTCCACACCCAATGTAGGGCTTGAACTCACAACCCTGAGATTAAAAGTCACATGCTCTACCAGCTGAGCCACCCAGGCTCCCCCTGACTTGATTATCTTTACCCTGGACGTACCTTTTTCTCCTCATCTATATATACATGGTGCCCATACCCTTCCTGTCTCTATGCCTTCACCTGCTTTACTCCTCTTACCCCCCCAAATCTTCTTTCTTTTGGTGAAAACCATTCTTTAAGGCCCATCTCAAGTCCTACTTCTTGAAACCTCCTAACTATTCTGTTATTTATTTGTCATTATTTAATTACTACAATAATTTTATTCTCCACTGCACATGGCACCTATTTTTTTATGTACTATGATGCTATCTATGTATATTTATTTCCTCAACTAGAAAACATTCTCTTTGTTCTCTAGGGCAAGAGCCATGTCTTAGATTTGGGCAGAACTCCTATACTCCTTTCCTCTCCTCCTCCAGATTTACCCAGAAGCATATGCACGTACCATCAAGACACATAGAAAGTACTCAATAAACACTTGTTGATTTCTTCAGAATCGTCAGAGAAGGCAAAGGGTTTTCTTATATATTTTCAGGCTATTTGCTTGTTTGCTCAGGAATGGGAGAAGTTTGTATGAGTTTCAGGTCAGAGAACCAAAAGGCCCTCTTCTCCCATCACTGTGCCCTTAGCTGCCCCATCCTGTTTCACTTGAGTTGTGATTTTTTGGGTGCCCTTACTGAAGTACTCTTGAGCATAAAGGATGATATTACCTCCACTCACCCGGGGATGGAGGGAAAGTGGCTTCATCATTGGCCAACCAAAGCTGCCAGAGAACCTTTTAAAACTATTTTGGGAGGTAGTGGTAACTTTTCCAAACACTCTGATTCAGAAGAGGTTTTGTTTAAATTGAAGAAAAAAAATTACGCTCTTTCCATGGAAAATCCCAGTGGACTGTTTCCAATCGATCATGCTAGAAGGAGTGATTTTAATCCCTGGCCTCACTCCTTAAAACGTCATTTAAACATTGTTCTATATCTGTCATTCAGTTTAGTGGTTTGGGGTATAAAATGAATCCCTGAGGTCACTGGCACGTCAAAGGAAACCATCATAATAGAACTTGAGATCAGGGATTCATTTGACCTACAGGAGAAAAACCAGAAAAGCAGAATGGGGAGAGAGAAGCACAAATCTAAAATTCAGGTTGCTTGAAAAGTTCCCATGGGTTACGGATCTTGCCTTCCTCTTCCCAAGGGCAGAGGCACTGTTGAAAGATTTGTGCAGCCCCTGAGAGGATATTTTGGCTGGCAAATCTAAATCCAAATATCCTGGTTTCCGGAATTTGCTGTGGGCCCAGGTCTCTGTGAAATGAGCTCTATTGTTTGCAGTTTCCTTTTCTAGCTCCTGATCTTGCTGTCTTGTTCCCCAGCCCCTAGATTTGCGCGGAATACCTTCAAAAGGTAGCAGACCTTACCTCAGTGAGCACTGAAAAGACAAGGCACCATTTCTTACTTGGTAGCTTTAGCAAGCCAACTCTGCCATCTGACCCTCAGTTTCTTCTCCTCATCAGATTTTAACGTCCATCTGCTTGCTTATACTTTCTCACTTCAGACATAGCAGGGAGTAAGTTTAAAGAGAAGATGTCGCTTAACTGTCCTTGGTGTTCAAGTCTGGAGGTACCACAAACTCCGCTGGGTGGGTGTTTTGTTTTGTTGGGGGGTGAGGGAGGTGAAACCAGCCTCTGGGAGAAAGGGGGTTACGTGGATAGTCACACAACAAAACCTCGTTCTGTCTTCCCTCTGCCGGCCTTGAGGCGGCACAGCACAGACACCCTCTGGTGGCCTAACACTGGCCTTCCCCTGCTCAAGCTCTATAACAGCAACACAGAGACTCTCTCCAAACACAAGAATAAAAATGTGTTCTCTGTATACTCTCAAGTTTTCATTTCAGGTCAAAACTAAAATAAAGTCTCCTTTTTTTTTTTTCTCACATCTACAGATCAAACTCCTACACCGACTAGATTCCTGAAGAATTGTGAGGAGGTGGGGCTCTTCAATGAATTAGCTAGCTCCTTTGAACATGAATTCAAGAAAGCTGCAGATGAGGATGAAAAAAAGGCAAGAGGCGGGACTTTTGCTGAAAAACGGGCAGTGTTCAGATGGAGGCTGTTTTCATTGTGTCCTGGGATAATTTGCTTAACCGGTTAAAGCACAAAATTATGGGCTTCATTCTTTAGACCCAGATAGTACCCACTGATCCTAGCCAGCCTTCCACGACTTTAGGGGGTCCAGATGAATGGTCCGCACAACGCTGTCTTTACCAGAAAGTATCTTCTTGCCCATTCAGTGCAGCATCCATCCAGTAATCTATTTTGAAAAAATTATTTCTCTTCTGACTATGTTGAGGATGTTAAAAGGTTTTAAATTACTCAGATCCTATGAGAGAACATTTTTGGGGGTCAAAGCTCTTGCTCTTCTTACCTGAACTGTTTTCAGTCAGCCAATGAACAAACATTGACACTTTTTTGTTTCAGTGTATTTAGCTTTTACCTTCAGGTAGCTTACTAGTAACATTCAAGACATTAAACATAAAGAAGGATATTATGTCACTTTAGGAGCCTGCAAAGAAACCAAGGAAGTTTTGCTTAGAAAAGAGGAGATCAACGTGAACCAAATTGTAGTCTTCAAATATGTGAAGAGCTTTCATGTAAACGAGGGGTTCAACTTCTGTGTGGCCCAGAGATAGGACTAGGACCAGCAGATGGAAGCTATCACAAAGTATGTCCACCTTTATGTAGGCCACTTAGTGTAGATACTGTAGAGAGGATTAAAGTGTTGGAATCCCTTTGTATTCTGAGCGCTTTCCTTCTAAGAAGAAAAGCAGGTAAATCAAGGAGCTGTGCACGATTTTTTTCACCCAGCTTAAATTGTACTTGTAAGAATTAACACTGGAGGTTTTTCCGAGTTCCATAGCTTCCTATAAGAAGCTTTTCCTGCTCTCTCTCTCAAACTGAAGGAAAGAGGGAAATCCAATGGCATGTGTTTGTAATTCTGCTTTCAAATGGCTGGACTAGTCAAGAGTCTGCTCGTCATTATTTTTCCTCACAGACCCCAGTCTGTCATCTCTCAGTTGCTTCAATCTATGTGGTATACTTTTATTTTATAGCTTCCCTACTTTATCTGCCCTCTCCCCCATCATTTCTCCTTCCCCAATGACAAGGAAATCAAATTGTTTTTTCTAGGATATGAGGGATTTAAGAGCAAACTCATTATATGCAAAGCCAAGAAAACTAACCTCCCTTTACAAGCTTGAAGGCTTTTCCACTGGTATTTTAACTCAGTTGGCACTTCTGGGAGACCATTCATAGTTGGTCAGGCCTTCACTCGTTGGGCATCTCTGTATTTCTTTTTGCCTATACAGGAGTGGTCTTTACCTCCGCTTGATGAGAAGAACAGACTCCGTAGAATACCGTGTCTGGGAATGTTGTTGATGAGTCTAAAACTTTACTGAACCACAACTTTTCTAGGAGATGCCTCTAAGGGATTTTAAACCTGTGGTTGTATTTACTTAGAGGCCTCTCCTTCCCTCTACCCTCTGACTTTTCAGGGATCCTAGAATTCGTTGAATTGGGCCTGACATCTTTGCATTGTAGGCAAAAATGAGGGCAGAAATGAAAGCATCTTTGCTATTGCTCACCCCCATCGGATTGGAGAGAGAGAACCATCACCACCTTCTCTAATGGAGTAACACCCAGATTATCTTTAGTGTGCTCAACTACCAAGATTTCTAGGGATTCAGGTAGAAAAGGAAGAGTTAGAAACAAGCTCCTCTTTCTCTGGGAAGCCTAAGGTCCGGAAAGAATAGAACAAAGGATCTACTTTGTCATGAGACTGAACTGCAGTGCCAGCCCTCCTGTCGTGGTGCAGTGTTGAGCCGTCATCTCAGATGGTTTATGGGTCCTGCAAAGCCATTTACAGCTTCACAGTTTTGTGAAGTGATTCACCGTGGCCAGAAAAGTACTCTCTTTCCTTTCTGGTTTTCTCTAGTCCTGCTTCTAGAACCAAGTTCTAATTTCTTTCACTGATCAGATGACCAGTCTTTCCTTTCTTTAATACTCCCAACCCTAGCTTCCTAACTTCTAGCCTCTACCACCAGATTTTGGGATGAGATCACATCACCATCAAGCATGGGAAGTTCCCTAGACAAGATCTTCCCTATCATGTTTGCAGTACTTAAAAAAAAAAATTAATGTTTATGTATCTACTTTTGAGAGAGAGAGAGAAATCAGGGGAGGGGCAGAGAGAGAGGGAGACACAGAATCTGATACAGGCTCCAGGCTCTGGAGCTGTCAGCACAGAGCCTGACATGGGGCTCGAACCCACAAGCAGCAAGATCATGACCTGAGCCAAAGTTGGACGCTTTACTGACTGAGCCACCCAGGCGCCCCTCATGTTTGCAGTACTTTAATAGCTAACTTGTCTTTCTTTTTTTTTTTTTTTAACATATATTCATTTTTAAGAGAGAGACAGAGCATGAGTGGGAGAGGGGCAGAGAGAGGGAGACCTAGAATCTGAAGCAGGCTCCAGGCTCTGAGGTATCAGCATAGAGCCTGACGTGGGGCTCAAACTCACGGACCATGACCTGAGCTGAAGTGAGATGCTTAACCAACTAAACCACCCAGGTGCCCCTGTCTTTGTTTGCTTTTGATACTTGGATAATCTAGTTCTTGTGGTTGGCAGAAAAAGTGCTCACAGTTCTTCAGGAGCCAACAGAGCTGGTTGGAAATAGGCAAGCACTGGATTCAGGAATCATTTTACTTTTCTGAAAAATAATACAATTATGGTATTTGCGTGGATTTAAGAGTCATCTCCTCCCCCCCACCCCCCACCCCCCACTGCAGGGTCTTTATAAGCATTATAAGTATTTTTTATACCTTTCAGAATCTTTATAAGTATTCACCCATTATGAAGCAGGTATTATTTCTATTTTACAGTTAGAAAAACAGGTTCTGAGAAGTTAAAATGATGTGCCCAGAGTTGTACATAAAATCTAGGTTCTATATTTCTTTGACTTGCAATTCAGTTCTTTGACCAAAAGCTAAACTTAGAAGTATATTTCCTTAGGGCACCTGGCCAGCTCAGTCTGTGGGACATGCAGCTCTTGATCTCAGAGTCATGAGTTCAAGCCCCATGTTGGGTGTGGACCTTACTTAAAAATAATAAAGTATATTTCTTCATCTTTTAACTAGAAAGATTTGGATTCAGCCTGAAGGGAATCATTGAGTTGAACTATGCTCATTTCTCTCTTTTAACAGGCTGCTGGTGGGCCCCTTGACATGTCCTTGCCTTCCACACCAGACATCAAAATCAAAGAAGAAGAGCCAGTGGAGGTAGACTCATCGCCACCTGATAGCCCTGCTTCCAGTCCCTGCTCCCCACCACTCAAGGAAAAGGTAAATTCACTACCAAGAACTATGCCAAATGTTAATTGGTAGGTAGCTTAAGCTTTTATTCATTAGTTGTGTAAATAATAGGTGATACAGGATTGATTATAGTTAAATAAATCTTCATTGTTTAGAAGACTTACATAAATGACACCTCTTCTCTGGCCAAGCAGTTCCACTTCTGAATCTATAAGGAAGTGAAATTAGTGTGTATGTCCACTATAGAGCAGTATTTAAGAATGTTCATGGGGCGCCTGGGTGGCTTAGTCGGTTAAGCGTCCGACTTTCGCTTAGGTCATGATCTTGCGGTTCGTGGGTTCGGGCCCTGCGTCGGGCTCTGTGCTGACTGCCAGCTCAGAGCCTGGAGCCTGTTTCAGTCTGTGACTCCCTCTCTCTCTGACCCTCCCCTGCTCACGCTGTCTCTCTCTCTCTCTCCTAGAAATAAATAAAAAAATAAAAAAAAAAAGAATGTTCATAACAGTTGTACTCATAATAGTCAAAAAACTGAAGTAGTCCAAATGTCCCTCAACAAGAGAATGAATAAATAAATTGTGGTGTATTTCTAAATACCATGTAGCACTGTAAAAGAACAAACCAATGAACTAATAATATAAATAGCAGTGTGGGTGACTCCCACAAATGTTACATTGAACAACAGTAACACAGTTCAGACACAGTTCAGAAGTACATGTATGACTCCATTTACATCAGGTTCAAGAAGAGGCAAAACTATTTGATAACAATAGAACTCAAATGTTTAGCTCTTGCGAGGGAAGGTTTAGATTGGAAAGGGATGCAGGAGCCTCTTCTGGGGTGCTGGAAATGGTCCTTATTTTACATATGTAAAGTCACTTAGTTGTGTCCTTTAGATTAATGCACTTTATGTTGTACTTCAGTTAATAAGTAGAAAAGAAAAATGTATAATTTGTAAGTTAGACATTGAATGATTTAGAAAAAAAATCTTCTTAGGGTGCTTGGGTGGCTCAGTCAGTTGAGCGTCCGACTTCGGCTCAGGTCATGATCTCACGGTTCATGGGTTCGAGCCCCACGTCGCACTCTGTGCTGACAGCTAGCTCAGAGCCTAGAGCCTGTCTTTGGATTCTGTGTCTCCCTCTCTCTCTGACCCTCCCCTGCTCATGCTGTCTCTGTCTCTCTCAAAAATAAATAAAACATTGAAAAAAAAAAGGTTTCTTAGAAGGAAGTCTTCTAGTATCTCAAAGAGAAAATCTATTAGGATTCTGAGTATTATTTTTTTTAATGGAACTTTTTATGAAGTAATATTTTTTATGAATTTATTGAAATAGAGCACACATACAGAAAAGAGCATAAATTGTAAGTATACAGCTCACTGAATTTTCACAAAGTTTGCGGCCTGTGTAACCAGCACCTAGATACTCTCAGAACCTCAGAAGGCCCCTCATGCCTCTTTCCAGGCTCTACTATTCTGCTAGTGGTTATAATTTTAATGTCCAGTGTGGTTAGAGCATCTGTATCTCATTTTACCGCCTTCCAAACTTGGTTTGATAACTTCTCCAAACTACTCCCTCCCTAAGTTACAACCATCCCTCCTCCCTCCCCTTTTCATTAGCAACCAGGTCCTAGACGTTGTGTGGAGATGCTTGAGGGCCAGTGTGGCCACTAGCAGCTAAGACCGTAAGCAAGTTAACAGTGGGAAGCAGTTTGTTTTATCACAACAAGACCATTACGAAAACTTCTGTGGCCCCACCCCTTTTCTTTTTAGTTTTATTTATTTATTTATTTATTTATATTTTATTATTTTGTAATTCTCTTTTCATGGTTGATCTTTTTATTTCCAGTGAACCTGATAATGTATAGTTCTCAATGATTTCTGGCTAATGTTAAGTGGGATATACTAGTAGACAATTTTTTAAATTTTATTTTTTAATGTTTATTTATTTTTGAGAGAGATAGAGAGACAGAGTGCGACCAGGGGAGGAACAGAGAGAGGGAGACACAATCCCAGACAGGTTCCAGGCTCTGAGCTGTCAGCACAGAGCCCGACGCAGGGCTCGAACTCATAAACTGTGAGATCATGACCTGAGCTGAAGTCAGATGCTTAACCAACTGAGCCACCTAGGTGCCCCGTATTTATTTATTTTTAAGTAATCTCTACACCCTGAGATTAAGAGTTGTATGCTTTTCCCACTGAGCCAGCCAGGCATGCCACCACCACCCCCCATAGCCCTTTTTTAAAGGGCTCTCTAGGAGATACTGGTAGCCTTATTGCCATTCTTACACCCTGTCCATTCTCATTAGAAATCAGAGGACACTCAGGCATCAAATTTGGAATGAGAATGGGGCACCTGGGCAGCTCAGTCAGTTAAATGTAAGCGACTGACTTCAGCTCAGGTCATGATCCCGCAGTTTGTGTGAGCCCTGCATTGGGCTCCCTGCTGTCAGTGTGCAGCCTGCTTCAGATCCTGTGTCTCCTCCCTCTCTGCCCCTCCCGTGCTCACGCTCGCTCTCTCTCAAAAATAAACAAACAGGGGCGCCTGGGTGACTCAATCAGTTGAGCGTCTGACTTCAGCTCAGGTCATGATCTAATGGTTCGTGGGTTTGGGCCCCATGTCGGGCTCTATGCTGATAGCTAGCTCAGAGTCTGGAGCCTGTCTTTGGATTCTGTGTCTCCCTCTCTCTGACCCTCCCCTGCTCATGCTGTCTCTCTCTCTCTCTCAAAAATAAATAAAACATTAAAAAAATAATAATAATAAATAAATAAACAGTAAAAAAATTTTGGAATGGGAATATAAAGACTGAAATTCTGACAGTCCTTGGAACTTATATGGCACTATAGTGCTTCTACAAAGATTCCAGGTGATTCTCCAGCTGTCCTCTCATCCGTATAGCAGTCATCTCTGAAAGGAAGATAGCCAAAGGTCTTCACTCCGCATTCCTGTTGCATGGGTGAGTGAGGTATGGGTCCATGATCATGATAGAGTCAGGACATGATTTACATGAGCTACCACAGTGCTCTTTCCAGTAGATTTGTACCACATTTTACCAGCTATACGTTTTCCTATAAGCAACCCTTTGTTTATAGCATTTTGTGATCTGTTGGTCTCTTCTCCCCAGGAGGTGGCCCCAAAGCCTGTTGTGATCTCTACCCCCACACCTACCATCGTGCGCCCTGGCTCCTTGCCTCTCCACTTGGGCTATGATCCACTTCACCCAACCCTTCCCTCCCCAACTTCTGTCATCACACAGGCTCCACCATCCAACAGGCAACTGGGGTAAGTAAAGACAGCAAGGAGAAACAGCGAAGCCTGAATCTTTTTGTACTTGATGGAAAACAGGACTCTTTTTGTATACTCAAGGAAAACAAGTCAGTGAGATTGCCTCTCTGAATAAAATTTCCTGCCATAAACAGAAATCTCCTTTACTTTATTAGTAGACAAACAAGTATTTATTTGGAAATAATGCTTCCTTAATTTGGAGGTTTAATAATTCTTTGATCTAAAAGAACCTTCAAAACTTTAGAAAATTCATCATATTGGTGAAGGCCACACAGGGAAATATATTTGATTATTGGCCTCAACCTGTACAAGTTTTGTGGGGGCATTACTGAATGACAGGCTGAAACCCATTAAGTCTTTTTTTTTTTTTTTTTTTGAGTCTGGTGTTCCCCTCAGTCCGAGTTAGGGTTCTTCGTCTTTGCTACCCCTAATTTTGTTTGTCTGTTTGTCTTCAATCCTGGCATGGTCCATACAGATTTCCTAATGAGAGGACTTGAGCTCCTGTTCCTAGGCACCCCAGGGTTAAGAGGTTGTTGTCTGGATTCAGCCTTTTAAAGCTTATTCACTGGACCTGCTAGGACAAATGCGAAGTGACATCTTTGGAGGCAAGGTAGAGCAATACTTGAAAAAGAACAAGAGAAATTTACTCACATTTAGCTATTATATGACAGAATTCAGCTTTGCAAAATGACAGCTTTGGTCCAGGTCCTGCCTAAGGCAAGACAATTTATACATGCCAGTGGTAGGGATGTTTGTTTAATTGTTCTAAAATCTTAATAGGATTAGCTTCCCACCCATTTGAATTCAGCAATGTTTGCTTAATTTGCAAAGTGTAAAGATCTTAGCATTTCTCTCCATCTATAAGGTAAAGTAAGTAGCACTCCCTACTTTTTCCACCTTTCTGAAGGTGTCAGGATTTTATAATGTTGCCCTATAGCTTCCCTTAACTAGAGAAGACTGGGAAATCTGCTGTAATTATAGGAGGAAGATCCCTAGGCAAAAGGGTCTGTATTATGAGCATTTTACTTCATGTCTCTTCTAGGTCTCCCACTGGCTCCCTCCCTCTCGTCATGCATCTTGCTAATGGACAGACCATGCCTGTGCTGCCAGGGCCTCCGGTACAGATGCCTTCTGTCATATCGGTGAGCTCTGTAGTTGGGGCAGCCAACCCTACCCGCACACTAATCCCTCCCTTCCACCTGAATGCTCATAAACACACGTGAGCCCCAGGGAAACGTGGGCTCTGGTCTGTATTAGTTGAGCGTGGCAGCCTGCCCAGACTCTTCACTAACCTCTGCCAATCCAGTACTGTGGAACACTAGACAAAGCCTCATCTGGACAATTGGCTCCTGGTCTAGGAGTTGGTCTTGCCAGCCTACTGATTGGTTGATTTCACTTGGCACTTAGCACCTCCCAAATTGCCCACCACTTTCCTCAAGATACAGCCCCAGTTTTTCCTATAGAAATTGTCGTAGCACCAAAGGATTAGATTCCCCTCCCTTTGGTGCTCCATGGGGGAAGGTATTTCCCAGGCTGTCCCTGTATGCCATGTGGGCAAGTTGCACAGAACAGGCCCTGACATGCCAATCTCAGAAGCACTTCATTTTGGGAAGCTGTTGCCCTACCACTAGTATTATGTTCCCCTCTGGTTTTTCTTCCTTCTCTTGATCCAGCTGGCCAGACCTGTGTCTATGGTGCCCAACATTCCTGGTATCCCTGGCCCACCAGTGAACAGCGGCGGTTCCATTTCTCCCTCTGGCCACCCTATGCCATCAGAAGCCAAAATGGTGAGTACCTCCCCACTTACGGCAACGTTGGCCCTTTCAAAAGAAATGTTACCAGTCTAGGTCTTTCAAGCGAGCCAACCAAAGAAACCTTATGGGGCTTGCAGAGCTAAAGATACTCTGTTGTGGGGTCTGGAGAAGAAAAGACCCTGATTCATGACTCCTATCTCCTCTCATCCACCTTTAGAACCTGGTACATAGACCATGGCAGTGAAAAGAGGCAGCACAGATTGTTTGGCATGGAATGCTTGCTGTTTCAGTTCCAGGGTGACAGATGGAGGGTGGATGAGTGGGCAGGAGAGCTGGCCAAGAGGTGAATAGCTGCGTAACCAGCACCTGGCCGGGTTCCAGAAGAGAGCTTTCATCTGGACTCTATTACTTCGACAACCCCCACCCTCCAACTGTGCCCAGGATGATAGCCAAGGAACAGAGTAGGCATTTTAGGGATCCAGGTGCACATTCTCCCTGTCATTTTCTTTTAATTTCTCCGTTAAGGGCAAATTGGCATGGAAATTTTAGCTATTTGTAAGATCAGTATTAAAATTTAAGCCCACTCTCTCACCCTTGATAGAATCTCACCCTCAACAAGCTATTTTTTATTATTATTTCTCACAGAGATTAAAAGCCACGCTAACCCACCAAGTCTCCTCAATCAATGGTGGATGTGGAATGGTGGTAGGTACTGCCAGCACCATGGTGACGGCCCGTCCTGAGCAGAGCCAGATCCTCATCCAACACCCTGATGCCCCATCCCCTGCCCAGCCACAGGTCAGTTGGGTATTTGGATGGGGGAGCCTGCTGCGTCACCGTTACTCTGTATGTCATGTCTGTTTTTCAAAGAGCGGAAAAATTACAGAAGAGTGAATTTCAGTTTTCTGGGCATCTTCCTATGCTTTGGTTCTTGTTAAGTTGGACAGTAGCAAAGTGTGCACCATTCTTTACCTCCTTCTGGGTTATACTTAACGTCAGATAACACAGCACCATCACAAAGGAGGTTTCAGTTTTTGTGTTTTGGTCTTTTCTTTCTATAAACATGTGAATAATGTATCTGTAGAGCCCTCTCCAATGTAAAAGAACCTCACTCAAACCACTTTGTGCACCAAAGGAAGCTCCCCTAGTCTCTTTCCCACTTACTAAGTCTTACAAAAACCAGACAAACCAAAATCAAAAAAACAAAAACAGAACAAAAAAAAATGTATCTGATTAGGTTTTATAGCAAAAATTGAGTAATAACAATATATTAGTAAAATGTGATGTCAAGGGTGCCTGGCTGGCTTAGTTGATAGAGTGTGTGACTCTTGATTCTCAAGGTTATGAGTTTGAGCCCCAAGTTGGATATAGAGCATCCTTAAAAAAATTTTTTTAAATACGTAAAATGTGATGTCACAGTGCGAAGGTGGTGCCCAGTAAACAAACAAAACACCTTTTCCTTATCAATTCCTTTTTATCACGGAGAAATGAAAGTCTTAATAAAGCTAGAGCAATCCCATTCATATACCCAGTTCTTTTCTCAAGGAAGCCTCAGTTTTAATTAAGTTTCTTCGAAAACTGAATAGGCCTTAGTTTTCATATTATCTGTGCTGGACAAGTGACAACAACCTGAGATCGGTTTCTTTGCCCAGCCCCTTTTTCCGATGTCCCCACCTGCTTTGTCAGTTACCACCACATGTCCTAACATTTAACGTCCATATGCCACCTTAAAGCTTGGCCAACAACAAAAGCCTTCACTTGAGCTTTCTTGTTGGAAGCTAAGCTCGCCCAACGTCCCATAACGGTGCTAGTCTTTGGAGACGATAAAGCAGCAGCCACCTTGCCCAAGCTGTGCTGCTTTCCCTCTTAAAATGCCATGGTGGTGCTCGGGTGGCTGAGTCGGTTAAGCATCCGACTTCAGCTCAGGTCATGATCTCATGGTCCATGGATTCAAGCCCCACATCAGACTGTGCTGACAGCTCGGAGCCTGGAGCCTGCTTCGGAGTCTGTCTCCCTCTCTCTCCATCCATCTCTCTCTTTCTCTCTCTCTCTCTCTCTCTCTCAAAAATAAATAAAAATAAAAAAAAATTTTTTTTAATTAAAAAACATAAGAAAATGCCATGACTTCTTTTTAGTCACCACCAACTCCTTTCCTTTCTCCTTCGTCTCTTCTTTCTCCTGGCACTCTTTCCCCTTCATTCCCTGCATGAGCTGCGGGTTACTGTGAGAGAATAGGAGCCTGTCATTTCCTTTTCCCCATCCTCCTAGAGCGTCGGTCTTTACGTGTGTTCCACTGAGCTCAGGACAGAGAAGAAATTGAAAATCTCAAGAGAATTAGTGTAAACTTACCTTAGTACAGTGAGAAGTGATGACCCAAGGCTCTGGCTCATTAAATTGAGTTTTAAATTTCCTCTCCATTTTTTTCTTTGGGGAGAGATAATATTAGTGTGAATAAATAAAATTATCTCTTAATCATTAATGGATAACATCATTTAATAAGGCCTGAAATGGAGTATAACATTTCTGGGCTTTTCTGTAAGCTCATGCTTATTCTCATGCAACTGGTGTAAGTTCTGGCATTTGGGAACTACTAATACAGATATTCTCTAATAGTACCAGATCCAGGAAGAATTTATTTTTGGCATTGTTTTACATTATATAGTTTCTTTTATACAGATGGCTGACCTTTCTACATTTTAATTTGGGCTACTTTTATAAAGTTGGTCTATCTTCTCTGAACACATATCAGCTAATAGAAAGGGAAGATGATCCAAAAGTACTTTAGCGACAGAGGACATCAGCCTAAAATTTATAGACAAGAGGCAGTCCTGTGTCACCAGTTTGTAAAGGGTTTAAAGAATAATTTTTTGTTTAAAAGCAAACAGAACCAACAAGGTGGGGAAGGTGATTGCTGAGGATGATTAATAACTGATTATAAATAAGAATACACGAATTCATATCTCTCCATGATAGCCAGTATCTTGCTGGTAGTAAAATCTTTTCTCCTTTTCTGAAATGAATAGTATTTGGTTGTTTGTATATATTGCTTGTCCAAATCATTGATTCTCAGACATTTTTATTGCACAGTCTCCCTAAAAGTTCTCCTGGCAGCCAGTCCCCATTATGATTTCCCTGCCTGTAAGATTTTCTATTGTTACTAAACAAAAAGTGATGCTTGTTTCGTCTTGTCCGTCTCAGAAATAATCAGTTTGCACCTGAGCTGTGGTTTCTCTGAGTGTGGGGCTGAGAAGCCTGGAAGGAAATGGGAGACCGAGTGCGGAACTCCTGCAGAAGAGAAGCTTAGGGGCATGGCAGTGAGACTCACTCTGATTGCAGAGACTAGTGCATCCCTTTACCAGAGCTTTACCACAGCTTGCTAATCCACCTGACGTCAGGTCTCCTTGGGAAAGTGTTGACATTCCCTTCGAGTAACTTCTCTTCCTTCCTGGGCACTAGGTCTCACCAGCCCAGCCCACTCCTAGCACCGGAGGGCGTCGGCGACGCACAGTGGATGAAGATCCTGATGAGCGGCGGCAGCGTTTTCTGGAACGCAACAGGGCTGCCGCCTCCCGCTGCCGTCAAAAGCGGAAGCTCTGGGTGTCCTCCCTAGAGAAGAAGGCAGAGGAACTCACTTCTCAGAACATTCAGCTGAGTGTGAGTGGGTCCTGGATGATTTTTGGGATTGATGAATCTGGAAAGTGGGATTGAATCAGAAAAAAGTGAAACAATGAAAGATGATGATTCTTTAAATTAGGACAGATCCAGAAGATGTGCCAGGAAGAGTGCAGAAAGAGACTCTCTAACAGTCAAAATTAAAATGTCTTCCCTAGGGACTAGAAAAGACATTTACCATCTACTCCCAGACCTGCTGCTGGAGTCTGAATCAACCATAGACCCATTTGGATAAAGGGAATTAGATTAATTGCCCCAGGTTACTTTAGGTCATCAGTAAAATCTGACTGGGGTCGTGGAACACCCAAAGGGAAATGTATTTGCCCCAGATAATACAGCTTAATAAAAAAAAGAAAAAGCGCCACAAGCACAAATAGAAAAATTATAAGCCAGATATTTTCTTGAATATTACTATTCCTTCTTTTGATTACTTACTAATCAAAAAATTTCATTACAAAGGTAGTATATGAATGTATTTATATATTTAACATATGTATACACTTTTGCACACAAAAAGATATAGAACAGAACCAAAGTTCCTCTTCAGCATGCCTTTCCCAGTCTTATTTTTTTCCTGTGGATAAGTTTGGTGTGCACCTACCAGACATGCATGTAGTTCTAATTATTTCTTCACTTATATTTTTTGTGGGGTGGTCAGGAAAGGACTGTGTGTTTGTCTTAAGTGGGTTAATAGTATCTCCTGGAGAACTGGCCAGGTGTATAGAGGATCTACTTCATTTTTTTAAATAGCTGTATAGTAGTACATCCTACAGTGTGGTTATATTATGAAGTATGGATATTTATAGTGTTTCTAATTTTTTGCCAGAACAGCAGTGCTATGGTAAACCTTGCGTGCTCTTGAGTAGGTAGTTGTTAAATAGATTCTTGGAAGTAGGCTTTCTTAGTCAAAGGACATATGCATTATTAATTTTGGTTTGATTCTATCCCCTAAATTGGAGTAATGTTTCTATTATAAATCCCTACTTTTCACTGTAAGCAGCTCCTGTCGTTGAATTCATGACTGTACTGGCCCTGCTGTCTTACGCCTTGCTGGATCAGAGGTCTCCTGGATTCAGGGGAGAAAATCCAGGCAGCATCTGTCCTCACTGTGGGGACAGCCCTGGAGGTTCAAGGGCGGAGGATGAATTTTCTTAATACTTTTTTCTTCCCTCCCTCTTTAGAATGAAGTCACGTTGCTACGCAATGAGGTGGCTCAGTTGAAACAGCTACTGTTAGCTCACAAAGACTGCCCAGTCACTGCACTACAGAAAAAGACCCAAGGCTATTTAGGTGAGTGGCTTACAACCTGAGCAAGGCTGGTCAGGCAGTAAACTGCATGTAATGAGCATCTGAATGGTTTATAATTTTATAACCCCATTGTAAATGTTCTTGATGGGGGGGGAGGAAAACCGAAAAGTGAACAACCTTTCTGGAACAACCAGTCCTACAAAGTAATTTTTTTCAGAATCATAGAGTTATCATACTTGGAGATAAAGGGTAGCAAAATTCATTGGGTGCCTACTTTGTGTTAGGCAGTCTACCATCTGCCCAGTTCTCTCATGAAATAGATCTTGCCCCCATTGATACACAAGAAAATCGAACTCAGAATAGTCACGTACCTGAGGTTACACAGTTGGGGAAGTGGCAGAGCCAAGATTCACATCTAGGTCTTTCTTATACCAAAGACACTATCTTGGCCTCAAGAGAATATGAACAACAGATGAAGCATTGTCAATTGTTAAGCATTGTGATATGGGGGTATATTTTATCTTTGTAATGATGGGCTGATGGTGGATTGAGTCTGTAACCTACATGCACACATAAAATAGTGCTAGAAAGAGATGGTCATAGAGTCATGCTCAGGACAAGCACGGTCCTGAAATTCAAATTACTGTGAATACTTTGCTTGTGGACAGTGAAAGCTGTCCTTTAGAAATTTAATAAATTCATAGAAATTTAGGCTATCAACTTTTGATATATTGAATTATTTTTCCACTGTCTTTATCATTTCGGAGCTGTGTTCCCATAGAAAAAGAGTAACCACATCGCTCATTTAAAGCATCTCTATTTAAATTTTAATTTTAATATGTACTTCAGGATACATTCATTCATTAAGCAGATGTTGATTGAGCCTCTTCTGTGCCAGGCACTGTTTTATATGCTGAGGATATAATAGGAAACCAAATATTAGATTAAAATCCCTGCCTTTGAGGGGCTTATATTTTAGTAGGTGAGACAGACAATAAGCAAGATAAATAGGTACAATATACAGTATGTTAGATAAGAGTACGTGCTTGGAAGAAAAAAAACAGGAAGAGGAATATGAAATGTTGACAGCAGGGTGGAAATTTTCAATGATGTGGCTTTTGAATAAAGACTTTCAAGGAAGTGAGGGAGGGGCACTCCCAGGAAAGGCTCAGTCAGTCAAACATCCAACTTCAGCTCAGGTCATGATTTTGTGGCTTGTGGGTTCAAGTCCCACATCAGGCTCTGTGCTGGCAGCTCAGAGCCTGGAGCCTGCTTCAGATTCTGTGTCTCCCTCTCTCTCTGCCCCTCCCCTTCTCGTACTCTGTCTCTCTCTCCCTCTCTCTCTCAAATAAACATTTTTTAAAAAATTATATTAAAAAAAGAAGTGAGGGAGCTTGCTATGCATTTGTATAAGGGCAAAAAGTGCTGCCAATAGGAGGGACAGCGGTTGCAAAGACACAGAGTTGAAATGTGCCTGGCACATTCTAGGAACATCAGAGAGTTGGTGGAGAGGAGTTGGAGATGAAGTAGGAAAGCTAATGGGAACATTTTTATATAGGGCCTCGTTGGTAATAGTGAGGACCTCAGCTTTTACTCTCTGTTGGGGACCATTTGAGGGTTTTTAGAAGAGGAGTGATGTGACTGATCTGATCTGTTTGAACAGGATCACTCTTTTGGAGAGTGCAGGAGTGCACAGGCAGGAGCAGCCAGTCCATTTAGGAAGCTTTTGCAGTCCTGTGAACAAGAGATGATGGAGCCTTGGACCAAGATGGTGTTAGTGAAAGTTGGGAGGAGGGGGTGAATTCAGGATGTGTTCTGAAGTTAGAGTGACAGGGTTTGATGATGGGCCAGATGGGGTGGTGTATCTGAGAAAAGAATAAAAAATTGCACCAAAAATTTGGGCCTGAGCAACTGCCAGAATGGAGTTGCAGTGAACCGAAGTAGAGGGAAGTGTAGAAAGAAATGGATTAGGAAGCATATCTGGAGCTCAGATTCGGACAGGTTGAGTTTAAGAAGCAGACTGGGGTTGGAGGTGGAGGTGTCAAGTGGAAGCTGGTTATGTGGCCCTGCAGTTCAGGGGAAAGGCTGAAGATACAACTCGGGGAGCCAGCAGCACGTACTTAGTTTTTAAAGCCACAAAATCGGATGAAATGTTAACTGTTATCGAAAGAGCACAGACAGGAAGAGAAAAGTAGTCGCAGGACCGAGCCCTGGGGTACTCCCAACAGTTAGAGGTCAGAGAAAGAAGAAACCAACGGATGAAGCAGAATGAGCCACCAAGAAAGTGAGAGGAAAATGAGCTGAGTAGTGGGTGTGGTGTTCTGGAAACCAGAATAAGAAAGTGGCTCAACAAGTTCAGTGATCAGCTATTTCAAATCTTTTTTGATGGGGTAAGGAAGGCAAGGACTGAGTATTCATCAGTATGAAATCTGTATATAGCAAGTTTTCTACTCCATCCCTGCAAGAACTTTTAAGAGGAAGTCAATCCGTTAAACTATGTATTTCCAAGGCCATGTTTAGTTCCTGCTGTGTGGTGTAGCCATTGTGGTAGGTATTTGACAAAGGACAAATGACACACTGTCTCCACCTCTGAGGGGCTCAGAGCTATGAGGAGGTAAACGTGTCAACCTGTAAATAAGGTAAGCGTTCCCACAGTCCCTCACGTGGGAGCTTCCTGAGGACAGGCCTCTTGGCTTCTTCATTATATACCCCAGTGCCGGCACACAGAGGATGCTTGGTAAAACGATGGACAGACGGAGTAGATGAAATGTGCACTCTGAGAGCCCACGTGATAGAAAGGTTAATTTCATGAGTGCAACAGAGCAGGTTATATTTGAATCCTGAAAGAAGACTCAGACATTCATCAGGAGTGAACGAAAAATACAACCAGCTCTTACTAGCTTGCCCGTATTTATTGCACACATCTCTGTTTAAGCAGCCATAGAGGTTATGTGATGTTTAATAAAACTCGACTGAAGAACAACATGGAGTCACCTTTGTGTGCAGCTCAGCTCTGTGTTTATCGTCACTTTAGGTGACGTGGCATAGCTCATAATACATGTTTGAGGCCGTTAATGCCTAGCTAATTGATATCAGGAGGGTCCAGCAGGCCTCTTTGTAGTTTGTTGCATTAACCGAACCTTGGCCAAGGACTGGTCATAACATCCTCTGAGTGCACCTTGATATTTATCAGGCTCACCTGTGGTGCAACTGCATGCTAAAGGAACATAAAAAAATAATGGAACAATTAAATTCTTGTGGGAATTAATCAGGATAGCTAAAACAAGAGATCTATTTTAAATCACCTTTAAAGACATGAATAAAGGAAAAGTGTTCCAATAGGGGTAATGAACTACACAAAGACCTAGAAGCCAGATGGTGTAATTAACATGTTGAGGTGTCTGCTTTACTAGGATAGAGAGATTAATGTGGGCCTGGTTCTTGCTTCCCTTCTCACAACTTCCCATTTCCCAGCCCCTTTGTGGCTTAGAAGCCAAGACCCTGGGAGGTTTCCCCCCAAAACGATGGGCTTCCTTTTCTTTTGGGCTCCTTTAGGATTGGGGCACAGGTGGTCCTGCTTGTTTGCCCATGCTGTTCTCTAACCACTTACTCTCTGCTCTTTGCCTTCTTCCCTGGCAGAAAGCCCCAAGGAAAGCTCAGAGCCCACGGGTTCTCCAGCCCCTGTGATTCAACACAGCTCGGCAACAGCTCCCAGCAACGGCCTCAGTGTTCGCTCTGCAGCCGAAGCTGTGGCCACCTCAGTCCTCACTCAGATGGCCAGCCAAAGGACAGAACTGAGCATGCCGATACAGTCGCATGTGATCATGACCCCACAGTCCCAGTCTGCGGGCAGATGATGCCTCCCCTGGTGGAGAGGTCCCCAGCCAGAGCTCGCCCGCCCGAGAGCCAAGAGAGATGTCATCTTACCCCTTCCATCTGCCTTGGACGTGGCAGTATTGGGGGAAGATTGTGTGTTGTGAGTAACGGACAGAAGTGGGGCTTTTCTCTTCAGCCACATGGTCATGTACATTGACACCTGTACTAAGAGCCTCCCAGCCCCGGAGCCACATAGATCATCCCCAAAGGGGGCAGTTTCTGATGTACCCACAGCCAAAGGCCTTTCTAGATGGTCCGAACAATCACCCCTGCCTGTGCATGTATACCTGTCTCTTAACACTAACCCTTGCACTTCTAGGTTTTGGGCTTCTCAGTTCCCTCTCTTCCCGTGAAGCCATGGCTGTTAGCTTCCTGTTCTTAGCAGCACGCCACTTCCTGCTAGGTAAAGGGAGGCTAATGTTGATGGCAGGTCACCCGAGGGCCCGCCTCAGCCACCCCATAGGCTCAGGACTTTGTCTCCCTTTAGCTGCTTATCTTATCCCCTTTCCCCTTCCTGAAGTCTAGTTAAAACATTCACTTATGGCGAATGTGAAGTTACCTTTGATACATGAATTAGCAGTATTTTCCAGCTCCTCCATAAACTTTAGTCCTTCTCCCTACCTGCCACCAGAAAAACCTCAAAAACAAAAACAAGCAAAAAGAAAGAAAGAAACCCCAAGAATTCTAGTCCTTTTTCAACTATTTCCAGAGCTATTTGGGTATCTCACTTTGTGTCTTGAGTTTTCCCAGTCTCCAGGAGGGGCCTTTTCCGCCTCCCACTAAGTCTTGGCAAGAACAACTTGTGTGGCCTTATTAGCTCTTGCTTGTTAGTGAAAAGGGAAAGCACCCCGAGTGTGACTGGCTGATTCCTGCCTCCCCAGCCCGCCCTCCTGCAGCTGTCGTTAGGGCAGGCAGGAACTGCATAGTTGAAAGCTCGTTCTGTCAGGTTACTGAACTGATTCTTTATGTTTTACAAGAGTTTACTGGCCAAAGCACACATGTTCCATTTGGTCGTCCGTCACTCCTGTCTCTCCCTCTCTGTCCCCTTGTCTGTGTCCTGCCTCTGTCTTCCTTCTTCAGATGCAGCCTTCCGAAGCTGCTGTGTAGGGCACGCTCACACTCCCTTGCTCTTCTCCCAGCCTCACGTGTCTGTCTGCTTTTCTGGGCTAGAGTCTTCTGTTCACAAGCGCCCCTCACCCTGGATTCCCCCCTTCTGTCTTACACCAGGCTCCTAGGCTAGCCTCTGGTCCCCTCTGCTCTGCAGCATGTCTTCAGCCCTTCCCTGCTCTCTGCCCCCTTGATGCAACGCGTCCCCAAAGGCCCAGCCTCAGGACTCTGAGACATCAGAGCCAGGGTCCTAAGTGGATTTTCTCGAGGGTCAGGTAGGATGGGGAGGGGCAAGAGAGAGGAGGTGCAGTACTGATCTCAGCAGAACAGCCCTGCTTGGGGAAGGTCTGGCCTGCCTGGGAAATTGGTGACTATTGCTCTCAGCCATTCTTACTTTGAGGAGTTCGGTTGCAGGGGGAGAAATTCATCCCTCGTGTCCCTCTTTCTTCCCCATGAAGACTTCTGATCTTCCTTTGGCTCTGAATATGCAATTTCTACCAGGGCCACAGGAAGTGATACAAAGCCAGAGGCCTGTGGATAGATAGGTCAGCTTTAATAGCCTGTCAGTATGAATCCCTTCCAACTGTCCCAGAGCCACCTTCTGCCATCTGCCCAAGCCAAGAATGCCCTTTTCTCCCTCTCTCCTGCCTCCATCTTAAACATACATACAAAATAACTGCCAGCTTCCTTCCTTAGTTTGTCTTCCAGAATTGGCTGTCATGGGGGAATCAGGACATCTAAGCTAAGAGAGTCCCATCTTCTCGGAGTGCTATACCGGTGAGCCAGTCAGGTGATGTGTTCCACTGCATTTGTTTTCTGTCCCCCCTCCCCCCCCGCCCCCCCAGAGCCAGTGCTGAACAAGACACACCTGGTTAAGAGAATGGAGAGAAAACATGGTTTTCTCATCCTCTGCCACCCGAGACCGAACAGGAACAGCCCCTGAGGTGACTCAGACTAGCAAATGGCCCAGCAGATGGTCGGGATGCAAGTCCCCACCTCCAGGGACCGCACTTGCCTTTAACAGTTCACAGCCGTAACTTGTACTCAGGACTTTTCCTTTTGACGGCTGCTCCCTGGGACTTTCTTCCACTTTAGTTGTGTCTCATTTTTTATCATCTTGATTTCCCACCAGCAGCCTTGCCCTAAAGCTTGACTGAGTTTATGGCTCCTAAGGAGCCTTCATAAGACCCTGGACTGTTTTTCTTCCCCTTTATTCTAGTGTTTTTCAAGTTAAGAATCCGTTTGTCACTGCACACGTGCCTTGCCTCACTGCTTGGCCTTGGAGGAAGTTCAAGTCGTACCCATCTGTGCCCGTGTAGGACAACTCATTTATTTAGAGGGTCTCATGTAGTTTCTCAGTCCCCGTGTCTCCCCCCTCTCGAGCTCTTACCTCATTGTCATCAGTGGGAAGTTATTACTGGGGCCTAACTGAGGGGATTGCCAGAAGCTTACTAGTGAAGCAGTAGGAAGGAACAGGACATAACCCCCCAGATAGCTCTTTAGCTGGTCCTTGGCCTCACTGAGAAAGCAGGGCAGTTGGTTATCCTAAGGCTGTCTCATAGTTAAGGGGGATGTTACTTATACTTATTTGTTATTGCTGCCATCCGTGTGGCCACTCTCCCTTGCCCTTTGCTTTCCAGACTTATCTGGACCAGAACCAAGCATCGTGGAGGGCGTCGCTTCTCCCTTCTTAATGATCATGGCCTTTCTAGGGGCCCAGGGGAAGATACTTTGTGAAAGGAGCTGGGAGTGTGGATGCCTTGGGACGCTCCCACCTCACTGCAGAGACACAGATGATAGATAACCAAGGCCAAAGAGAAAGGTGCCAGACCAGGGGTTCTGGTCTGCAGACTTTTGCCCTGTTCCTTTAAAAGAAAGCTTGCTCAGAGTTGAAAAGTCAGAGAAAACTTCCCTCACTGTTAGAGAGGGGAAAAGTAGGCTCTCCTTTACTTGCTCTTTCCCTGTTGGTTGTACACCCCAAATCTGGCTTTCTTCATCCTCCACTCCTCTCCGTGACCCTAAGCACTAGACCCTCTACTCTAGGTAGTGGTAAATAGGAGACGACCTAACCTCACTCACCTTGCCGCCCGCCCTCCCCCCACCCCATGCCTGTTCTGCCATTCTTAGCTCCTTTCCTAATTTGCTGCCCTCCAGCACTACCCATCCTGGTTAACAGGGTACTTAACCATAACCATGCCCTGTCTACAGCCTGAACCGCCAAGCAGACACCAAAAAACTCCTCTGGTTTCTAAGGCTCCCCTGCTCCACACTGAGAGGCTCCTTTAAAGGTGCTAGCCCCGAGACAGCCCCCTTCCCCTGCGAGTCACCCCCCTTTCTTTCATGACTTCCTTGCCATCCCCCAATCATTATTTTTCATGAATATTGTACATTGTATACACAGGAAGGAAATGTATTCTTTTTTTTTTATTCCATAACCAGTCCGATTAGAATCCAGTCTTCCTAGTTATATCACCTATGCCTTTGTTGATACGCTCTTTCTGCTTTCTTTAGACTTTTGTTTGACAGGGGTGGAGGGGGGAATGGGACAGGACCCCAAGGCAGATTAGAGGATCCCCCATCCTACTTCAGACCCCCACAACCCTAGTCATCCCTCTCACAGTATAAAACTGATTTCCCTCTGTGTTTGCATACATGCATGTACACACAGACATAAATCCCCACCCCCTCACCCCAGAGTGAACAGGAATAAGCGTAGGTGGCTACTGGCCACTGTTCCCACCCTGTTACCAGTTCATGCGTCTCTCTTTGGGGTAAAGTCCTACCCCCAGAATGAGAAAAGGCTGGGGAGAGTAAGGCAGGTTAAGACAGCTGTGTCCTTTGTAGACGCAGGTTTGTATTGTAGCTGCTAGGGTTTATCTTATTTTTGTAATGGGGTGGGGTGCTGGTAGCACAGAGCTCCCATCAGCATTCGCTACCGGTGAGTGATGTTTTAGCTGTAAGAAATGGCTATGAGCACTAGTTTCACTGACCTTCCCTTAGGGCGGTGGTTCTCAGGATGTGGTCCAGGCCCAGTAGCAGCAGCAGCACCAGTATCTGAGAGCTTGGTAGAAATACACATTTGGGCCCCACCACAGACCTCTTGAATCGGAAACTGAATCAGGCTGGGCTCTAACAAGCACTCCACGTGATTCTGACGCACACTAAAGTGTGAGAACCATTGCCTTAGGGGCAAGCTGGGAAATCCTGTAGGGTGCCAGGGATACTTTAAGTACCATCCTCTGCCTTAGCACTAACACATTTTTCCACTTCCTCCAGTCCCTCCCTCCACCCCCATTAAAACAACAACCGCGTCGTTCATCTCAGAATCTAGGCTTGAGTTCCTTCTACTTCTTCCTAAAACCTGTTCTGACTTGGTCCTGACAGGAATTGTCCCATATTCCCTTGCAGACTGGTCACTCCACGTTCTTTGTTACAGGAAGGATGGGCTGGAGCTTGAGCTGTCCTGTACACACACACACACACACACACACACGCGCGCGCGCACGCACCTTTCCGGCAGGGAGAGGAGCCTCCAGCCCCAACCGTGGAGGCTGCAGCCTCCTGACATGGTATCTGTTGAAAGAAAGCAGTGTGTATCTATGGCTATATCTCTGTTCATCTGTATATCTTTGACGTGTAGCAGCACCTCTCCATCCCGTCAAGGAACTGTACTCTGGGTCTGGGTCTCTCCAGTCCCCAGCGATGGGCTTTGACAGGTGAGAGGATGCAGTGCTACGGGCTGTTCTGTTACAAAACCGTCTCCTCCCTTTCCCTGCCACCCACTCGGCATGATCCCTGTGAGCAGGCTCTCACTATCTCCCAGGACGGGGCTGAGACAGAGGCTTCGCTCTGTTCTCCCTAACCGTGCCTTCTTCCATCCCCCCCTTACCACCCAGCAGTTCTGCCCCTGGCCATGCCTTCTCCTGCTCCCCCTTGCCCTGACATATATTGTGCCTTATTTATGCTGCAAATATAACATTAAACTATCAAAGAGAACCACTGTTATGTCTAATGCTTCGGTACTCTGATCTACAAGTCTCATTGGCCACCCTCTCTGGGAACTCCTTGGGCTTTCACGTCTGTGCTTTTCCTCACTCTCCCATTTTTTAGGACAGAAGGAGCAGGGATTCTTGTCCCTCCTTTTGATGCAGGGAAGACACAGCCTAGAGAAGGTATGTGGTTTATATAAATTACATAACACAAAAGAAGGCATAGAGACCAGGGTTCAGATCTGTGCACTGCCCTGGGGACAAGGGCCCCCACATCATCATGGGAGCCTTCACTATAGAATGTGGGTGCGTTATGTGAATGGGGAATGGTCGGGTGTCCGAAGACAGGCGGCCTCTTGTCTCTGTTTTGTCCCCACCTTCCTCCCAACAATAAAAACCAAAAGCAAGCCCTACTCTCAGTAACTTGGCAGCATGACTAGGGAAGTGCACACATACACACAGGAAGTGAAGATGTGGGGAAGAGGGCGATCTGGAAGTGAGGGGTGGAGCTTGTTTAAAAGCAGGTAAGAGTTCGCCAGAAAAACATGTAATGGCCAGGAACTGTGGCGAGGGGCAGGGGAGTCCCTACTAATAGCTCGTGTCTGTGCACCCTTAGATAATTAGCACAAGTGAGGAAGAGAGAGCCAGGCTGCAGAACTTGACCAGCAGATAGCAGGTGCCTCTGAGGGTTTCCCAGTAGAAGAGAAGCAATTTAGAAGCTGTTTGTGGCTGGTATTTGGTATAAGTGACACAAGCAGGAAGCTGGAGTCTCTACAGGAGAGTGGGAAAGGCAGGGTGGTCTTTGCCGTGTTGTGCTCAGGAGCACACAGGTTCCCAGAGAAGGGTGAGAAAATAAGTTGCTGAAAGCCAAAGACCAAAGCCACCAAGATTGTGAGGTTTTGGAAGCGTTGAGACTGAAGGGAGGGCACTTTCTCAGGGTGGGAGAATTAAGCCATTCCAGATGCAGGCGTATCTTGTTCTGTTGTGCTTCGCATAGGTGGGGGGGTTTTATTTCGTTATAAATTGAAGGTACAAGATTCTAGTGCAGGAAGTAACGCAGATGTGGGCAAATAACAGCAGAGAACTAGATTTAGAAGTGGAGCCTGAAGATGGGACTGCATTGGTGTAACCCCATGATCCAACCTGAACAGAGGAGCTGCTGCTGACGGAAGAGCACAGAAAGTGCTTTCTTGAGACACATTCTCCTTCCGGTGAAGATGCTGTCAAGACTGTAGAAATGACAGAGGATTGGGGCACCTGGGTGGCTTAGTCGGTTAAGCATCTGACTTTCGCTTGGGTCATGATCTCGCGGTTCGTGGGTCCGAGCCCCGCGTCGGGCTCTGTGCTGACTGCCAGCTCAGAGCCTGGAGCCTGTTTCAGTCTGTGACTCCCTCTCTCTCTGACCCTCCCCTGCTCACGCTGTCTCTCTCTCTCTCTCCTAGAAATAAATTTAAAAAAACATTTAAAAATTTAAAAAAAAAAAGAAATGACAGAGGATTTAGAATATTACAGGGCGGGGTCTCTGTTAACCGAAAGGTTGATGGTTGGAGCCTCCCCGGGAATATAATATCTGTGGTAGAATATTACAGGGGTGCCTGGCTGGAGCCACATTCAGTCGGTGGAGAACGGGACTCTTGATCTCAGAATTGTAAGTTCGAGATGTAAGTCCCATGTTAGGTGGAAAGATTACTTAAAATCTGAAAAAAAGATTATTAGAATATAATAACAGAAACGTAGTTGATAAAGCAGTGGTTGGGTTTGAGAGGTTTGACTCCAATTTTTAAAATTCTGTGGGTAAAATGCTATCAAACAGCATCACACACTACTGAGAAGTCATTCATGAAAGGAGGAGCCAATCGATGAAGCAGAATTTCATTATCTTGTTTTAAGAAATCGCCATGCCATAGCTACCCCACCCCTTTAGCAGTCACCAACCTGATCAGTCAGCAGTGCCCAACATCAAGGACAGGTCCTCCACCAGCAAAGATATTACAACTTGCAGGGGCCTGGCTGGCTCAGTAGGTAGAGCATTGACTCGATCTCAGGGTCCTGAGTTCAAGCCCAACATTGAATGTAGAGCTTACTTAAAAAAAAAAAAAAATTACAACTCGTTAAAACTCTCAGATGATTGTTAGCATTTTTTAGCAATATCTTAACTTCGTTTTAAGTTTTATTTATTTTGAAAGAGAATCTCAAGTAGGCTCCACGCTGTCAGCACAGAGCCGGACATGGAGCTAGATCTCATGAACCCTGAGATCATGACCTGAGCCAAAATCAAGAGGCAGATGCTTGACCAACTGAGCCACCCCGGTGCCCCAGCAATCTTTTAAATTTAAGGTATGGACATGATTGACTTTTTAAGACATTTGCACACTTAATAGACGACAGCATAGAGTAAACATAACTTTTATGTGCGCTGGGAAACAAAAATTCATTTGATTTGCCTTCTTGTGATATTTTATTGCAGTCTCCAAGATATGCCTGTGCCTACCAAAGGAGGTAGCCGTCTCCATCCTGGGCATAGGAAGTTAGCTAGGCCAGACCTTTACTGAATTGAACCTCAGCTCAGGTCCACTTGTAATTGATGAGCACAGATACTAGGAGAATCAGAGTGGCAGACACTTATTGGCTGCTCTGTGCTGGATGGAACACTAGATGCTTTGCATTCATCAAGTCATTTTCATGTTTACAACAGCCTCTTGGTAATGCCTCATTTAAGATGAACTGAGGCTTAGGTTAAGACATTTGCCCAAGGCACATGGTGAAGTGCACGTGCTGGCATTAAAACACCCCGGCGCCACTCTGCAGTGGCTCACAACCCTGCCGCTCTGGACTTCTGTCAGGTAAGAACAGACAGAGGCCGTGATGTGGCATAGGATCCATTTCCCACAGAAAATCCCGTCTGCTCGTGACCTGGATACTCCCTTCTAAGAAGCGGTGACACTCCACGATGTGATGATGATGAGTGTCAGGTTCCGTGCCTGGGACCAGCTGTGAGCCCAAGCTTCCAAAGGGGTCCCCCTACCTTAGGCCACATCAATAGAAACCTAGTAGAACATCCAGATCAAAACCGGCTTTATTCTGCCTCTCCAGAGTTATAAATCGGTTTCTAGATGCCTTGCTTAAAAGAGGGAGGTCCCCTTAACAAAAAAGAGTGGAAGAAGGGAGTCTGTCTTCAAAGACATGAAAGGCTTGCACACAAATGTGCAACAGTCCTAGTGAAGCACACTAGGACCCCTGGTGGAGGCCACAGGAGACAGAAGCCAGCATGGCATACAGATACATCTGCCCAACCACTGTCTGAGGAGATGGAAAGTTCACTGGGACTCATGTGTGAACGGATCACCACTGCTAACGTTTTGAGGACACTTGCTCCGTGCCAGATCCGGTGCCGAATGGATTACAAAAAGTATCTCAAATAATGCTCACCCTAGAAAGTAATTCCTTTTTAAAAAAAATTTTTTTTAATGTTTATTTTGAGAGAGAGAAAGCATGAGCTGGGGAGGGGCAGAGAGAGGAAGACACAGAATCCAAACAGGCTCCAGGTTCTGAGCTGTCAGTACAGAGCCTAACGCGGGGCTCAAACTCACGAACTGAGATCACGACCTGAGCCGAAGTCAGACGCTCAACTGACTGAGCTACCTACCCAGTTGCCTCATTTTGTTTTTAAATGGTTTATTTATTTCTGAGAGAGAGAGAGACAGACAGCGGGAGCAGGGGAGGGTCCGAGAGAGAGGGAAACAATCCGAAGCAGGCTCCAGGCTCTGAACTGTCAGCACAGAGCCCGACCCGGGGCTCGAACCCACAATCCGTGAGATCATGACCTGAGCCAAAGTCGGAGGCCCAACCGACTGAGCCACCCAGGCACCCCACCCCATTTTTTTTTTTTTTAATGTTTATTTTTGAAAGAGAGAGGGAGGGAGACATAGAATCCAAAGCAGGCTCCAGGCTCCAAGCTGTCAACACAGAGCCTGACGTGGGGCTTGAACTCATGGACCTCAAGGTCATAACCTGAGCCAAAGTCAGACCCTTGGCCAACTCAGCCACCCAGGCTCCCTGACAGTAGTTCCTTTTAATGTTGCCATGTTTTAGGTGAGGAGACTGCAGTTCATTGAGATGCACTGGCCCAAGACTGATCCGCAGGCCCTTTATGTCATGGCCCCTCTCCAACACAGGCTGGAGAATCACATGGCGGGGGGGAGGGGAGGAGAGGACGGGGGAAGCTGAGGAAGGAATTTTAGGATCAGAAGGGAAACTGTACCAGATGACTTTGAAGGACCCCTTCCTGAGAGTGACTGATTTTTTTTCCTAAGGCAGAATTCCTTTCACCTGTTCCAACAGGTCAGAGGCTGGGGTAACTAGGAGGAGGTAGACAGAACCATATTCCAACCCCAGGGTCCTGCCCCTGCCTTCTGTGGCTCCTTAGAGTCAGCCTTAGGAACCTCCGTCTTCCCCCACCCTTCAAAGAGCAGAAAAAGGAAATGGCTGGACCTGACAGTGCAGAGCTGTGGCCACAGGGTGGCAGCAGTGCCTCACTGCAGAGGAGGGCTCCAGCAGCCCAGGTGAGGCAGGTCCTAAGCAGGGCTCTCGAGTGAAGACGGGGTCAGTCTACAAAGATTTGAAGCAGTCACCCACTGTGTGGACTCTGAAACCTTTTAGCCCCCTGTATCCCACTTTTCCGTCCCCAGGCAAATCTCAGCATAGCGATTTCACTTTTAACCCTCGAAGAGGCATGGAGGCGCAAGGCTGTGGATAGGCTGGATGACCCCGGCTGCAGCCAGTCTCTGGAGGGACCCGGCTTGGTCATTCTGGCGAATTCTCACCCTGGCTCTTAGCCCCTACCTCTGTCCCAGGACATAATGCCTAGCCCTTCTTGAGAAGACTTCCTCTATGCTTTTATTCTCTAAGTTAGGAACGAGAGGAGGTGATCAGTTGAAGCTCTCCAACCTGTTGAGAAATTAGGGGTTCGTGAAGGCCCCTCAGGGCCTGCCTCTGACAAAGCATCTGCAATTAATGATGCTTCTTGAACTCTGGAGACAGGATTTATGGATCTAATAAAGTCTCTAACTCCAGGCCTTGGGGCTGGGGGCCGGAGGCTGGGAGCAGGAAGTCCCGGGGGTGCCATGGGAGGGGGTCCCAGGCGGCTCCTAATGGAGCCATGTGTTTGCATTGCCTGTTCTAGAGCCCCTCGGGCTGCTGAGGGGAGGGGGCCGGGGCACAGCGGGTATAAGAGGCGGATATAGCCGCAGGAAGGCACACGGCAGGATGGATTCCAGGCGGGCAGCAGTGCTGCTGCTGCTGCTGCTGCTACTGCCAGACTGGGGCTGTGCCCAAGGACCAGGTGGCCAAGACGAAGGACACCAAATCTTTGTGGTAAGTGACCACCCCATCCCCGTGTTGCCATTCTTCTCTCTCAGCTTGAAGCTTGTGTTCCCAAGTTCAGGTACTTGCGCTGCCAGGGTCTTCACTGGGTCCTAGTATCTGAGGAGATAGCTCCTCAGCTTCCCTTCGCCATGTGACCTAAATGTCCGAGGCCTTTGCCCACCTTCCTTCCCCGCTGGCCTTGTCAACCACAGGAGGAAGACAGCAGGCCCCGCCCGCTGCAGGAGGCCCAGACCCCTGGGTCATTCCTGCGCTCCCTGCTCCAGGCCATGCAGAGACCCGGCCGTAGCTCAGCCTTTCGGTTTCAGCCCCAGAGGTGAGTTTAAGAGGGACACTGGGCAAGGCAGGGGCCAAAGGGACAGGAAAGGGGGTGGGGAGATTTGGGACGGGCCGTAAGGACCTACAGCTGAGGATGGATCTTTTCCAAGGTTTGGCAGAAACACCCGGGGCTCCTGGAGCAGCGAACAGTTGGGTCCCCGAGCTGGGGAGGGGCTCAGCTCCCCGTTCTGGAGCCTGGCTGCCCCTCAACGCTTTGGGAAGAAGTGACATGTCATCCCTTGAAATATTTGCATGCAAGGCTCACAACTGAAAGTGCCATGTCTCCCTTTCCCACCCACCCCCACCCCCAAATAAAGCTGTCTGGCTTCTGAACCCATGTGTCTGCCTTTATGAGACGTGAAAGGGCTGGGGGAGAGCCCCGGGACAAGAACCACAGCCCCACAAAACCCAGCTCTGCAGGAACCCAGGTGGTGGCGTTCCCAGAGGTCACTGCACCTAGCCTCCTGCCTCTAGAAAGGCGACTGTGGGGATGTGTGGGGAACAAGGTGGGGAGGCACAACAGGGGAGGCAATCTGGTGCTAACCTCCTCCGTCGTCAGTACCAGTCAGAGAAACAGAGCAGATTTAAGAATCCAAGAGGCAGCGCGTTTATTCTGGGCTCTAGGGGAGAGCCCCCTGATTTCATTCCCACTCGTCACCACCAGTGACAGGAGGACAGATCTTGGGCCAGCCAAGGCCCTGTGGTTCCTGGCTCCTGGCCCTGTGTCCTCCTGAGCCTGCAGACAGGCAGTCTGTGTCAGAGGTAGAGACGGCCCCTCCAGGGGTACCAGAGCTGAGCGGACACGTGGGCCAGGGGCAAGAAGGGCAGGGAGCGTGGGTGCACATCCGTGAGTCCAGCTGGGGCTTTATTTGCTGCCCGCCATGATCTTGAGGTACTGCAGGGCACGGCGGGCAGCCTCACCGCGGGCTGCCTCCCTGGTCGCTGCAGAGCCATGACACACGGTAGCCGGCTGTGTGGACAGCTCCACCAGGCACTGGCAGAGGCCACTCAGGCTCAGTTCCTCTGGAGACCAAAAGCGGGGGGGGGGGGGGGGACACGGTTGGGTGGAAGGCAGCCGGCAGGGCTACAGCCACATCACCACGTGCCCGCCCCCGCAGACCCACGTGTACTTGCTCTGCTTCAGTCCCCACCATCCCCGGCCTCCCGACCAGCCGTACCGATATCCAGGTAGCTGACGTGGAAGGCCTGCTCCTCAGAGAGCTCACTGAGGACGCTGCAGCAGGCAGAGCCCAGAGCACCTAAGGCGCCCAAGGAGCAGCTACGGAGGGACAGGATCTTCTCTCCCACTGAATTTCGCAGAGAATCCCAGGTGCAGCCTGGGCCCCGGTTCCGAAGTCCATCTAGGCGGGAGCCCACACCCTGGCGAGACGGGGACAGGGAGAAAGATGCAGCCATGAGCTGAGACCCAGGCGCTGACCGGACCTTCGAGGCCAAGGGGAGAAAAGCCCACAGAAGGAGTGCTTCGTCCCACGTGCCTTCTTTGAGTTGGCCTTTCTGGACCAGGGGTCCGGGCAGCCTTCGTCATCCAGTAGCAGCAGTGTGCAGGGCCCCTGCCCCGGGCCAGCTCCCCCCCGGCACTCACCAGGCAGGCCTGTGGCTGAGGCAGAGAGGGGGCCCAGGGAACTCTGGCTCTGGTAGGAAAATGGGGAGAAGCAGGCCTGGGACCTGGAGGGGCTCACTCCCGAGTGACAGGCTCATGTCCCCGGGGCCCTGCCTGGCACGGAGGACGGAGCACAGTGCCTGGCCCACACGAACCACTCACAATGGAGAAGTGATCATCATCAGGCTCTGCCTCATTCCCGTCCCGGGCATCCAGAGGCACCGTGTGCACTCGAAGCAGCATCTTGGCCGCCGCGTTACGCTTTGCCAGCTTTTTGGAAGTGCCACTGCCTGCGTGTGGGGAGAGGGTTGCTGGATTCTGATTCCCAATAGACCCAGTGCCTTCCACCCAGCTCAAACTCGGGGTGAGGGTCCCCTCACGGGATGTCAGTTGGAAAGAGGAGCTCGGTACCTGCCATGCGCCTGAGAACCTGGTCAACCAGCAGGGGGCAAAAGACAGCGTGCAAGGGAGATGCCGGGAGGAAGGAGCCAAGCCGGGGGCTCAGCCAGGACAGTGGGGCTTTGGCAGAGAGAGGCTAGGAGCTGCCGGTGGCCGGGGCTGGAGTAGCAGCAAGAACTCCCCTCCACCCAGTTACCGATCTCAACGAAACGCTCCACTCGGCACGTCATGGTAAACTCTTTGCGATGGGCCGGCCCAGACTCCTGGGTCACCGTGTACTCAGGCAAGCGCCAGCCTTTCTGCACCACCAGCTCCTTGGAAGGGAGAGACAAGGGTGCGCAGGGCTGAGCGAGAACTCATGTCCTCTCCCCCCTCCCCTGGGAGCCTCAGGTCCCGGGTTAGAAGAGGGATAAAGGGGGTGGGAAAAGCACTCAGAACAAGGGAAGAGCCCCACATGAGCGTTCCTCATGGCCCCAGGTTCGAGGGAAGACAGGCATGCACGGGAAAGGAGGATGGGGGCACACCTGCAGAGCGCCAACAGGATTGCACTCGGACTGCTGAGGGGAGACGGGGGGCTGCACCTCCATGGGGGGGCTCCTGAAGGGAAAAGGGTCCAGGCCAACGCTGATGGGCTGTCCCTTTTGCAGCTGTCCATGAGTCCCAAGCCCTGCTCCGGTGTCCCCGTGACCATCTCCCTACTCCCCGCCTGGCAGGCAGCTGTCCATCCAAATGTCCAGCCTGCTTCCTCCCCCTCCCACCCAAGTGAGGTCTTGGGTGAGGCCAAGACCCATTTAGACTTTCTGGAACAAAGGATCATCGCCCGGCCAGGAGAATGGGAGAGGGGCTATATATCCAGTCCCTGGAAGCACCTGATGGGACGCGCACACAGGACCATCATGTGACCAACTCAGAAGGAAATGGGGCCCGCGAGACCCTCAGACGTGGCCAAGCATCATCCACATGGCCATTTAAAAATCATCAATTCCCTCCTGTCCCAAGAGCTTACCAGCTGGGACGAATTCTTCAAATTCTGGGGCCCAACTATTCCAGCCTGTTTACTCTCAGGCTTCCTCCTGCCTGACCAGCCTGGGTCCAAAGGCTGGGGGACCAAGTGCCAGGACCCCTTCCTCCCCTCTCCCCACCAAGGCAGGCAGGAAACACAAGATACCTGGTTGGAACAGCAGATGGAACAGGAGTCGCAGCCGCTGCAGCAGTAAAAACTGGAATGTCCTCAGGCAGTGAAGAGTCTAGGGGAGAAAAAGAACTTCCCGAGGGGAAGGGGCCCTTTGATTCACACCCATGTAGGGGGAGGGGGTAGAAGGGGGGACCCAGGTCCTCCTGGCCTCCCCATCCCCTAAGAAAACTCCTTCCCGCTTCGGCCAAAGACTCAGGGAAGCTTAACCACCAGCAAACCTTTGCTGCCAAACACTGGATCTAAGGGGAAGGAGGGTCTCTTCCCACTCAAGAAACACGGAGGCTACAAACTCCAAAGACCAGTGTGGGAGAAGGAGGGACAACGTGCTAAACAGAGGAGGCGTGCTGGGGAGCAGCCTCTCTAGCCTCGGCCTCCACCCCGCCCCCTCCCTAGCCTGGGCCCAAACCACAGCCCCTTGACAACCCCCCCGCCCAAGGGTCCTTCACAACAGCAGGAGCCCCAGAAGCATCCTGCTCAGTCCAGAGGCCACCCTCAGGAAGAGGCCCAGGTCAAGGCGGCTACGTGTCACCAGGCCAGCCCTCCTGGGCAGAGGAGGTGGCACAGGGGCCTGGGTTCCTGGCAGGGCCTCTAGGAAGCCTTGGCTGTTCCTCCCTCACCTGCTGTCCTCCAGGGCCGGCTCCAGCATGCTCCCCCCTTTGAGGTGTTTGAGGGCCACCTCAGCTGCCTTGTGCTTGGCGGCCTTCTTGCTGGGGCCCTGACCTGGGAGAGGGGCGTGGGCAATACCGGACGTCACTGGGAGGACAGAAGAAAAACCAGCATCCCACGGCCTCTCTCCTCACAGCTGCAGGGAGTCAACCAAGCCCCACTCGCCAACGGTCCCTGCCCAAGACTGGAAGCGCTACACTAACTGCAGGAAGGGAGGGCTTTTATCTTCCCATGAGCTCCCCAGATGGAGTCAGGCCAGGCGGAACTGCTCCTGAGCTCATACACCCTGGGTGCAGAGCCTTCCCCTGCTTTACTCTCCTCTGGGAAGCACTTCCTTTTCTCTCAATAGAGACAGATGACTGGAAAAGTAAAGAGGGGAGGCTCTAGAGTCAAGGCCTGGCTCTGCCACTTACTAGGCACATGACCTTGCACGAGTCGCTGAATCTCTCCGAGTCTCACTTTCCTCATATTCAACGTGAGGATACTACCATCTACCGCCCTGGATTAGACTGTGGTTCAAGATTAACTAGGAATTTGGTCGAGCACCTGGAACAGAGCCCAGTGCAGCGGACCCATACTCCCCCAAATACTTCACTGAGCCTTGGGTTTATCGCCCCTTTCTCCTCCAGGATGATGACATATCTGCCAGAGCACTGTGGCAGTCCCGCCTGCTCCTCTAACTCTCCCAAGTCCTGCCCACCTCCTCACACACCAGTTTCCCCCAATCCAGTCAGTGGCTTCTCCCCTGAAATCTCTCCTTCCCTCACTGGCCTCAGAGAAGACGACTGGGAAGAGACTCCAAGAAACAAAGCCAACAGGGCCCTGTGAATGCACACCCCAGCCAGGCTGCCCAAGCCTTCCTCACCAGTGCAGCTGGTGTCGCCAACGGTGACCCGGAAGGTGAAATTAGGCTGGTGGGCTTGGCCCTCGGCTTTGAGAAGGTCGTACACGGGCGTCTTCCCTATTCTGGTCCCATACTCCTGCAGAAGGCTGATCGGGGTCTTGCCCGGGTTGGCTGCCAGCATTTGCTCTATACTGAGGGAGGCGGGGGGCACAGACCCTCATTCACACCTCCAACTCTGCACCCACCTGGCCAAACACTATCAAACCCAGGCACACCATGGGGGACATAGGGTCCAGGGGACCCCGGGCAATACAGCAAACACTGGCTGGATTCAATGTGGAGTAGAGATGCAGGCTGGGAAAGCAGGGTCCACTGCCCCCAGAGCAAGAGGGGAATGCACTGTTCCTGTCTCGATTAAGGAAGAGGATCCTGTGCCCCAGTGCAGGTCGCAAGTGCATGTCCCCTGACACAGTGCAGGCCAGGGACCCGGTACCCACCAAATGCACTGAAGGTCGGGGGCATAAAGCCCAGTGCCCCAAGTGCAGTCTGGGAACCCGGCCAACCCCAAACTATTTAGAGCAGGAGGCAGTGGCCACTGCCGGGATGCATGCCGGGAACCACGGCCCACTACCCCAGTGCTTGCCGGGAACAACCCTCAGGCCAGGTGCATGCTGGGGCCGCGCCGCTAACTCCTCCGCACCGCGCCACGCTTTTCGCCCGGCAGGGATCGGGATGAGGCGGCTCACCTGGGCAGCCCGCAGCCCGTGGTAGTGCCGGAGCCCTGCTCCTCTTCACTCATTCCCACCTCCGTCCCCGCGGGCGCCACCGTGACTGCAGCCTCCACGCGCCCCAATACACAGCCGACGAGCTAGGGCCGGGGCCAAGCCCCGAGTCGCGGCCGGTCGGGCCCGCCGCGGGGCATGCTGGGACATGGAGTCCCCCGCCCACCTGACTCCATGAGTCTCCAACGGGAGGGGAGCTATCCGCCCCACAACTCTCGGCGTGGTTTGCCCTGGCAGACAGCACCGCCTTCTGGGAGGAGCGGAGCCCTCCACTACTGCTTCCCGAACTGAGGGTGGTTGTGTGTGTGTATATATATCTGCGTGTGTGTGTGTGTGTGTTTTAATAGCGTCCCGCCTCCTTTTTCCGCATCTCCCCTCCTCGGGGCGGGCATGCGTACTAGCTGAGTGGAAGCGGCCGGAGGCGGGGCGGTGAGGGCTAACTCTAGCACGGGGTCCTTTGAATCCCGAGGAAACTACAAAACCCAGGAGCTCGCGCGCCATCTTTGTCGCAGCTGGAGGGGCAGGGTCAGGCGTGCACGGAAAGCTTCGCGGTATAATTGGCTATTTCCGATTGCGCTGGCTGGCTCCAGGCAGATTGCGATTGGTTACGTTTCCTAGGAGGGCGGGGACAAGGAAAGAGTCATCCCCCTTTGGCCCCGCCTCTTTCCTGAAAAGTGGTTGTGATTGGTCCTGGGGCGAGGCGGCTGTCGGATCCTAGCTCTTTGCAAGCTCTGAGGATGGGCCTTCCTTACCTGGACGCGGGGAGGGGACTGTTCCTTGCCCCTTAAGCGGCGGGGCAGGCCAAGTCCATCTCAGGCCGACCCCCAGTCCTCGGCCTAAGCGCCTGGGCCCTCGAGCCTTCGTCTCACAGCATCTGCTTCCTTTTCCTAGGTTATCCTTCTCCCTTCCCCGTAATTCTGGCCCGCAGCCTGTCTGGTTTCAGTTCTTTTCTAAAGCCTGTTTAGAGTGTCCCTAGTGAACCTTTTTGTAGCTGGCCGGGAGACCCCCGTCCCCCTTCTGGGTGCTGAGAATCAGGCTGTGGTAGGACAACAGGAGGAGCACGTCGTGGTCTCTCGTTCGTTCCGCTGTGGGTCTTGGGTCTCTCGGCTGAGGAGACAGCAAGAGAGGATTCTGGCCTCTTAAAACTAATCCACTAATCTAGGTGCAGAGCAGAACACGTGTTTTTGAGTCCCAGAGCTCCAGTCTCTCCTCCCCAAAGTCTGACGACCGCTGGGTCAAAGGATGTAGGGAGAATCTTGCGACCTTGGAGAGAGATCACGAAAATGTCTGAATCTAATGAGTGCTCTGAGAATGGGTTAGGTAGTGGAGGTCCCGAGGAATCTTGGAATGATAACGAGCAACACTGGAGGGGGACGGGGCACTGAGCTGAGTGGATTCCAACTGGGTAGAACTGGAGTGGTGACAATTAGGGGAAGGAAAGCTGGCAATAGCGGTGGACAAGGGGAGCGATGCTAGAGCTCTGAGCGGGTGAGGGGGGGGCGGGAATCCCATGTTGAGGGGCTGCTGTCTCAGGGTATAGGAGGGAGTTTATAAGGCTGGTCGTAGGGGCCTCCTACGGAATCAGCGTAAGGTCCGAGGTGCGACTGCCACCAGACACCGCCTGCAGGGAGGTGAGGGGCCCAGAAGGGCCAGGGACGAGCCTGGAGTGCGCCGGATGGCAGCAGCAGGCTCCTTTAAGAGGCCGGCGGCTCCAGCGCAGCATCCCCCGCTCAGGGCGTGTCCGTCCCGGGGGGCCAGGGGCGGGGGCCTTGGAAGGAGCGGGAGTTCGAGCCAAGTGGGGACGGGGCTAGGGGTCGGGGGGTGGGGGGAGAAAGCTGGGGCTGACACCCGTGCACCCGGACACCGCACAAGCATCGCCTGTGGCAGCGCCCCGGGTCCGGTCGAGGGCAGCGGGGGGAGGAGAGAAGGAGGAGGAGAAGGAGGAGGAGGCGGGAGCAGCATCCGGAGCCGAGCTGCAGCAGCGCCGCCTTTTGTGCTGCGGCCGCGGAGCCCCCGAGGTGAGAGCCTGGCCGAGTTGGGGGGGTAGAGGGCAGGGATGGGTCCGGGTCCTGGGATCCGGGTACGGAGGGAGGGTCGGGATGCAGATGTGGCGGGGTGGGGGAGGGTGGCGCGGGGATGCTGAGGTTGTGGGGCGGAGGAACTGGGGACCTGGACCCGACGTCTGTGGGGATGGGAAGGAGGGGAACGGAGCGGAGGGACGCCGCGGCCCAGCTTGGAGACGAAGGGCCTCTAGAGCCGGAAAGGACCGTATGGGGTGGGGGTGGGGGAGATGATTGGGGGACAGACTTAAAGGACAGCGGGCAAGAGAACGTCCTCCTCTCCTCCCACTCATCCTCCAGAAGGGGGAGAGGGAAGGAGGAGGAAGACTTTGGGCCCCCTCAAGGAAGGAAAGGAAGGACGGGGCCTGATGCGCCCACCGTCCTCTTCCCCGCCACCCCCACTCTCACACTCAACCCGCTGCACCTGAGGGTTATAGGCCGAGAGCACCTGTTCCTGGATGCCCAGGTGACGGTCCTCCTCCCTGTCCCTCTGATGCCCCTAATCGCCTCCAGCTGTGGCATTCACCTTCCCCATCCAGCTGTTGCTTCCTCCCCTCCCCCATTCATTTGTGGCTTTCTCCCTCTTGCTCTTCATCTCCTCTATCTCCCCTAACCCACTTCCCCCACCCAGGCCTTTCAGGAACCTCCTCCCTTTCCCCCCCAAACATTTCTCAAACTCCTTGGCTTAAAAATAAGCAAGAATCTGTTTCACACAGTTGATTCCTGATAACCGTGGTCTTGGTTGAGGAGAGGGAAGAGAAGGGGTCAGAGGCTCTATACAGAGTGGAAGGAAATCCGGTGGGGGTGTCCCTTAGCATCGAGGGAGGAGTCCCGCCTTCAGCGACTTTAACTCTGCACCTGCTCCCTCTTGGGAGGAGAGTGGGTGGGTGGCCGTCACCAAGAGGGAGAGTGCTTGAGGTCTGTCCCTCACCCAGAGTCCTCTTGGCCACAGCAGGGCCTCCCTCCAAATAGCATTCCCTTCCAACTCGTGGGTTCCACTCCATGGCTCTGGGAGCTCTGATTTTCAACCCGAGGGTCATACCAAGGGAAGGCAGGCTCAAGGGCTCCCCGGCCTTCCCGTCCAGACAGCAGAGTTCCCCAGAGCTTCGTCCAGGGCCTGCTCTCTCCCATCTCACACTTCAGGGTGGTCGAAAACGTTTGCCCTCGTGAGCCTGCCACTCCTCCGTTCTCACAGTGGGCACGGAGGTGATGCTGGGGCGACCAACGGTGACACCCCAACTCCAGCCCCATGAAGATGCAACTAAATACCCGTCCCCGGACCAAACCCGGTTATGGGCCGCGGTGGCAAGTTTAAGGAAGGACTGGCTTGGACGTCCTGTGTCCTTACAGCTGAGGCTGGCAGAAGCCCTCCCAAAACCAGATGCCGTCTCCCAGTCCTTCCCCTGGAGGTGATAGTGTGGTCGCCTGGCTTTGCCAGGAAGAGGACCCTAAGTCCTAGTACCCACCACCCCAGACTCACCCAGTGGCTTCTCACGTGCGGTCCTTCCTCTCCCTTGCCTGGGCTCAGGAGGAAGAAGGGACTAGGGAGTCAAGCCGTCCAGGAGGGGACACTGTGGAGATGGGCCAGCAGGCGCCATGACGGCTTTAGGAGGGGCTGGCCACGGAGACTGGTCTGTCTGCTTCATTTGCTCCTAGAAGGACCAGGGTCATCTGTGTGTTGGGGGAAGGTGACGTGAGGAGACAGGGACACTATTGCAGAGGACACTCAGGATCATCCGGGATAGAAAGCCATTGGTCTTCGGTCCCCTCTTTTTTTGCTCTCCTTTTTTCCCCTCATGTTTGCTTACCACCTCCGTTTCCACCTGCACCCTCTCTGCTGCAAATGAGGAAAAGGGAAAGAAGGGAATCACATTTCTAAAAACCCTGCTGCTGCTGCTGCTTGCTAGGCACCTTCTGCACGGCTAATGTTTATGGAGACTCCCTATGTGCCCGGTACCAGGCCAGGAACTTTATTCGGATTAGCTTCCTAGTGTTAAAAACAAGACTAAGAGTTGGGTCGTGTTAATCATCATCTCTATTTTAGGGATGAGGAAACTACAATTTAACCTAGGAATCCGGGGGCACCTGGGTGGCCCAGTCGGTTGAGTGTCCGACTTCAGCTCAGCCTGTGATCTCATGGTTTGTGGGTTCAAGCCCCATGTCGGGTTCTGCCCTGGCAGCACGAAGCCTGCTTGGGATTCTCTCTCTCCCCCCCTCTCTCTGCCGCTCCTCGGCTCTCACTCTCTCTCTCTCAAAACATTTACTAAAAAAAAAAAAAAAAAAAAAGTAATCTGTTCAAAGTCTAAAAAGCAGTTAGTGGCAAGAGCTTAGGTCTTGAACCCAGGCCTGTCTGACCCAGAGCCTGTCTTAGCCAGCATGTTATATACTGCGGTCCCACCGTGCCCTTTCGGAAAGAAGAAACAGGTTTGTTCAGAAGTCTCTTACTCCAGGTTGCCCGCCTGGTGAGGAGCAGAGTCAGGACCTCAGCCAAGCCTCTCTGATTCCCAGGCCGCCCACCTTCCCTGGATGGCTCACTGTCCCAAGCTAGGTGACAGGAATGGGTGAGCACCCTGATTTTTATTTCCTCGTTTTCAAGTCAAAATCGAGTTTTTAAATTATTTTTTAAAACTTTCTGTACATGTATTTATTTTTGAGAGACAGAGTGAGACAGAGTGCGAGTGAGGAAGAGGCAGAGAGAGGAGACACAGGATCGGAAGCAGGCTCCAGGCTCTGCCTAGCTGTCAGCACAGAGCCCGACACGGGGCTCGAACCCACGAACTGTGAGATCATGACCTGAGCCGAAGTTGGACACTTAACCAACTGAGCCACCCAGGCGCCCCTATTATTTTATTTTTTAAGTTTATTTATTCTGAGAGAGCACAAACCAGCAGGGAAGGGGCAGCGGGGGGGAGACAGACTCCCAAGCAGGCTCCACGCTGCCAGCGTAGAGCCCGATGTGGGGCTTGAACTCCCCAACCGTGGCATCACGACCTGAGCCCAGATCAAGCGTCAGACACTTAACCGACCGAGCCACCAAGGCGTCCCAATTTTTTATTATTTTAAATACCAGTCAAAGTTGTTACTGAAATATTAGAAAAATTCAGTCACAAGGGAAAAATAAAAAACACCCACAACCCCACCTACCTAGGAACTGTTCCACTTTGGTATCTGTCCTTCCAGACAGACCGATCGATCAATCTTTATTATTTTTTGTCTTCCAGGTCTTTTTAAATGTATACACAACACCCCCCCCCCCAGGAGCTATTTGTTTAAATATGCTGAACTTCTTCCAGGTCCATCTGAGGGCCTGAGTAGGAGGGACCCTGTGGCCCTTCATACCTTGTTCCTCCCCCTCCCTTCGGACCTTAAGGAATAGGGCTGAAGGGGTGACCCTGGGCCACGATGGCCAGGGGTTGAGTATGGCGTGCAGGCCTTCTCCCTTCGCCGAGGGGTTGGCGGCGGGGGGGGGGGGGGGGGGGGGGGGGGGGGGGGGGGGATGGAATGGTAGGCTCTGCAGAGGAAGGACTGAAGTTCTGGTAGGGCAGCGGGCTGGGGACTCCAGCACACCACTGTCATTGTGACCCGGTTTCCCTGGAGCCTGAAGTCAAGATCTGTCCTGGGAAAGTAGAAGGTCAGAGACCAAGTCTCCCTTTTTCTGGTCAGACATAAGAGATGGGCATCTCCAGAGCCCACAGAGATAGACCTGATGGCCAGCCAGCCAGGAAGATGCCAGGAGCCAGGCACTGTGCTCAAGACATTCCCCCACATCGTCTTAACTGTCCCCACCCCGTAAGACAGGGTTGGGAGTCTTGGAGGGGTTCCAGTCTTTAACTAGTGGCAAAACTGAGGTTCTGGCTCTGATCTCTCCCAATCCAAAGCTTGCTCTGTTTTCCTAAACAGCCCTGCCCCCTCCCCCAGCCCCATCACCGCCCAGCCCACTGGAAGAAGAGGTGGTGGCAGCTAGGGGGTCTCAGGGCTGGCTCTGTATAAAGATGGCAAGGGCCCAGATTTAGAGGTGATCTCCCGGTTCTTCCCCTCATGAAGGCATTGAGAAAGCTGTAGTTTTTTCCCTCTGGGAAGAACTTTGCATTCAAAATTTAGAAAAACAGCTGCTGCTAGTGGCCAGGAGGCAAGGTCAGGAGAGGTCACGGTCCTTTAGCCTGTCAGGCTCTCCGAAGCCCGCACAGGTGGAACTAGCCTCCCAATGTCTCAGGTCTCCTTTCCCTGTGAAGACCTGCCTTCCCACCCCCACCCAGTGGAGAGAGAAGGGCGGGGGTCTTCCTTGTATTCCTGAGTGCAGACCCAGGTTCAGGACCCTGGTGAGTGCTCAGGGTGAAAGCCCGCGATTTAGACAGATGGCCTTGCCTCTCCTCTGAGCCCCCAAGACTGCCCGACACGCGGCTTGGCGTTGAGATTCTCCTGTTCGAATGGGACATGGCAGGAAGGACTTCAAAGGGTTCCCTTGCCACAAGCCTCCAGCACCTCAGGCAGGAGAATCCAGGAGGAAGAGTCAACAGGGGGACCTCCCTTGCCCCCCATCCCACCGCAGGCCCCTGAGGCGGCAAGCGCTGCCCTGGTAGCTGAAACTGAATTAGGACCTCCCAGGGTGTCCGGAGAGCGTTTTCCCCTGGCGGATGTATAGTTTAGGGACCACCCGGTCCCCTCACCCGGTCTGGAATTCTGCGCAGTAAGCACTTAGGAACTACAGTTGACAAAATGACAGAGCTCTCCACCCCCTCCTGTCACATCCCTGCCCTTCCCCCATGCTCTGCATAATTGATGGCTAGGGAGACAGCGCCCCTCCCCAGGGTGACTGAACGTCTTGGCTAGGGGCTCCTAGCCATGATCTGCCCCCCAAAGCCCAGGCGCCAAGGCCTGGCTGGAGGGGAGGGGTGGGCAGTGGGTCACAGCTGGCAGGTTGGAGATAAAGGAAACAGTGATGGAGGGGGGGCTGTTGGGAGAGTAATCTCCAGTTGCCTGTAGCTCCCTAGGGCCTTCGCTTCCCCCTGCTCCCTCAGGTCAGGAGGGACGGCCACATCAGTCTAAGCACAGGATGAGGGCCGGCCTCAGGGCCTGGCTGGGTTCCCTCCCTCTCCCTGGGTCCCATCTCCTACTTCGGGTACTCCCACCGCCCTAAAGACAAACAGGTGAAACGGCGTCTCTCTCCGTCTCCCTAGTTGCTAGCCCTGAATACCGGAGGGGCCTCGGGGGAAGCCTGGGGAACTGGAGGGAGGCTTGGCGGCAAGCTCCGAGCGTGCCATCCTCTCCATGCCTAAAACTCCTAGTTGCCCAGCCCGTGCGAGGGCTGAGAACTGCCTTTAGAAAGCTAGGTGTTGTGCCTGGTCAAGGCCCCGCTTCTAAATAGGAAAGCATGAGGAACGACGCAGGTGGGTTCAGCGTTTTCCAGTTCTTTCTCGGCTACTTTTCCTCGGTGTCCTCTGCTTTGCGCATCCAGTTGTTCAATCCATCCTTCTGAGATTTGGCGCTGCCTGCGCTTCGCTCCGTTTCGGTCTCTGTGAATGTCTCCGCTCGTCCCTCCCTCTCCGGGTGTGCCTGTGGCCCTCTCTCTGTGTCGGTCTCCCTATCTCCCCATCTCCTGCTTTCTCTGTGGCACTGCACCCCCGATGCCAGCCCAAGTCGGCTCTCTCCGACATCAATCGTTCGCCCTCGGCTCGGTGCCCCGGCTGGTGATCTGTCTGCATGACGGGTCAAGGGAGGTATGCGAAGGAGGGGAACACGCAAGCGGCGGGTTGAGGGGGTCGGGGATGCGTCCCCGCAGCCACCCGGGGAATCAGCACATGGGCCAGACCGGGTCAGGGGCGGGGCCCAGGCGCGGCCCCGCCCCCGCCGCTCACGTGACTCTGGGCTAATCTTGTCCTGGTGACTTCACATGCCGCCTCGGGCCCAGTCGTCATGGTTACGCCGCAGCGCCCAGCGCTTCCCCCAACCCGCTGTGTCCCCTCCCCTTCCCCCGCCCGGACCCCCTCCTTCAGCCGCCAGGCCCCCGCCCGGTCCCGGCCACGCGCCCCGCGCCACGTGACGGCCGGGAAGGAGGTCGGGAAGGGGGAGGGGGCGCCGGGGCCGTAACCCGTTCGTCCCCGCCTCAAAGGGCCCCCGCTGGGGCTTCCCGCGGGACCTGCGAGCGCCCGGTCCCGACCTCGCCGCTGGGCACCTGCCGGGCGGGAGCGCTCGGGTCCCGCAGAGTAAATTCCTGGCTTGTGTTTGTCTTTGGCGTTACAGTGTACATCTAACCCCTCCGAGGCGCCGCTGGCTCGTAGCATATGTTGAGGATTCAGAGGCTGGATCTGTGACTTCAGCTTTCTGAGCCTCAGTTTCCTACAGAATATAAAGGGACCAATGGTAACGGCTCCTTCCTTGGGTGGTGGCGAAGAGCCAGGGAGGTACAGCGTACCTAGTGTAGGGACGGTCTTGGAGACTACCGCCCTGCCAGCGCCCCCCTCCCCGGTCCCCCCCCCCCCACCCTCGTGTCTTGTGAAGCCCTGGGACCCCGTGCGAAAGCTAGAGGCCTTCTAGGAGTCCAGGCTCTCAGAGGAGCCCGACACGCCCGAACACACTGTGCGTCCCGGATAACGGGAGCCATGATGGAGGAAGCGCAGGGGGCTGTGCCAGCCCCAGAAGGGACAGTAACTTAGAGTGGCGGGGAAAGGGAGGGGGACAGACTTCGAGGATGGAGATTTGGAGAGAAGGGGCTTGAGAAGCGCCTCCCTGGCAGAGAAGGCCTGGGGGCGGAGCTTGGGCGTCTTCCCATCTAAGGCACCCTGGGCAGATTATCCAGTACCTCTGTCACTAGGGGGGAGTTTCATTTTGAGGATTAAATGAGTTAATGCGCCTATTGACAGAGGCTAACATACATAGTAAGCCTTCCGTAAGAGTTAGCCATTATCATTAGGTGTCCTGGCACAAAAGCCTGACGGTACCCCGGTAGCGGGCACAGTTCTGTCTAGTCCGAACACCAGCGTCAGTGGGAGAGGAGGCTGGGGAGGGACCAGAGCGTGGAGAGGAGGCTGCTGGACCAAGGGCAGTGGGGGTCACTAAAGGGCTGGAAACAGAAGAGAGGGTCCTGGCCAATCTGTGTTTTAGAAAGATCCTTGTAAAGGCTGGTGGAAAATGGAGGGGGGGGAAGGGGCGGCGCAAGTGCAAGTATAGGAGACTAAGAGTCAGTGGTTCTGGGCTAAGTGACACAGCTAATGAGGCCTGAACTAAGACAGTAACTAGAATGGCGTTGGGTCAGCTTTTCAGAGGGGCCGATTCCAGTAGGAATCACCTGAGGTGCTTGTTAAGTATGCAGGTTCCAGGCCCACCCCACACCCGGTGAAAAAGTCCTTGAGACGCCTGGAAGTTGTTACAAGAGCTGAGACCGACGGAGGGGCCAAACCTGTCTATCTGTGTCGTCATCCAGTGACCCCTTTTTATGTGTAGATTCCTGTCTCCCGTTTGTGACTCAGAGGCTCTGATGCAGGGGTTCCCGGAGGCCCCTACTCTGAGGAACAGCCCTCAGGAATCATCACAGCTCATGATTTGTTAGCTGACTAGATGTGGAGGGAGACAGAAGACCAGAATGGCTCCAGATGTCAAGCTCTGGACAGGTTTGGTACAGGTTGAAGAATTCGCTGTGCCTGAGAGCTCGTCTATCCCTTTGTACCGCTGGAGAAATTGAGGCCCAGATCTAGTTTGCCTGAGGTTACACAGCCAGGTGGTGGCAAAAGCTACAATTCAGATTTTTTATTTTAATGGTTACCTTTTAAATAGCACCTAGTTACAAATTGGGACAAATCTCCGTTGTCTGGAAAGCTGGCTCTTGGTTTGGGCAGCTGGGGATGGGAATGGAGAAAGAGGAAAGGAGACCGACCCCCTGGGGGAGCAGCAGATCAGGTGACAGGCAGCACATGGGGGGTGAAGCAGTCGGCAGCCTCCTCCTGCGTCTGTGTTCCCCCCACCTGCTTCCCCCTCTGGATGCTTCTGCCTTTGCCCCCAGCTGTGCTGGGGGACAAGAGAGCTGACTGGTTGTGGGCTTCACTTACCCGGGTGTGTACCTGTGAGCCCTGGAGAGGGAGACCCTGATTAGAGCCCCGAGCGTGCCTTAGGATGATTCTCACCTGAGTTTAGAGTTCCCGCGAGGCCTCAGCTGTTTCACGTGTAAGTACACGAGCAGGGAGCCCCGGGTGCTGGCATGTGGGAGGCCCAGGAACGTCATCGAAGAGTGCCTGAGCGTCACGTGCATGAGCCTCCGTGCGAGGGAGATCTAAGTGTGTGCCTACTGTGTGCCTACAGTTGAGACTCAGAGTAAAACAGGCGTGTCTGAGAGACCCTTAGACCATGCATGTGTGTGCATGGGAGCTTCAAGGGAATGAAAAATGAGCTCCGGAGGGGACTTTCAGTAATCTTACGAGGGAGGATAAGGAAACTAGTCTGTTGCCAGAGTACTGGAGTTTCAGACCTAGCTTACCAGCAGGTATGTACCTGAGTGGGGCTGCTACCTGTGTCTACTTGACGGGGATACTCAGGTACGTTACTAATAGATGCTTGAGAGCAAGCTTGTGGATCGTGTTCCTAAGAGGGGTCCCAGGTGAAACGTGGAGGGGACCCAAGGGGAGTGAGGCTTGGGTGTCGCTTCCTTTTTTTTTTTTTTTTTAATATTTTTTTAATGTTTTATTTGTTTCTGAGAGAGAGAGAGAGAGAGAGAGAGAGAGAGAGAGACAGTGTGAGCGGGAAGGGTCAGAGAGAGAGGGAGATACAGAATCTGAAACCAGCTCCAGGCTCTGAGCTGGCAGTCAGCACAGAGCCTGACGCGGGGCTCGAACCCATGAACTGTGAGATCATGACCTGAGCCGAAGTCGGGTGCTCAACCGACTGAGCCACCCAGGCGCCCCTCGAGTGTCACTGGGCTGTTATGAGCGCAGATCCCCCGCCCAGGCCTCTGCCTCTAAGGTGAGCGTTCCAAGCTGGCGCACCTCGGGCCCACCATCCCTCCTGCCTTTGTTTCCATAGGGCCCACCGCTGGCCACCACGCCCGGGCCCAGAGGCCATGGCCTGCCTCCACGAGACCCGCACACCCTCCCCTTCCTTTGGGGGCTTCGTGTCCACACTAAGTGAGGCGTCTATGCGCAAGCTTGACCCAGACACTTCCGATTGCACTCCCGAGAAGGACCTGACGCCCACCCAGTGTGTACTTCGAGATGTGGTGCCGCTCAGTGGGCAGGGTGGGGGCGGACCCAGCCCCTCCCCAGGCGGAGAGCCGCCCCCTGAGCCTTTTGCCAATAGTGTCCTGCAGCTCCACGAGCAGGATGCAGGGGGCCCAGGGGGAGCCACTGGGTCCCCTGAGAGTCGGGCGTCCAGAGTTCGAGCAGATGAGGTGCGGCTGCAGTGCCAGAGTGGCAGTGGCTTCCTAGAAGGGCTCTTCGGCTGCCTGCGCCCTGTCTGGACCATGATCGGCAAAGCCTACTCCACAGAGCACAAGCAGCAGCAAGAAGGTAGGCCGTGTCTTCGCGGGAGCCCGTCTCACCGGGATCTGTGGGACGTCCCCACCTAATCCCCTGATGCCCCTTTGTTTCCCCAAGCCCGGCCATAGCCCCTCAACTGTCCATCAGCCACCGGCTTCCCCCCTGCTTTGGAAGATGCCTGTTTGGTTCCATACCGGGCCCCCCCAAACCTAGTCTTCATGGTCTGTTTTGGCTACTTTCCAGCCTTGGCCACCCTGAGTCATTTCGGCCAGCCCAGTGCGTCCCCCTTGCCTGACCATCACAAGGCCCCGAGCGCGGCTTTCTCTGAGCCTTGTGGCACTGTGCCTCCTGTTCACAGACCTTTGGGAGGTCCCCTTTGAGGAAATCCTCGACCTGCAGTGGGTGGGCTCAGGGGCCCAGGGCGCTGTCTTCCTGGGGCGCTTCCATGGGGAGGAGGTGGCTGTGAAGAAGGTACGGGACCTGAAGGAGACCGACATCAAGCACCTACGAAAGCTGAAGCACCCCAACATCATCACCTTCAAGTAAGGTCCAGGGCAGGGGCCACTCTGCTGTGGGCAGGGACCTGCTTGGGCAGCAGGGATCAACTCCATTCTTTCCTTTTTTTTTTTTTAAATTAGTTTTTTTAAATGTATGTTTATTTTTGATAGAAAGAGACAGAGACAGACAGAGTTCAAGCTGGGGAGGGGCAGAAAGCTAGTGAGACAGAATCCAAGGCAGGCTCCAGGCTCTGAGCTGGAGCCAGATGCGGGGCTCGAACTCACGGACCGTGAGATCATGACCTGAGTTGGAGGCTTAATCGAGTGAGCCACCTAGGTGCCCCAACCCCACCTTTTCCCAAAGACGATGCCCGAATGGGCTGCGTGGGAATGGGGGTTCCAGGTGTGAATCGGGAGTGCTAGGCCAGCTGAGGCCCTCACGCCATTGTTTGGCCCCCAGGGGCGTGTGCACCCAGGCTCCCTGCTACTGCATCCTCATGGAGTTCTGCGCCCAGGGCCAGCTGTATGAGGTACTGCGGGCTGGCCGCCCTGTCACCCCCTCATTGCTGGTTGACTGGTCCATGGGCATCGCCGGTGGCATGAACTACCTGCACCTGCACAAGATTATCCATAGAGACCTCAAGTCCCCCAAGTGAGTAAGCAAGCGAGCACAGAGAAGCTGGTGTGCATGGTCTCCTGCAGGTGACCCCACCTCTTAGCGTAGCCACGTCCCAGCTTCCAAACCCTGTCCTAAGCTCACGTGGCCGTCTCAAAAACCCCTCTCAAATGACAGTCCTGTCTTGGGAGGGCTGTGGCAAGCCCCGTACCTGTGGGTGTCCCAAATGACTTAAAACAGAAGGTTAGAGAGTTGCTGCAGCTTAGATGAGGTGCGGAGGGGCCTGGACCCCAGCTGACTACGATCTTTACCAGCATGCTAATCACGTACGACGATGTGGTGAAGATCTCCGATTTTGGCACTTCCAAGGAGCTGAGTGACAAGAGCACCAAGATGTCCTTTGCAGGGACAGTAGCCTGGATGGCCCCTGAAGTGATCCGCAACGAGCCTGTGTCTGAGAAGGTCGACATCTGGTGAGGGCCAGGTTTGAGGACTGAGACTGGCCGGTGGCCAACCCCGGGGACAGGGAGGAGGTTTCGGGGGCCTGAGTGCAAGGAGAGGAGCCCAGCAGCCAGGGCCTCTCAAGGGAGCCCCTCCCAAGGGATGTCCCCTTTTATCCCCAGGTCCTTTGGTGTGGTGCTGTGGGAACTGCTGACTGGTGAGATCCCCTACAAAGACGTGGATTCCTCAGCCATCATCTGGGGTGTAGGAAGCAACAGCCTCCATCTGCCTGTGCCCTCCAGCTGCCCAGACGGCTTCAAAATTCTGCTTCGCCAGTGCTGGTAAGGATGGCCTGGCAAAGCTGGGAAGGGAGGGTTGTCGCTGATGGTTAAGCCAGCACCTAGGACCCAGGCAGTCCAGGCCCAGAATCCTGAAGGCGGAAAAAGGGACAGACCTCCCCCATATGGCTTTCCAAGGCCTCAGGATTCAGGGCACGGATCAAGAGGACTGCAACTTCCAGCGGAGTGTTGCTGAACTGATCCAGAACCTACGAGGGTCCACTAGGTCGCTCTATGCAACGCTGAGCAAGTGGCACCCTCGTCTGTAAAACAGGGCCGCCGGTATCTGCTGCCCAGAGCTGCTCTGGTGTGCCTGGGAAGGGCAGGCACAGCCACTGAGCATGGCGGTTTGAGCCTCACGGTGGCTGCCTTAGAACTCAGGAAGGCGAGGGCCTTGAACTCCTGTTTGGAACCTAGACTCTGAAGGGAGGTTGGAGATTTCTAATCTTTGGTAACCATTTACTTCAAAGTATGTTTCTATTAACGGAATTAACTCAGAAAAAGGTTTTGGCAAACCAACTTGGAAAGTAGGATTAAATAGGTTTCCTTCCTGCAGGACTTTTGCCATAGAGTACTTTCTAGGATTCTCCAGGACCTGCTTTGGGAAAGGATGCTCTGGTTCCTTTCCGGTCTTCCCTGAAATAATTCCTTTGCCTCCCCCGACTCCCATTCCCTCCAGGAACAGCAAGCCACGAAATCGTCCATCATTCCGCCAGATCCTGCTGCATCTGGACATCGCCTCGGCCGACGTCCTCTCCACACCCCAGGAGACTTACTTCAAGTCCCAGGTGTGCTGTGGGTGGGAAAGTCATACGTCGTCAACTCCTGCCCTGGTGGGGGGAGGGGGCGGGAAAGGGCCGACTGAATGGGAGGTTAGCTCTTAGAGGGCGGAGACCCCATCTTGACCAGTCTGGCACCTGCTCCCTTCTCGCTCCCAGTCTGTCGGTAACAGCGCAGCACCCATCCAGGCTTCCTACAGGTGTGCGGCCCCTCACCCCTCATTGTCTGCCCGCCCCCTAGGCAGAGTGGCGCGAAGAGGTAAAGCTGCACTTTGAAAAAATTAAGTCCGAAGGGACCTGTCTGCACCGCCTAGAAGAGGAGCTGGTGATGCGGAGGAGGGAGGAGCTCAGGTGTGTGCCTGTCTGGGAAGGGAACCGTGTCAACAGCAGGGGCCGTAGGCCAGGTCCCAGAGACTGGGATGGATTACAGCACCAGGTGACCCTAGTTCAGCTGTGAGCCCCTTGTGCCTGTTTCAGACACGCCTTGGACATCAGGGAGCACTATGAAAGGAAGTTGGAGAGGGCCAACAACCTGTACATGGAACTTAATGCCCTCATGTTGCAGTTGGAGCTCAAGGAGCGGGAGCTGCTCAGGTAACCGCATGCCCCCTAGGGACCAAATCTCCGTGTGACCCTGGGCCCCCCTTTCCAACCACATGCCCTACTGAGGTGTCTGGTCTTCAGGAGGGAACAAGCTTTAGAGCGGAGGTGTCCAGGTCTGCTGAAGTCACACCCTTCCCGAGGCCTTCTGCATGGGAACACGATGGAGAAGCTCATCAAGAAGAGGAATGTCCCACAGAAACTGTCACCCCACAGTAAAAGGTGGGACCAGAGTTCACAAATGCCAAGGCTTAAGAATGGCAAGGGGGATGCCAAAGGCAGGGGTGGAGGTTAAGGATGCCAGGAAGATTGATCTATATAGGTGGGGACGTGTGCTCCGTACTACCCAAAGTTAGGGAGGGCTTTCAGTTGGTAAATTTGCGAATCTCAGACTTGTACTTTTTCCCTCCTACCCCCCCCCCCCAGGCCAGATATCCTCAAGACTGAATCTTTGCTACCTAAACTTGATGCTGCCCTGAGTGGGGTGGGGCTTCCTGGGTGTCCTAAGGGCCCTCCCTCACCAGGGCGGACTCGCCGTGGGAAAACTCGTCACCGCAAGGCCAGCGCCAAGGGCAGCTGCGGAGACTTGCCTGGGCTTCGTGCAACTTTGCCGCCCCATGAACCTGGGGGACCAGGAAGCCCAGGGGGGCTAGGAGGGGGACCCTCAGCCTGGGAGGCCTGCCCTCCAGCCCTCCGTGGGCTCCACCATGACCTCCTGCTACGAAAGATGTCGTCATCGTCCCCGGATCTGCTGTCAGCAGCACTGGGAGCCCGGGGCCGAGGGGCCACAGGGGGAGCTGGGGATCCTGGCTCACCCCCTCCAGCCCGGGGAGACACCCCGCCGAGTGAGGGCTCAGCTCCTGGCTCCACCAGCCCAGATTCACCTGGGGGAGCCAAAGGGGAGCCACCTCCACCAGTAGGGCCTGGTGACGTGGGGCTGCTGGGAACTGGAAGGGAAGGGACGGCGGGACGGGGAGGAAGCCGGGCTGGGTCCCAACACTTGACCCCAGCTGCACTGCTGTACAGGGCTGCTGTCACCCGAAGCCAGGTAAAGTATGGGGTGGTTCCTAGGCTCTTCCCCTCTCCTTGTTCTCCCTGGGACCCACGTCCATAACTCACTTCCGTATTAGGTCTTCATCTTAAACCATTCCCCACTTAACCCTTATGATTGTGTTCCCTTCTCCTGGGTCCTTGCTGACATCTTCCCTCTTTTGACCACAGTCCCCTCATCTCTCCTGCAGAAACGTGGCATCTCATCAGAGGAAGAGGAAGGAGAGGTGGACAGTGAAGTAGAACTGACATCAAGCCAGAGGTGAGTGACACAGGAGGGTAATGACAGTCATGCTTTTTGAGCTGCAAGGTGTGCTGACTGTAGCCCCTGCCTCCCCAACATGCAGGTGGCCCCAGGGTCTGAACATGCGCCAGTCACTATCCACCTTCAGCTCAGAGAACCCATCTGATGGGGAGGAGGGCACAGCCAGTGAGCCTTCTCCCAGTGGCACACCTGAAGTTGGCAGTACCAACACTGATGAGCGGCCAGACGAACGGTCGGATGACATGTGTTCCCAGGGCTCCGAAATCCCACTGGACCCACCTGCTTCAGAGGTGGTTCCTGGCCCCGAACCCAGCTCCTCATCCATCCCACCCCAGGAACTACCCAGAGGGGAGCAGGTAAGTCACAGAAACAGCTAGGTATTAAGGAGCAGATGCTTGGTCATTTGGGACCTACTGGTTACATAGGAGCGAGGAGAGGCCAGAAAGAGAAGTATTTAGCCTCCAAGTCCCAGTTCCGCCCACACCAAAGAGCAAATATCCACGTGGTAGAATTTGAGAGGCCCTAGTATAGAGCACATCGTATGGTTAGTAGGTTAGTAGTGTGGCTTGTATGTATAAATTGCAGCCGAGAGCAGTCCTGAAACCAGAGTCTGGTGCCTTGATCTGAAGCAGCGCAGTCTGAACTGCTGGCTATTACAGAAACCCCAGTGAGGATCCTGAAAGAATCGATTTTATTTGTAATGCCAAGAGATGCCTCGCCTCACCTCACCGCGTTTCTACTCTTCACAGGGCCCTCGCAATTCTGAGGACTCAGACTGTGACAGCACTGAACTGGACAACTCCAACAGTGGTGAAACCTTGCAGCCTCCAGCCTCCCTCCCTCCATGAAAGCCACTCTTATTCCTGTACATAGAGAAATATTTATATAAATAATATATAAGCGCCACATAATCAACAGAGAAAGATGGGGCTGTCCCAGCCTTAAGTCAGGCTCAAGGGAGTCTGACCCCTGACCAACTCACCTGATAAAACTCTAGGGATACCGGCAGCTGTGGAAGTGAAGGACAAGCACTACCCTAGAGCTGTGGGTGCGGGCAAACTGGCCCCTTCCTGCTTCACCCCGTTATGTTCAGCAAGCGGTAAGGCAATACACAAGCCAAACTTGCCTCTTATGTTCCTCTATACTTTCCCCCCTGACCCTGGGGAGGAGGAAAGGGAGCCACTTAGACTGCACTTCTTCCCCCCCCCCCCCCCCCGTTTACTCTGTTTACACATTTTGCACTTGGGAGGAGGGAGGCTAAGGCTGGGTCCTCCCCTCTGAGGTTTCTCAGGTGGCAATGTAACTAATTTCTTTGTCCCTCCATTTCTCTGCCCAAGCCCTGGCTTAGGGCCTAGGGGGAGTTTAGGAGATTGTGAAAGCATGTGACGGCTCAGGCTGAAGAAATGGGATGTTGTTTTAAGTCCCTGCTTTTATCCTGGTGCCTGATTGGGGTGGGGACTGTCATATTGTAACCCCTGTGAAAAATCTTAAAATATAACCACTCCATGCAGGCCCAGCTGTTGAGGGTTTTTTTGGTGAATGTACGGGGTAGCACACATGGTCATGTGGTAGCCTTAGGCTCCATACATTACCTGAGGAGTCTGGACAGGTTATTCTCTCCTTTTATGTGGTGGTTTATTTACTTAAAAGTTCCAACCTAAAATTATCTGCGAAAATGGGAACAGGTACATTTTTCTAAAGGACTTTAGTAAAAGGACAGAAACTGTTATAACACCCATTTTTATGAAGAGAACTGTAAATGAATTCAAAACAGGAAACTGATTTTTAGCTTGGCCAAGGATGGAACAGACATGCCCAGCAACCTGAATCCCAGTCACATCACACGCATCCAACTACTTCCCAAGTACACATGTGCATCCTTCCCCACCCCCCGCCCCTCCAGTGGAAGTGCTTGCCTACTCTCTGCAGACAAGTCCTAGGAAAACTTTCGGACAAAGGGCACACAACCAGCTTGCAACAGCTATTAGATCACTTTGCAATGAAGGCTCAAGGGAAAATTGGATCAAGGGCTACAGAAAAAATGATGGAGTGGTAAAACAGAAGAAAACATCTTAACTGGAATAAAGGCTTATATTCAAAACCTAAGCAGGGTCCCTGTCTTTTGAGGCATAAAAGGTGCAGAGAGAACGGCAAGACAACAGGAATAAAACCCACATGAATCACTGTGGCATCCAGTTTCTATTCACAAAGAAAAAGCTCCAGTCCATCTTTTAATTTTTTTGAAAAATTCCTGACATTACAGAACTAAACTGAAATGTATTAATATTCCACTCTTACATTTCCATGACAAACAGAAAAAAAAAAATTCATGAGCCAAAAAAAAAAGGGGGAGGGAGAAGCTTATAAAACTAAATATGGATCTCAGCATTAACAGCTGAACAGAGAAAGGAATTAAAACGCTTTAATTAAAAAATCACGAGTGGATGATAAAGTGTGTAGAAACTGAAAATTTACAAACTATTTAAAACCTGGAATCGCTGACTGTTCAGAAACTACACAGATGGATCATGGGTGGTGGTGAACAGCAGAAAGGGATTATGGATGAATCTGCATTGTTCTAGCTGCTCCCCATGCCACCCGTCTCCGAGGAAAGCCTGTAACACAAAAAATAAACAACTCAAAGTTAGTTTGCTGAATGCCCAGCTGCACCTCACCTCCAAGAACTGTTAGCCTAGTTGGTGAGATGTAAAGGAGTATACAGTGTTTCAGTGTCGAGGGAAATACTTGAAGATTGGTTGGATTGGTACTTGGTACCATGAGCCTGTAACCCGTGCCATCCAGTCTTCCTGAGCCAAATCACCTCAGAACAGAAGGAAACAGACTCTGGTTACCAACTGTGGGTGTTCGTCTAATGATGCTCTTTGGAATATTTGTGGGAGATGTTAAATGCTTTCCAAAAATACGCCACACACGAAAACCTCCTCTTACAGGCTCACAATACATGGAAGCAACTTTTCTTTCTTTACTGCCGAGCTTATTTTAGCTCCTCCCAAGCTACTGATAGCAAGCAGCTTAGGAAACATTTATCTGAAAGTAGCCTCATGAGGCCAATGTTGAAACTTAAAAAAAGACTTCAGTCAGTCCTGGGTTTTTCTAGCATTATGAAGGTTACTCCTATTAAGAGAATGTAATTCTAAACGCTAGGGGCTGTTAAAAAGGGAACAGCCAAGTATAATTAAGTATGGATCAAGAATTATATTCAACCTATAGTTTTCAGGACTTAAAAAAGTAGAAGCCAACATAATGTTTCAACAACTCCCCAGTTCATTCTAGAAGCTCCGAAAACCTTTGGTCTCCTTAATTAAGCTAAACTTTCCACCCAAACGTACCCAGCTAAAATGCTTTCTGTCTCAAAAATATCACTTAGGGTCCGGGAACCCAGTTTTGAGCTCTGAAGGAAAAGTATTTAGGCATTTAGTCCGCTTCACTGATTACTGCATAGTCAGCAAGTCTTAGCTCCCACTTTGAACAGAACTAAGTGTAAGACTCAGTTTCAATTCCTAAATTTAGTTCATAAAAATGTTGAACTGACTGGCATAACCTACTTGTGTATCTAGTCAAAAGAAAATGAATGGTACTTTGCCATCTCTATCCCTTCCACAACAAAGCCACACCCAAAGGCTGGTCTGACAGGGAGAGGGGGTGATGAGGACACCCAAGATCCAGGAAATAGGTCCTTCAACTACAAACCTGTATTTAATTTTAAGTCTGAAATTGTACTTCTTCCTCAGCATAAAGGGGAATAGTTCTTTAAGGGGGCTGATTCTTGCCCACCTAAAAACAGGATGACCTAGGGCAATATAAAAAGTAAGCGCTGAACGAAAGAGTTTAGTGAGGAGGGAATTTTCAGGAAAGGAGCTGCTAGAAACAGTTTAGATTCAGGACCCAAAGAAAGCAAGTTCATGCAAGAAGGTGACGATGCTGTGGCACCAAAAAGAGCTCAAAAAGAACTACCCAGCATTTACAGAGCCTAAGCATTAATTGGGGGAGGGGGTGTAGAAGGGGCAGAAAGGGAAAACCCAACCGAAGCATCATGCTAAGGACTCTGTGATAGAAGGTCCACATGGTAGATCTGAGAAGTTTGAAAAGTTCAAAAAAATTGAACACCAAGTACCTTTGGAGGTGGTGGTGGCAGCTAAAACCTCAAACATCTGCTTCCTTCCCCACAGCTCTCCTTTAAGGAATACTCATTGGGTAAAGAGGCCTTCTAATCAAAAACTAGATAACATAGAAACCAGGTCTCTGGGGGGGGAGATGGTACCAGCAAAATTAAGTCCTAACTACAGAAAGCAGCTTATTAAGGGAAAGCTGGACCAAATGATAAAGGAGCAGTCAGCAACTAACAAGAAAAACTACCTGGACAGGTTGCTCCTCTGGTCCTTCATGAAGACTTGGGACATGCTAACACTAATTCATAGGGCCAATCTGGGATTGAGGGACCACAATGGCAGGAGATAATACACTCCAACACTTAAAAGCAATTAGTTGTTGTTGTTTTTAACACTGTAAGCCAAATGGGATGTGGGAAAAGATCATTTGGGGTGGGGGGGAGGAGGGTTTCTACACTAGTTCTCTAACGCCTTAGGAAGAACCATATGCATTCAGGTTGAATGGAAGGCTATCAGAGGCCTTCTGCCATTACACCATTTCTACAGCATTTTTAGTCTTTTGAAGAGACAGAGCTGTGATCTTGGGATAAAATAAGGCTTGAGGGAGATAAAAGTACACTTGAGGAAAGTAAAGCTGTTAGTGCTGACTAATCACTCATGCGATCTGCGAATTTAAATTTTCCAAGGCTTTTTTTAAAAAAAAAAAATCTGATAAAGCCAGTGGATTGTTGAGTTATAACTGACCTTAAAGGTTCCTTCTAAATCTAAGTTTGTAATTCTCAGTTCATGACAGGGCTGGTGGGAGACAGAAGGGTGGACAGGGAATGGAAGGAAGGGTAAAGGGACTTAAACAGGGTTATTTTAAGAATTTCCTGTCAAATTCTGGGTGATATTATAGTTGCTTGTCCAAGATTTACCCAGTGTCAGAGGAAGAGGGGTAATTCTCATTCAGAGGAATGAAGACAAAAGCCAGCAAACTTTACTGGACTTTTTCCAACTTGCCTCCTCATTCTAGGTAAAGAAGTAACTTCTTTATATGTATGTTCTGTAAAAGATCCTCAAAATAACCACTAACCAGAGGAAACAAGCCTGGGATGGACACCCTTGTTACCTGATGCTAATGGCAAGGTAAGGGATCTGAGAAGTCAGAGAAAATGTTCTTCACTAAAAAATCTTAATGGAAGACCCTCAGGATTTATCTGCTACAGGCCCATCTCCTTTTGTGGGGAATGACAAAGGACTAAAACTAAATTAATTAGGGATACAAACAGGCCAGAGTCAGTTTTATAGACTCCCTAAGTTGAGTAGCCACAGGCCACAAGCTCCCACCCCTTTACCCTTCACAGCACACAATCAACTAAAGGTCTTACTGTGGCAACTTTATTACAGCTAGAAACACAAATCTGGCCAAGAAGGCCTGCTGATAACCATTAAATAATTTAAAAAAAAAAAAGTTAACGGAGAAGCTTTTATTCATTAACACAGAGCCTAACACATTGTTATATTGCAATGCAGAATAAAACTACAAAAAAGTAACAGAATGAAAAAGAAGAGCAAGAACTGTGGCTCTAGATAAAGAATTCAACAAGTCAGACTCTGAAACAGGCACTCTGATGAAATGGCCTAAACCTAGCCCCAGGTTACCATTGCCCCCACCCCCACCCTGTTATTCCCAAAATAGTAAAAAGGAAACGGTCACAAGCTCACAATTGTTTGGTTCTCACCAATGTTAACAAAGAAAAACAAAATAAACCAAGAAATACTTGAGGGGGTGCCTCAAGGTATTCAATCAGTAGGGGGAGAATCTCTGTTTCTCGCCTTTCAGTTTGTTAGTTACACATGGCACGGCAGAAGTGGTGGTGGTGGTAGCTGAAGCCCCGGTACCCTTAGCAGCAGACACAACATTTAGAGCCAGGAGAGGGATGGGTTTCATGCCAAGCAGACTGGAGACACAAGGGGCGGTCGGAAGAGGGTTGGGGAGGCTGGAGGGTGCGTCGGAGGTCCCCGCTGTGGCGAGCGAGGGGGTGGTGGTGGAGGAGGAAGAAGAAGAAGAAGGGGTGGAGGGTTGAGAGAGGTTGATGCTGAGGTGATCAGGGATCGTGACGGAGGCTGCCTGGGAGGAGGGTTTAGCGTTTTCTAAACTGTAACAGAGGAAAAAAAGGAACAAAAAAAAAGGGTGGGTGGAAGGGAAGACCACAAAAGGGAAAAAGTACAGGACAAAAACTGCTTGTTATCAGTTAAGTGCCTCTGGTTGCAAATTAGGAAGACCTAATACCAACTTGTGATAAGCTGCCCTTCTTTAAGTCTGTGTCCCGCCCTCTAAAAATGTATACTTTGCCAAATTCCATTCCATGATGCTATTTAAAACTGCTGTGGTGAAGGAAAAGCTGACAGACAGAAAAGAAATCACACCGAGCACACTTCTGTGTATCTGACACATGGATCCAACCCAGGAATCAGAAAGGATTTCAAAGTAGAAAATGAAAGAATACTTGTATCAGAACAAATGTCTCTCACCCACCAATCACTTGTGAAGCTGTGGAATGTTACTGTATAGAATTAGAAAAACCTTTCCCTAGTATTGAAGTCTGCTTCTATCTCTACAGCAAACTACCCAATATATTAGGACAGGAAAGGACAAGAAACCAAAGTAGGTCACTAATTTCAAAACTTCAAAGAATGTAGCATTTTCAAAGAAAAATGCTGAGAACAGAAGTATAGATAAGAACTAGGAAAGCTTCATTTCTGGTAGGAGGAGAGGTGAGAAAAAAAAGCCTTGTTTTTAACTGATCATACTTCTTACGGAATTGGAACATACTCCTGCACGGCCGAAAAACTCACTTAAGAATGTAAAAATATGCCTCTATTCCTAAAATAAACTCTAAATAACAGTAATGACCTGGCAGCTCCCAAATGCCTGCATGTTTCCATAGCAGAACTGCAGTATTTGCTGACAATTGTCTGGTCAACCCGCCCCACAAGGGCAGGGACCCTCCTCTTAAGATTCCATTTTGTTTACCAGAAGTCCAGAGACTCTTACAATCGATAAAGCGGGGGAATACAGAGAGGACTCACACTGACAGAAGAAACACTCCGACTGCACTACTGAAAACAGAGAAATCTTTCTTGCCTGGTAGTAAAACCAGTTTGCTTTCTGCATTCAAACTGGGCCAAGATGGACAAGTGAAAAGTAAGCTTTGTGCATGTAGTCTTTGATGTTAAATGAAGCTTTAAAAAGTTGTAACACAAATCCATAGTTTGGACAGTTTCATTAAATAGGATGACCCTAAACAGCCAGCCATTGAGTAAAACAAGGATGATGCTCAAAAGAGTGACTGAATCAGGAAACACTGGTGGAGAAGTTCTGGTTCCTTACAATGTAGACACTGACCCAAGTACTGGAGTCAAACAAACTGCTTCCATTTAAGCACTATCTGACAATATTCAGAGCAAGCCTACCCAAAGCAGAAGAAAGCCATCTCCAGCTTCCAAGAACATGATTCTCACCACTTAACTCCTTCCCACACCCCAATTAGAAACAAGATAAACCTTTGCAAACAGCCTGTGCAGAAAGTTTACTACCATTTCACACTGAAATGTTAAGAATCTGATGTGCTTGGTAGCTGAAGAAAGCAGATCTAGACACAGAATAGTCTTTTCTACATAAATACTAGTAAATACCTCACAGCATTAAAAGGCTTAATTAAGACAAAAGTCAAAACCACTGGGAAATTGATAAATTCTTAACCAGGAGATAAAAGACAGTGGAATAAACACAAAGTCAGTGAGTGTAAATGTAACAGACTTCATTCCTATGAATTCCTTTCCCCTGCAACTAGATTCAAGAACTCTGAACACCTTTTGTGTGCAACAAAGACTGAATAGTTATGACAGAAGTAAATGACAAGTAGACAAAAATCTACATAAAAAGGATGGCTGAGCTCCTTGCACAATGGGCTAACTGGCTTAGAATGTTAGTAAGCAATTAAAAACAGGACTTAAGCACAAGTGCTGAGAAAGCAAGAAATATAAACGTTTTGTAGGATGCCCAAGGGACATGGTCCTGCTACAACTATAGTGTGTGGTAACACCAGCTAGGTTTGGTAAGAAAAATGAAACCTCAGGAAGTCATTAAGGTATGAGATGGTGGCGGGGAAAAAAAGAAAACACACTAGACATATCTGAAATATTCTCAAGCCTGTGCCTCCCCTTTCCTGCAAGCTGTGAACAAAAGAACACATTTGCAATTTGAGAAAAATGGATGTTTTGAGAATGGTAATAATGGCTGCTTCCAAGAAACTACCTTGCTGTCAACACTACATTTTCCTTAGATCAATTAGGGCGCTTTGGGACTAAACCCAATCAAAGAAATATTCATCTTTGATACGCACAGCAAAAGACCTACATTTGGTTTTAAGTCACTATGTGTGCTCTAGTCAGAGCACTATCCTCCTAGTGAAAACATAACCCTTTCCACTCCGAAAAACAGCAAAACAAATCCAAGCCTTCTATTCCCCTCCCCCATTCAAATGTTACAATCTGGTTACTTTTTCTATTACACTAAGACTGGATTAAAGTAGGGCTAGACTTAAAACTTTATTGTCCTCTCCACCCATCCCCACTCCCCTCCCAACTCCCACATTTAGTAATACACTAGCTTTCCCCAAAACACACATTACTTGTGTTGCCATCAATAAGACAAAAGGCAAGGAGGGAACCCTTACCTGACATTGATTAGATATTGAGCCAGGCTAATGCTGGCAGCAGATCCAGTGATGGTAACCTGCCTATCAGTAGATCCTTCCACTGGGTTCGCAATTTTGATCTGCGCCCCAGACATCTGACGGATCTCATTGATTTTGGCGCCTTGACGCCCGATTATGCAGCCAATCAACTTAAGGAAGAAAAACAACAAGGCAGACCAAATTAAGAGTTGCATGGCTAGGTCCAAAAATTCCACCCTATCCCTCCAGCCTTTCATAGCTTGGGTCCACAATAATGGGAACAGAAACTACTTATCTGCGTTCTACTCACATACTCCTGATTTAAAAACCTAAGTTATAGACTGCATCTCAATTCTTGTCCTATTGTTTTGTCTGACCACTAACAGGTCAGAGCCAACTCTCAGTGGACTGACTCCTAGTAGCATTAGCTCACTCCCTCAGGGTACTAACTAGACAAAATAAAACAAAGCCAAAATGATAATAAATCAGTTTATTATGGCAAGGGATAATAAAGGTCTCTGGTTTTTGTCAACCAAGGTGCCTAAATTCATCCTGCTAGGATTACCATTATAATACACTAGTAAGAATTCTGGCTAATTTCTAATGCTTTTGCCTTCAGAAAAGTAAAAAATTGGTCTGCATTCATACTGTCTGATACACACTAATAACATGATATTGAACACAGTGTAGCTAACGAGACTGAGAAACTGAGTTTATTAGTCTCACAATTTAAATAGCCACATGTGTTTAGTGATTATTGTGTTGGACAACGTAGAATTATCAACTACTACTTTAAGCAATAAGGCTTCAGATTATACAAGAAACCAAGGCAATTAGGGGAATTTATATCTGAAACAAAAAGGCTCTTTCTGCCTCATGAAACTGTAACACAATAGTTTTATCATATTCTCCAGTTTTTATTCAAGAATCTACATACTTTAAAATTTTTAATTTGGGATCTTAAAAAAGCCCACTTCCTTCCCTAGGTCTTAAAAGTGGCATGACCCTGCGTCAACAGTCTTATTTTTATCCCATGAAACCCTATGAACTATACTTACATCGTTTGGAATGGTGAGTTCATGAGAAGTAGTCTGAGCAGATGCATCCAAACCTGCTAAAAGACAGAAGAGAGCAAGGAAGTTCAATGCAAAGCATACAATCCCCCAACTGATTTGCACATTAACCTAACAGAAGGAAATAAACTGGAAACCCAGCATTGGCTGTTGGGATTCATCACTAACTTGGATGCCTCCAAAGAGGAAAGAGGGGGAAAGGGTACAGAAATAATGCTGGAAAGGTTCTTCTGTACACTCAGAAGAGCTGATTTCATGCCATTTCCTGCAAAGCCCAGCCTATTATTAGCATGTAAGGGGATGGAAGCAAGGGGCAAGGGAATGTAGTACTCAAAAAGGACCAAAATCTAACCAAGTCCTTCTGCACTGCTCCCCTTTTCTGCTTAGGATTTCCTGCTGCTGTTGTGTTCCAATTTTATCTCACCTGATGCTCACTAGCACCAGTGCCAATATCATGCCTGTTACTGGGTACCATGGACTTTTGGCAGACATGCAGAGTTGCTTTAAATATACCTGTATCAGATTAACACCTCCCCCAATCCTAACCTACACTTGAAGGTCAGAGAGAATGAAATGGCAGCCAGGTGAGGGAAGTTTATTTCTCCAGATTTATTCCCTGTCTTTTGCTCAATTGCTCAGTAATTTTTTTATTTTTGTTTTCCAAAGAAAAAGAAAAAAATCCCATTAGCAAACACTCATACCCATCAGTAATACTAACACCTGGACCCGACCAGGTCAGCTAGTTAACTCTCAAAGCTAGTCTTGCTCTCAGTTGTGGCTGCTAAACATTTTTAGAAGGGGGTTGGCCAGATCCATCAAGGGACCCTCAGGGGCACCAGGCCCACCCCTTTGCTCTCTCAGCTCCTTTCTGCCATGTGCATGTTGCTGGTATGTCATGGGCAGTGAAACAAGACTCCCACCAGTTTATTAATATAACAGTAGAATACTACAGATTTTTTTTTTTAATCATTACCCCAATAGCCTTTCACCTCTGGAGAGCTGGATTCAATGCCTGTTAAGATACAAGTGAAAATGAGTTTGGTGGTCTCATCCTAACCCTATCGGACAAGTTATTCCTTATACAGAAAAAAAAACCCCAAAAACAAAATAAAACAAAAACAAAAACTACACAATTTGGCACAAATGGATTCTCTACCCAGATCTGTGAATAGCTGGTGGAGAGAAAGGGGGTGCCAATCAGATCAAAGGGGCAGCAGTGAGGATGGGTTAGAAGAAATACCAGCCTACCCTTTGCCTGACAAGCATCCCCAGACCTCACCCCAAACCTTCCAGGGCTTTTTTAAGAATAACTCACCCCAAATGAAAACCAAGTTAACAAACACATTACCTCTTTCAGTTTAGCGATAGAAGACAGGCAAGTTTAAACCAGCAGGATGCTGGGTAACGAAGTATGTTTTAAACAGATGTCAAACTGAGACCTTGGGGCTGGCCTCTGTCTTGCACTACACCTTACAGAAATAAACACTGAGGTATCCATACCACTGAATCCGGTGTTGCCATGCGTCATGGGAAAATGAGACTGTTGCATTGCCAACTGGTGCAGCTTGGTCAACTGCAGGGAGGAAACAGGAGAGGTTGGCATTAGAAGAGTAAGAGAGCCAGGGTTCATGGACATTCAAATTAGAAAATGCAGAGCTCCTGATCCCCAGAGTTGACTCTACTACTCAACTACAACATAGGATGAAGATGGGGCTTATACCATAATCCTGGGGATGGGCAAAATATGAAGCTAAGGGTTAGAAATAGAAAGGGCACCAGTACAGGAGAATGAATGCATTTTGGGTGTGTGAAAAGAAAAGCAGCAGCACCCGGCCAACAACCATCCCCTTGTGGGCTACTTAATGAAGGTGTTTGCAGCCATTGCAACAGTTGCCCCAGGGACAAGCACAGACAGGCTAGGTAAACAAACTGTGCAGTGGTGCTAGGGAAACACACCATGCAGGGTTCTGTCAGTATCAGGAGGAGGGAAGGAGATGAGGGGGCAGGGAGACTGCAAGGAGGAGAAAGATTAAGATGAAACCAAACTGGGCTCAGCACCCCCTCACCAACAGATTTCTACAGCTTTTCTTCTTCACCTATGTGTACTATCCTGGCTGTTATAAAACAATCCCTCCTCAAGGCTAGTTTCTCTCTTGGGCCAAACACTAACCAAGAACCAAACCCAAGATCCCAAGTCTAATGCTCGACACCTGAAAAGGTTAGTAATGACAGAGCAAAGTGCAGAAAGAAAATGCCCTTAAACGAAATCTGAATACCATTACTTTTAAGTAGTTTTTAGTGGCAAGAAAGGTTTTATGAAGTTGAATCCCAATATTCAGCTTCTTATTCTTCCCTGTGCAAATAAGCCCCTTTTCGCCCCTCCTGAGGCTTTTTCAATTGTCACCTCAAACTGAGGAGTACAGTACCCAAGGGAAACCCAACCTCCCCCTCCTCCCCCACAGAAGGACTCCATGAAGAGATGCAGTCTGTCCACTGTCAATTTAGACTGTGCCCTGGAATAACAAATGATAATACACCATGGAACATTTCTCTTTTAGACACAGTAATGTGGAAAACAGAATAAAATAGAATCTAATAATCTGCTGGATTATAATTTCCAGTGATTATAATATCAGAAGGCAAACAAAGTGCTACTATGCCCTGATTAGAGTTTATTTAAGGGCCAAAAGATGGGGTTCACCTTGCGAGGAAAACAATACTCCATATGCTTAAGACCCAACTCACTTCTGCCTATGTGGAAGAAAGAGTGAGACAATTTTGGATGGGAGAGGGAGCTTTTCAAAACAAGAAGTGAAAACAAAACTTACATCTGGCTGTGGAATGGCATACTGTCCTTGAATGGTATAGGCCTACAAAAGGAGGAAAACAGTTCCTATTAAAAAAAACCAATCAGGGACAGCCACCCAGCGGGAGAGGGGGAGACAGATTTCAACTAGCCAGGAAGCCAGAGTTGAACTAGAGATGGGGGAGGCCACAGACTGAGGCAGTAGATGGTATCTCACAAATACAGTCAGACATGAGTTGGCTTTCTTTGAAACCTAAATATGATGACTTATTCCAGGAAGCCTATCAAGGGAGCCAAGTTCCCTGCAATCAAAGGCAAAATACACATTTGTTTCTTAATGAAAAGGTGGGAAGTGGGATTAAGCAATGCCTCGATTGACCAAGCCCCCTTCTTTCTCCCTCTGTACAAGAAAGCCAAGGAGGAAAATGGTCTCTACCCTCAACCACCCCAACGCTTATACCAATCATGATGACATGAGTGTTCATATCTGTATCAACCTACATGGCATGTTCTTTAACACTTGCCTTTCTTTCCCTACTTATTTTTTTCTACAGTTGCCTAAAGACCTTAAGTGCTCTGGAAGCTGGCTTAGTCCCTGACACTAGGGAGCTGATCATAGGAATGCAAATAAATAACTCACTGTGTTCTAAATCCTGCACCTTCTCCCACCTCCCCCTCCATAAAAGGCACTTGCAGCTCCCACTACACCCTCCTCCCCCCCACACCATCACCTCCGAAAAGGGAGCTGGGTCTTCAGGGCAATGGGGTGGGGGACAAGAAGGAACAGGAAGGGAGGGAAAGGAGTGGCTGGTTAAAAGGATGTGAAGCTTTTCACATCACAGTGGCCAGTACCCCCAAAAGTGCACCCAGGTGGGGGTGGGAAGGTGAAAATGGGATAGGAAGAGTGGGAGATGGGGAAGAAGGGTTGAACAACAACAAAAAAAAAAAAAAAAAGGAAAAAAAAAGGAAAAAAAAGGAAAAAAGAAAAAAAAAGAGAGTTGGTGTTACCATCTGGTGGGCTACGCGGCCTGTGTGAAATGAGGTGGGGGGGGTCAGTCCAGGTCCCCGTGGACAGGTGGTGTCCACAGCATAAAAATCACCAGCGCCACTGGCCCCCCGCGTGTTGGCAGTCTCGGCTGAGGCGGAAGGATTGAGTGAGCCTTGGAGACTGAACATCCCCTCTCACCTCTAGAGGTGGTCCCTCCAGGTCAGGGTTGAGGCACATGGACGGGGTGGTGTGGGGAAAGCTCGCACTGTCGCTGCCTGTGCTGTACCTGTCCTGTGGATAAATAGAGGATTTCAGTCTCCAGGGCTGTCAATCCGGCACCTTGTCACCAGCATGAAATTCACACAAAAAAAGTTGTTTAATTTTTTCTTTTCCTTTAAAAAGGAGCTCACGACACAATTTGAAACGAGCTGCAATCAGTGAATTAAAAAAAAAAAAAAAGTTACCTTGTGGCAGGTATCACACTGCACAATTGGGCTATTTTCAGTAAGAATGAAGGGGTGGGGCAACAGAGCTGATGCCAGCTACTGGTCAATGTGGGATTAAGTTGAACCCCTATAGAGCCCACTTTTGTCACAAAGGAACAAAAGATACAGGTCCATCTGTGGACGTTGCATAAATTGGTCCATTTAAAAAGGCCCATGGGAATAATAAGGGCCACTCATGAAAGAAGCTGCAAGCCTTTAGAGGGTGGTCAACTGAATAAAGGGTGGGGGTGGGGGGAAGCAAAGAGGTAAGAAGGGGGAGGTGGAAAGAGGAGGAAAGGAAAGGGAAATAAAGAATTATAGAGGATTGCCGCTATGCAGCAAGGGACTCTTTATATAATCCCAAATGGGAGTGGAAGTATCCAGAAGAGCAGGAACCTGGAGTTCCTGGGGGAGAAGGGAAAACTCCTAAGGCTACGCCTCCTTGCTATACTGACTCTGGGCCTTTGTTTATCCTGCCTGCCTATCCAGACTGTTGGAACCCTTTGACCAATCCAGTTTCTATAAAGCAAGGTACTAAACTGTCTCAATATTGTTGACATAATTAATTTCTTGTGAAAGCTCCCAGAAGCACATGACAAACTAAGTCCCCAAAATCTTGTTCAGTTTTATGCCAACTCAAAATAGAATGTGAATGAGATGGACTTCGTTTAGGCTTCCCCCAATTCAAACACAAGATGGAACTAATTGAGTAAGTGTGCTTAGAACAGGCCAGCCCCTCTTTGGGAAAAGGCATTTTGAGCAATGTACTTGCTTGCTTTGGCAGCCACCAAAATGAAGGTCACTATTTCAACCTGAACCCCAACATTTAAAAAACTAACCTACCTACTCCTCAAATACTAACCAACAAAGCATAAAACTACCATGGTTCTGACCCATGCTCTTGTCATAAAAATCTAACTTCAGAATAAACCATGTGCCAAAGATCAAGAGTGTTAGGTGGGTGAAGCAGAGAGAGGCCAAGGGGGTGCTTTGGTGTTCTTACTCTAACACCAAAGGTCATAGCACCACAGCCCAACATGCTCTCCCCCTTCTATTCTTGCACACTGAACCCTTACCCCGGGCTGGTTTCAGTTATGCCATGTGGTTATGCCTCAAACCAGCTTATGAGGTTAAGAGCCTGGGGAAACAACACACTGGAACTCAGGAGTGAAGGGGTAGGAGTAGGGGAGGTGAGGTGGGGGGGAGGGGGAGGGGAAGTTTGTAGGACACTCAAGTTCAGGACCCCCCAATTTTGAGACCACCATCCAGAATCTCCTTCAGAGGTCCAGTTCTTTGCTACTTTTATTTAGACCTCTAAAGAACACCCCACTCATTAAAAAGCATGGATGGGGTGGGGGTGGGGGGTAGGGAGAGAAGTACTGACACCAAGGCAATTTAACCCTTTCTTCTAACCCAACCCACCTTAAATTACCAAGTAAATTACCTCTTCCGAGTGCCTACAAAACTCCCATTGCCTGCTAAAAATTACGTAAGGGCTTGGCATACAGAGCTTTCTCAAGTACAAAAAATAAAACTAAAAGCAGGTCAAACTATGGCCAGAGTACAGGTTTCAGCAAGCATGCAGAGTGGCCTGGTGTGCTGCTGGCAAAGTTGACATTTCAAACATAATCCTTGTTCATTCTAGCCCACCAATAAGAATTTTCTTACCTGACCACCTGCAAAGATGACTGGAGAACTGGACGGCTTGGGCCGGTACGGGATGGTCACGCCCTTCGGGGGGGACTGGGAGAGAGTCAGAGGGGAAAAAAACAAAAAGAGATAAGGTTTCAAAGCTGCTTCAGCTGTGTGGCTTAAGCTCACACAGGTCAGTTAAATTAAAAACTGTATTATAATTTCCATCCCCTCACCTACCAACGTTGTCTCTGGCTAGATCTAATCTCAAATCATCTGCAGTTAATTGCCTTTAAAGCAGTAAGATGGGTCCGTGGACTACACAGCTCACACTAATTCTCATCAAGGCAGATTCCCCTGTAATAATTTACGCATTATTTCCATGTTTTCAAATAAACCTAATGAACATGACACACCTCTATGCGTACATATGTAGTTGATAATTTAAGATCTTACGTTTTGGCCTAAATAGGAAATGAAGCCAAAAATAATGTACCCAAATGTTATGCCTGAAAAAATATACATGGTCAGTAAATAGTTCAAAGGCTCAATCAACATTTTTCTAAATTCTACTTGAAAATTCTTTCTTTCATCATGAGTATAGTAACATCTCAACAGCAATTCTAAATGTTTTATTTTCCCTTAATTTTGCTATTCTTGTTTTAACTGAATAGCATATACTACCAGGACCTCATAAACACCATTATGGCTAAGTTTTTTTCCTACAGAAATATCTTGAATATAATCTTGCTTTAAAACATGGAAATTAATTTGAAGGATATGTCAAATTTGCCTACAGCCGAAATATTGTAATCCAAAGGCAACTTAAAAAACTCGGTTTCTCTGGGGCGCCTGGGTGGCTCAGTTGGTTAAGCATCCGACTTCGGCTCAGGTCAGATCTCATGGTTCATGGGTTCGAGCCCACCATCAGGCTCTGTGCTGACAGCTCAGAGCCTGGAGCCTGTTTCAGATTATGTGTCTTCCTCTCTCTCTGCCCCTCCCCCACTCATGCTCTGTGTCTCTGTCTCAAAAACAAACTAAAAAAAACAAAACAAAACAAAACAAAAAAAACACCCCGGTTTCTCTGGAACCCAGTTATATCTTTTGTCCACTCAGGCCAAGTAGTGAATCTTCCCCTACCAACCCTGCTAGAATTGCTGTAAACCAAAAGATCACGGCTGCTTAGCAGTTTCTATTTTTGCTCAGACTATAAGAAAAGTCAAAGCTGGGGGGAGGAAAATATGAACTCAGGGAACCTCTTCCCCACCCCCACTGGAGGCTTCTAACTGCTTCACCTAATTCTAGTCTCACTAAATATAGATCAGTCTGTCTCCCTAGAATCACCCTCCCCCCATTCTCAGCATGAGCCTGAGGGCTTACCTCCAACATGACCACGCAGATCTGTTTCACGCACTCAATGATGGATTGAGGAATGCCAGCAATAGTGATGGCCCGCTCAGTTGAGTTGGGGAGCATATCCCCTGCCACCTGGACCTGTGCCCCTGTACTCTTTGGGGTAGAAAGAAATTTTTAAAAATCAGAGATAAACAATTCATGCTCTTCCAATTCCTCAAGCAGCAATTTTAGAGTCTAAAGAGCAGCAGAGATACTATCCCATCTCCTATTTTACCCTTTATATCCTCCCTTCCCACTCTTCCCTTATTCCAGATAGAACTGTTTAATCACAGTTATAAATAAATTAGCCTCTGAAAGTCAGTAACAGCCTAAATTTAAGCTGCTCTCAAGAAAAAGGTCCAACTAGACAGTTTCCTTTCAGCTAATGACAGCTTCATGAGCCATCAAAGTCCCCACAAACATCACCCACTTTTCATTCTCTTATTAAACAAATATTTATATAACGCCCATTCTATGCATCAGGCACCATTCCAGTTTGTTGGAATACATCAACAAAGCCAAAATCCCTGCTCTTGTAGCATGTACAATATGCTCCCGAAAACTCCTTTAGGAGCCATTCAAATTTCATTCCAATATCCAATTCAGTAACCTCCAGATACTACTAAAAGCTTCCATAATTCAGTCTGAATTCCAGTCTAAAAGGGAGCAGGATTACAACTACACCCTAATATACTTTCCTGTTTTCCCTTTGTTATTTAGGTGTTTGGCCAAAGAAAATTATTGGCCACTATTATATATCAAACTCTAATCTCTTTAGACAAACAAAAAAGCACAGTCTCATGGACAAGTTGCCAAATGAAAAAGGGAAACAGACCATATGCAACAGTTAGAAATTCTGGTTAACGTTCTGTCTTATTGTTAAGATATATGAATTATAAAAAAAAAAAACAAAAACAAAAAGACTCCTCCACATTATATACATATATCAACTGTATAATACTTTTCCTCCCAATGCACAACTAAATCATAATTGTCTAGCACTACTACTTCAATAATAACTTTCACTGCAAATGTGAACTTTTCCAAGCCATACTAAGAGCTATTAACAGAGGAAGCCATATTTAAAATAATTAACATTTTCAGGACCACAAAAGTTACCAACCTCTCGTATTTCCTTGATCTTGCAACCACCTTTCCCAATGAGAGAGCCACACTGACTAGCAGGGACCACCAGCCTCAGGGTTACTGGGGGTCTACTGGCAGCTGTGCTATTGGTCATAGAGCTGCTGATGTCCTTCAAAAAGAAATTTTAACACAAGAATCTAAGTTTAAGCAGATCCCTGGGACCCATAACTACTATATAAGAACCATTTAACCTTATAAGGGATGTTTCACGTCATGGTCTATCATCAACAAGAGTTCAAACATTGCCCCCTCTATCCCCAAAACAACTACTTCTTTAAAGATAAAAACACCTAGAAACTTTCTGATTATCCCTAAATGCAGTTTCTTTCATCGAGGAAAAAAGGGTTATTTATTTTGGAAATTAGAATTGACTGCAAAAGGAAACAATATCAAAATCCAAATTAAAACATTAAGATGAAACAATGCAGCCCTGAATTCAAATAACCAATTCTGTCCTCATAGAAAATTAGAAAGATTAAGCAGGGTATTTCTATTTATCAGTTTTAATTTCTTGGCAACATCACCATTATACAGATAATGAAATTGAGACCAAGTACTCGTCCCAATCACATCTAAACAGTTGTAGATTTGATAAAAGACTGTACTGACCCCAAAGCCCACTGTCTTTCCCATAATATGCTACATCCAAAAAGTCATGGTTTTAGCCTAGTTAAATTTAGCCCTCTGAAGATTAAGTGGTTTAAACATCACTTCTCAGCCTAATCTCTATGTAGTAGCTAGACCTGAAAAGTGCTTAAACATAAGCCCCTAAAGTCAAGGACACGTTAAAGTACGAATAAATTTCTGAATATTTTTTAAGCTGCAGGCTCTGGATTAGCAGGGCCTTGTAGGTCAAAAGATAACATTTCTGATCTTGGCCAGGATAAAATTTCAGGCACCATTAAGTATCCAACCACCAACCAAGTAGCAGCCAGGAGCTCTCCTCTGCCTGTGGTGTCAAATGCATGATTAGCAGCATTACTGAAGAGGGGGAGGAGGCTGAAGACCTAGGGCAATGGTTATTCAGTGCCTGAAGGTTGAAGGATCTTGCTGAACAAAGAAACAAAAAACAAAGCTTCTTTCTGCCAAAAAATCTCTGGCATTGATATTTTGCTTCTGAAAACCTATAAAACATATGCCCTCCCTCCAAGTATAATTCTGACACAAAGTTAACAGACTGAATTTCTTAAAAATGTACTGCACCCAGGGTTGAAAAATATGTTATTTATTTCATGTATTAGTGTTCATCAGGGCACCTAACAAAAGCATATTTATTTAAGTTCATTCAACTATAAGAGAACACGAAGTTCACCAATGCAGTAGCATCATACCTTCAAAAACTACTGGTCAAAAAAATAAAAAATAAAAATAAAAGACGCTAGTTTTTTACACATCCCCAGTAATAGTCAAGCTACTCCTTTTAATGATTCAAGTGACTTATGATCAAATTTTGGGAACACTGAAGGGGAGAGCAAAGGACCCATTTACAGATTTATGATCCAGTCTGGCCTTGAATTTAGAAAGCTCTTAGAAAATCATTAAGCTATCTTCACTTTAAAACGAAGACAGGGGTGGGGGGAAATGAGTGAAAACAACGAACCTCTTCCAGTTTGTCAATGATCATAGCAAAGGCTTTGAAGATGGCATTAGTGGGTCCAGCCAAAGTGATAATTCTCTCAGGACAATTCCCTTCTGAGATGTTGATACGTGCACCACTCTGGATTAAAAAAACAAAGCCAAGAGGTTAAATAGACAAAAAGATCTGAACATACAGAGAATTCAGTCCCTCCCAAATAAGATGACCAAGGCAGCTGCCTATATGATCTTGACACAAGGCGATTTCAGCATTTCAAACATTGCTCATGTTTCCCCTCCACAGCTCCACAGAAGCTGCCTTAAGGCTTGAATGAATTGAGACGTACTGGAACTGCATTTCCCACCATAGTACATAATTACTAATAACCAAGCCAGAAAAACATCAGATTCTCCTATTGAAACCATCCCCCTTCTAATCACTCATTAAAGAAAAATTTTGCCTTTAAAAGCTTTTTAACAAGCCTTAAACTGGCTTCCCCACCGAACCCCCTGTTAACTCACCTCCTCACGCATCTTCTTAACTGATTCTCCTTTCTGTAAGAGGAAAAGTCCAGAGTGAGCTCTAACCACTATTCAACCAAGACTAACTAAACAGTAATTAGAGTTGAAGTGAAACTGTCTTACCTTTCCGATGATACTGCCAACTTCCTGCAATGGAGAAAACTAGAGTCAAATAAGAGGAAACTCGAAGTGTTTATATCATGAAAAGGAATTTTTAACTCTCCAAAACAATGGAAAAACTCAGATTTACTGGGAAGAGAAGTAGGTAAGTTTACTCTTTTCTTTGCTCAAAAATGAGCAATGATAAACAGTACCAAAGAATACTGAAGGAATAATGATGCAGAAGTGACCCAATGCTACTCTGTGTTTAATATAACTTATTTTTTACAGTACCAAATCTGTAGTTTCCCACAATAGTATGAGCAGAGGTAATCTATTTATCACAAGCTACACCAACCTCCATGAGAAAAATCTTATTATCCAGGTATGAGAGTCTTTGGCTCCATCCCTTAGGTAAGCCTTTCCTGCTCAGTGGAGCTTCCTACTCAAGTCTGTCCATTTTCCCCACTACATTCTCATCTACTGATAGAGGAGTGCTAAAGCCAGATGCCCCACAGTGCTAATCTGATGAGCTCCAAGATGCATGCCCTCTCTTCCTGGCCTCTCCCCGAGCAGTTACTATGACCCAGTTTCCCAAGCTGGTGCATACCTTTCCATGCATAAGTAGCCGGATGGTGAGAGTGACATTTAATCCACCTTCAATCACACCGGTGTCCATGTCGAGCAGTGTTCTGGGGAGCTGGACTTTGAGTGGTCAAGTCTTTGGTCACTGGTGGGGGTGAAAGCCAAAAACTGAAATGCAAACACGACCAAAATCAGCGCGAGAAAAACAATAGGAAAAATAGTTCCCAAAGTCATTTTCACCATTATCAATGTGTTCTGGCTCTATTCCTTAAATGACAGCCTATCAGTTGGCAAGCTTGTATACATCCCAGCACAAGTGCACTAATGACAACCATTTACAGCTCAGGTTCTGTTAAAAGTATGCAAGGAGACTTCAGTCGGCTGTCCTTAATGGTAAGGTTTCCGCTGACTCTCAGAAGGAGGAAGATTCCTTCAATCGGCAATGGATGCAAAGGAACTGCTGAAGGTGCACCAGTTGTCCTTCAACAAAATAAGATTTGACAGCATACAGAAACACCTGGAAATCATGAGGCCAGACCTCAAACTAACCAACTATAGAGAGGCAGATGGCCTTTTGCTTCCCTATTAGGTAGCTTCCCAGGCTCAGGTTAAAAGCAAGAACACATTTTCTCACTTGTAGCAATTTCTAAATTTAAAAAATTGAGATGTAGTTCACGTTACAATTTCAAATGTTGATAGATGACACCAAATAATTTTAATAAGATTTAAATCAACAACCTCACTGAAAATGGCACTATCTGAAAAACCTTCTATGAAGGCTGGGATTCCATACTCCTCTTTGGGAAAAGGCTCAATGCATAGGTACATCCTGAGTCCTTTCTCTCATCCTCTCTCCTGACCCAACTTGATAATCACTCATATTTGAAAATTTGCCTTGCTTCTGTGTATTCTTTGTTACCACTCCACCTTTACTCAAATCTATTAAATCTTAAATTTTCTTCCAAAGAAAACAATGACACTAAAACTGTATTGCTAAAAATTTATTGTATAGTTGCCTTAAGAAACAGCAGGAATAAACCTTTCCTACAGAGAAAGCTCTTTCCCCACCTACCCTCTGAAACAATGTTCCAAACATTTTGGAATAACTACTAGTAGAAAGAGAATATGTTTTTGAATATACCTTTTCCTACGATACCTCCTTAGGACCTAAGGGTGTTAGCTTTAAAAAGGTTCTCCAAAGTTGATAAATTTCACCAGGGACATTTTTAGCAACATCCCTTCAAAGTCAACATCAACGATCTCTCTCCTACAGCTAGTTCCCCCTTCTCAAACCAGCCATCGTTTTAACTTTGTTCTAATACAAAGCCTATCCCTAAACATTTAAAGTGTTTAAGCTGCTGCCAGATTCATTCTGTATATGGCAAGCTGCCTCAGTTACCTCCAGAATATGATTATTTAAAAGACAAGACTTTACATCCCCAAGGCACCTCATTCCCCCACTGTCAAAATAGAATTAATTGTTGGCAAAATCCCAGAATTCAACACTTTTCACTCAGGGAAAAACAACAATGCTGGGGGCGGAGGGGGAAGCAGTTAACTCTTTAAGAATGACTTTTTAATAAGATAGAGAAAAAAAACTGGCACTTTAACTCTTTATCCCCATTCAAATAAATGTAACTGGAGTCACTTTACAAATACCACAGTAACACAAGTTCAAAACAGCAAGAACACTGAAAACCTATTAGAAAGCCATTTCTTGATTAAGGCAGAGAGGTGCATTTCTAACTCCAAACATCCAAGAAATCCCTGTCATTTCTCTCCCGACTAGGTTAATAGAAATGTACCCAATCCCAGAAATCCAGCTGTTAATCCTGCAGTCCATTACCCCTTCTCCTATAAATAGCTCGGCCTGGGTCTACAGCGGCAGTCATTTTGTAATTTCAAAATTCGTTACCCCGAGAGAACGTCCTGAATAACTCGGTAACTGGGAGCCCGTTTACCCTTTCTTTAACTCCGCAGCCCCCCTCCCCTCGGTTATCCAAGGATTTTCCAATTAAAAAATGCCCCCCCCATCCCTCCACCAGAAAAGAGAGAAGGGAAAAAAAATAAACGGTTCGGTCGGGGGGGGGCGCTGCGATCCAGGGGGAGGGGCCGGGCTAGTAGCGCCTCCTCGTGTGGCTGCGCCAGCGCCTGACCCCCGCGGGGAGCCGCGCTCACCCGCCCGGCCAGCAAGCCGGCCATCGCCTCCCCCCACCCCCTTCAACCAACAAATCCACCGCCGCCCCCCCTACCGCGCGCGCGCCCTCCTTGACTCCTGCGCAGCCGCCACCGGGAAAAGGCGGGGGGAGGGGGGTAGGCCTTGCGCGAGGCCTACTAGGCCGCGCCTGAGCCAGGGCCTCGCGTGAATGGCCGGCCAGGCCAACTGAGGGGGTAGGCGCTCACGCGGTACTACGCGAGGCCGGGGCTCGTGACGAGGACCGGAGCCCGCAGAGAAAGATGGCAAGAGCGGAAAGAAAGCTACAGCCGAGGGCGGAGGGAGAATTTTGAAGCTTACCTGCAGGCGCGAGGCGACTGAGGGGAAAAGGGGAGCGGGCGGGAAGGGGAAGGGCGGGAGGCCGGGGGCGGAACAATAGGGGCGGGCGGGAAGGCGAGGGGGGCCCCGCGGGCGGGCGGAGGAGGAAGGGGGGGGAGGAGGAGGAGGAGGAGGAAGGGGGAAAGAGACCCCGGGGCGGGTGGAGGGCGGCGGAGGGCGGGCGGGCGGGCGGAGGGCGGGCGGGCGGGAGAGGGCGCAGGCTGCGGCTGCTCCGGCTGCTGCCTCTGCTGGTCTGGGAGGGGGACGGGGCGGAGCGGCCCGCTTTCAACCCCGCGCACCCTCCGACCCCGGAAGCGCTAACCGCCCCGGGGGCCGGCGAGGCGACTGCGTCGTCCAAACCTTCCCTACGCAATGCGGACGGCCTCCCAACAGCCTAGAGCGGCTCCGTGGACAGCGTCGGCACCAACGAGACAACACCTGGTAGCAGATGGCCAAACCTATGATAGAGCGGCAGCGTAGGAACGGGGAGGAAGCTAGTGTCCCCTAGCGGACAGATTGGAAATCCCAGGTGTGAGTACGGAGAGAGTTGGCAGTCGCCATGGAAAAAGGGAGACAAGTGGGAAAAGGGATGGGTAAGGAGAATGAAAAGAGATGGGAAAAACCTAGTAGTCTACAGTGATACTTAAATAAGAGAAAGATTAAAAAAAACTAATTTGCCACACTGAAGGCAACTTTTAAACCAATTCCTTACTCTGAAAATTAGTAACTAAAAGGAAAGAATTGAGCATTTACTCTCTCTTAGGAAGAATGTAATTCATCCGTTAAGGGAAAATTCTTTTTTTTTTAAGAGTTCCATCCAATAAATGTAGAAAGAATGAAAGAGTTAGAAAATCACCATTCATTTTGCAACCCAAAAATGAAATAATTCATTCAGGCCAGTGTTGTCAAACATCAAAACTTTAAGTAAAAAGTTGTTTCAGTGATCAAACTTTGCCTCACTAATAGCAGGACAACTTTGACATTATGTGGTCCTTGATGAGATACAATAAACACCTAGTATCATCTATTAACTACTCTTGTCATAAGCCCTTAATCTTAATCTAATCAACTTCTACAACAAATTTGCAACGTATGGAAAATTTATGAAATATAAAGGAATAAGTAAAATACATCACACTGCAAAAAGATAATCAGCAAATTCAGAATGCTGGACGGTTTGCAAGACAACCTCCCCAGGCTCTTTAACAAGGCGATGTAATAAAAAAGGAGGAGGAAGAGGTGAATGAGAAGAAAAAGAAATTTAAAAGGAAATAACAACCATAAGGTATGGATCTTGTTTCTTATTTTTAAATAGCTATATAAGACATTTTGGGGACAACTGAGGAAACTCAAACTGAATATCAGCTAATATTAGGAAGTATTGTTAATTTTCTTAAGTGTGATCATGGAATTGTGGTTATGTAGGAGAAATGCTGTTTAGGAGGTACATGATGAAATATTTATGGAGGATGGGTCATGATGTATGCAACAGTCTTTGAAATGATTCACGTAGGTATATTGAAGCAAATATAGGAAAATGTTACCTAGTGGTTAGTATGGGTGGTCAGTTTACAGGTAATCACTGTACTGTTTTTAAACTCTTAAGAAGTAATTTTTAGGGGCACCTGGGTGGCTCAGTTGGTTAAATGTCCGACTTTGGCTCAGGTCATGATCTCATAATTCAGGAGCCCGCATCGGGCTCTATGCTGACAGCTAGCTCAGAGCCTGGAGCCTGTTTCGGATTCTGTGTCTCCCTCTCTCTCTGACCCACCCCTGCTCATGCTGTGTCTCTCTTTCTCTCAGAAATAAAAATAAAACATTAAAAAAAGTACTTTTTACAATAAAAATTGGAAACAATATGATGTGGAATGGAACAAGATTGGCAAAATGTTGATAATTACTGAGGCTAGGTGATGGGAATATAGGTGTTCATTAAACTGCTTTCTCTACTCCTGTGGATGTCTGTAAATTTCCATATTAAAACTCTCGGTGAAAAAAAAAACAAAACTACACACACGCACACACACAGAGAAAAGCTCTGGCAGGGAATAAGACAAAATAAGAGAAGAAAATAAGAGAGAGCAAATATAGGGTTATTCCTGAACCTTGCTCAAGTCTTTTAGGTATCAGTTCTGGCCTTAATATTAGTAAGTTTTATTGGGCAACCCCAATTCAGTGGAGTCATCTGAAGAACAGCTTTCCAAAATGGAAAATACAGCTTGGGTATTCCAGTGCCTCAGGGGCGGGGGACATTAGAAACAACATGAGATAGAAATAAAAAGAAGTGGGGCACCTGGATGGCTCAGTTGATTAAGCGTCTTGACTTTGGCCCAGGTCATGATCTCACAGTTTGTGAGTTCGAGCTCTACATCAGGCTCACTGCTGTAAGCACAGACCCAGCTTCAGATCCTCTGTCCCCCTCTTTTTCTGTTCCTCCCCCATTCCCGCTCATGCTCTCTCTCTCAAAAATAAACATTTTTTTTTAAAAAGAGGAAATAAAAAGAAGTCTGTACTTGGAAAGGCAAGGGGGCAGACCAAATACCAAGAGGAAAGGAAATAAGAAAATGTTAGGACATAACATTTCAAAAAAAATTGTTTTAACTTTTATTTACGTAAGTAATCTCTATATCCAATGTGGGGCTTAAACTCACAACCCCAAGATCAAGAGTCACATGCTCTTCCAAATGAACCAACCAGGTGCCCAGGACAGTAACATTTCAAATCAAACTAAGGAGCAGGCATACTGTGACGCCCAGGCAGAAGGTCAGATTAACCTCAAGATTTTACACTAGGGTCATTTATACTCCAGGGACCCTGTGAGCTGGGGTGAAAGTGAGTGGCTATCCAAGAAGTCCTCGCTAATGTGGAAGGCAGAACAATGATCAAATAAAAGTTCATAAAATAACATCATCCTTAGCATGGCTTCCCAAAGGACTGGGCAACAATTGCAGGCAGCTTTGAAAGAGAAAGATGAAATGCATTTAATAGCAATACATAATAATTTTATGAATCAATAATTTCCTCTCAGAAAGGGAAAGAAAAGAGTGAGTTTGCCTTGAGCCGCAGAATGACCTGATATAGGCATATGCCCAAAAAGGCAGCAAACTGAAGACTCATCCCATGACTGGCAATGCCCAAAGCTAAAGTGGCAAAATTTTTTAACAAAATAATTTTAATGTTTATTTTGAGAGGGGGAGGAGGGGCAGAGAGAGAAGGAGAAAATCCAAAGCAGGTTCCAGGCTCTTAGCTGTCAGCACAGAGCCCGACAAGGGGCTCGAACTCATGAACCATGAGATCATGAGCTGAGCAAAAGTCAGATGCTTAACCAACTGAGCCGCCCAGGCACCCCTAAAGTATCGATTTGTATTGTAGTTTTTTAGAGATTTTTTAAATGATTTTTTTAAATGCTTAATTTATTTTTGAGAGAAAGAGCATAAGCAGGGGAGGTGTAGAGAGCAAAGGAGACAGAGGATTCAAAGTGGGCTCTGCATTGAGAGTGGAGAGCCTCATGTGGGGCTCAAACTCATGAGATGATGGCCTGACCCGAAATTGAACACTTAACCAACTAAACAACCCAGGTGGCTCTCAATTTGTATTTTAGATCTCACGGGTTTCCTGTCCTTTCCCATTGTCAACTGTGAGGAAACCATACTATACTTTGTTTATAGTAGGAAGAGAATGGCAGACTCCTAGATTTCCCTGGTAGATACAAGGTGGTGAAGACATAAGATAAACACATTTGAGAACCACCATCTTTAGTGCTTTATACCAGTGCACAAAATAGGGCGTAAACCCAGTGCTCTCAGGAGACAGGCAAGTTATATAACTGGGAGAAAGAAGGCAACAGGAAGTTGAATGAGAAGACTGGAGAGCACAGGATCCGTCTATAAGGAATAACCACTACTCGGGGCCAGAATGTGCCTTCAGGAACGTGGGCCCACTGTTGCTAGAGTTTCTAGCTTGAACTCTAAATCTTGATTGAAAATATCTGGGAGCACCCGAGTGGGTCAGTCTGTAGAGTATATGACTCTTGATCTCAGAGTTGTGAGATCAAGGCCTACATTGGGCATGGAGGCTACATGAAAAAAAAAATTCTAATATTTAGCACAGAGAATGGGCTCTCAAAAAGAGAGAGAGAGAGAGAGAGACTCACAGCCAGATATAGCCATGGGCATCTGACTTTTCAACCTCAGGTTTTTTTTTTTTTATTTTGAGAGAGAGAGAGAGAGAGAGTGAGAGAGCATATATGAGCAGGAGGGGCAGAGAGAAAGGGAGAGAGTCCCAAGCAGGCTCAGCACGGTCAGCTTGAGCCCAGTGCAGAGCTCAAATTCACAAACCTTGAAAGCATGACCTGAGCGGAAATCAAAAGTCACTCAACTGACTGAGCCACGCAGGAATCCCTCAACCTCAGTTTAAGATAAATATACCAAAATGTTCACTGCAGCAGTTCAGTGGATAGCAAGACTGGAAGCAATCTAAAAGTCCAACAATAAAAGACTGGGTAAATTGAATGGTGCTAAAACAAGGTCGTAAGCACTAGCACACTTCCACGCGTGCACACACATACACACAGATGGGATCGACTCCAAGACAGACAATTAAATGAGAAAATGTTAGGTCCAAAAGAGGACCTAGAGGGGCACCTGAGTGGCTCAGTCAGTTAAGCGTCCGATTTCAGCTCAGGTCATGATCTCACGGTTCGTGGGTTCGAGCCTCACATCGGGCTCTGAGGACCGGAGCGCCTGGGTGACTCAGTCAGTTAAGTGTCTGACTTCAGCTCAGGTCATGATCTCGCGGTTTGTGGGTTCAAGCCCTGCGTCAGGCTCTGTGCTGACAGCTAGCTCAGAGTCTGGAGCCTATTTCAGATTCTGTGTCTCCCTCTCTCTCTGACCCTCCCCTGCTCACGCTGTCTCTCTCTCTCAGAAATAAATAAAACATTAAAAAAAAAAAAGAGGACCTAGAGTATGCCCCCATATAAAGTAAGGGAGGGGGACAATAGAACAATATAAGATAGAAATAAAAAGGGGGCACTTGACTCTGCACAGAATAGCTCTGGAAGTTTTCAAAAGTATCTGGTAGTTGTGATTGGCTCCTTCTCTGAGAAGAGAGGAGAATCTTTTCACTGAATTTCCTATTAAAATGTTACAATCTGGGGGCACCTCGGTGGCTCAGTTGGTTAAGTGTCCAACTTCGGCTCAGGTCAGGATCTTATGGTTTGTGGGTTTGTGAGATCAAGCCCTGCATCTGGCTCTGTGCTCTCAGCGTAGAACCTGCTTTAGATACTCTGTCCTCCTCTCTCTCTGCCCTCCCTGCTCCTGCTATCTCTCTCTCAAAAACAAACAAACATTTTTTTTCAAAAATGTTACCATCTGGGGCCCCTGGCTGGTTCAGTAGGTGGGGCGTGCAACTTCTGATTTCTGGGTCATGAGTTCCAGCCCCAGGCTGAGCATACAGCTTACTTAAAAAAAATAGATAAATTTTAAAAGATAAAACAACAAGTTACAGTCTTTTTCTCAAGTACATGTATTACTTTCAGCTATTAAAAAGTTAGTAAATTTTGGGAGCGCCTCGGTTGCTCAGTTGGTTAAGCATCTGACTCCTCTTTTCAGCTCAGGTCATAATATCACAATTTGTTGGGATTGAACCCCACATTTAGGCTCTGTCTGCACTGAGAGAGCCTGCTTGGGATTCTCTCTCTCTGCCCCTCCCATGCTCTGTCTCTCAAAATAAATAAACTTTCTTAAAAAGTTAAAAAAATAAAAATATAAAAAGTTGATAAATTTTTGAGAAGTAACAATATCAAAACAACAGCAAGGCACTGTGTGTATGGCTTAGAAAAGCCAGGAAGGGGAGATGTGCTCTCCATGATTAAGAGTGGGGACAAAGGGCGCACCTGAATGACTCAGTCCGTTAAGCCTCCAACTTCAGCTCAGGTCATGATTTCATGATTCATTGGTTCGAGCCCCGCATGGGGTTCAGTTCCTGTCTCCCTCCCTCTCTCTCTCTCTCTCTCAAAAATAAACATTAGGGGCACCTGGGTGGCCCAGTTGGTGAAGTGTCCAACTTCAGCTAAGGTCATGCTCTCGTGATTTGTGAGTTCGAGCCCACATGGCGCTCTGCGCTGACAGCTCAGAGCCTGGAGCCTGCTTTGGATTCTGTGTGTCTCTCTCTGCCTCTCCCCTACTTGCACTCTGTCTCTCTAAAATGAATAAATGTTAAAACTTTTTAATAAAATAAAATGAATAAATAAACATTAAAAAAAGAGAGTGGAGTGCCTGGGTGGCTGAGTTGGTTAAGCGTTTGACTTCAGCTCAGCTCATGATCTCATGGTTCATGGGTTCAGGTCCCACAAGGGACTCTGTGCTCACAGCTCAGAGCCTGGAGACTACTTTCAGTTCTGTGTCTCTGTCCCTCCTCTGCTCATGTTGTCTGTCTCTTTCTCAAAATAAACAAACATTAAAAAGAGAGGCAGGGGAGAAAGGAAGTGAGTTTCTTCCCTAATTTCGTGATTTCTCTTTGTGTTTTCCCCTTCTAGCCCCTGCTATGTTTCTCCTTATTTCTAGCTTGACAACATCTGTTTCTCTTCACCCCACAATGCCCCTATGCCCACATCTCCCTTCTCAAAAAAGAAGAGCTGATGAATTCTGAAAACTCTTGATTTCAGCTCAGGTCATGATCCCAGGATCATGGGATCGAGCCCCAAGTCAGGCTCCACACAGAGGCTTAAGATCCTCTCTCTCCTCCTCTCCCATGCACACACATGCTCTCTCCCTCTAAAATGAATGAATGAGGGGCGCCTGGGTGGCTCAGTCGGTTAAGCGTCCGACTTCGGCTCAGGTCAGATCTCACGGGTCGTGGGTTCGAACCCCACATCAGGCTCTGTGCTGAGAGCTCAGAGCCTAGAGCCTGTTTCAGATTCTGTGTCTGTCTCTCTCTGCCCCTCCCCCACTCATGCTGTTTCTCTCTGTCTCAAAATAAATAAACTATAAAAAAAAATTAAAATGAATGAATGAATGAATAATGGAGAATAACGAGAAGAAAACATTAGAATGGTTCTCAAATCCAAGACACTAACAAAGCAGGCTTTGGTCTTGGATTTCCTATCAAATAGAAGCAAGCTTTAAAATATAGAATGACCTAGGGATGCCTGGGTGGCTCAGTCAGTTAAGCCTCCAACTTCAGCTCAGAGTATGATCTCGTGGTTCATGAGCTGGAGCCCCACACCAGGCTCTGTGCTGAGAGCCTGGCCTGGATCCTGCTTCGAATTCTGCGTCTCCCTCTCTCTCTCTACCCCTCCCCCACACTCTCTCTCTCTAAAAAATAAACATTAAAATTTTTTTTTTAATATAGAAAGGTCTGAGGCATTTATTTCATATAACTCACATCAGGGCCAAGTCATAGATGCAATACAGCCAACTAAAAATGTTCCTTCCCGGGGCGCCTGGGTGGCTTAGTCGGTTAAGCGTCTGACTTTCGCTTAGGTCATGATCTCACGGTTCGTGGGTTCGAGCCCCGCGTCGGGCTCTGTGCTGACTGCCAGCTCAGAGCCTGGAGCCTGTTTCAGTCTGTGACTCCCTCTCTCTCTGACCCTCCCCTGCTCACGCTCTCTCTCTCTCTCTCTCGAAATAAAAAAAAAAAAAAAAAACCTTAAAAAAAAATTAAAAAAAAAAAAATGTTCCTTCCCTGTTCTTCAAACCCAACACTCCATCCTCAAGCCCTGTGGGTTCCACCTCAGAAACATCTCTCAAGTCTACTCCCTCTAGCTCAGCTCCCCGACTTCAGCCTCATTTTCTGCATTTGGGCTCCTGGATGGTAACTCAGTCTCAAGGACTAAACTTTCATTATACCCCCATTTTTTTAAATGTTAATTTATTGAGAGAGAGAGAGAGAGAGGACACGGAGGAGAGGCGGAGGGAGAGGAAGAGAGAGAATCCCAAGCAGGCTCCATGCTGTCTGCGCAGAGCCCAACTTGGGGCTCAATCCCACAACCATGAGATAATGACCTGAGCCCAAATCAATGGTAGGATGCTCAACCGGCCAAGCCACCCAGACACCCCTCATCCTACCCCTATTTACAACTCTGTGCCTCTGTAAAGCTGTTTCTTCTGCCTGGAATCCATTGGGTTAAGAGCACAGACTCAGGAGACTGACTGCCTGAGTTTGAATCCTGACTGATGAACCACTTCTTGTGTCAGTTTTCTTTACCCACAAAATGGGTAAAGAAATGGTACCTACCTCATAGAGTTGCTGTGAGGATTATAGAAGTTATAAACATAAAGCCCACAATAAATTGCTCAGTGTTAGCTGGTATTGTTTACCAACTGGGCAACTCCTACTTTTTTGAAGCCCAGCCTGGATCTAGTTCCTTTCCCAGTGGCACTGCCACTCCTTCCTTTGTTCTCTCACTGCTTGATCCATGTATCTGTTGTGGTCCTTTTCACTGTAGTACAGTAATCTATTTACGTGTCCATCTGTTCCATTAGATCTTGTGAATCATGAAAGGCAGGAACTGTCTTATTCATCTCTGTAGCTTCAGCACCCAGAACACGGTATTTCCTCAATAAACAATTTTCTAGAAAACCAATCTAGCCCCACTGGGAGACCTGTGATTCCCAAACATACTATGGGATTCTGTGACTCTGTACCTAAGCACACATACCTTTCCCAGCTCCTCTCCCCACCCCACTTGGAAAATCCATTCTTTTTTTTTCTACTCATACTTTCCATGCTCCAGGCCCAAGAGGCAGTTGAAATGTCACTTTTCCTGAGGAGTCATCTTTGACTCCTCCTTCCCTTATATTTATTTCTAGGTTTATATCCCTCTAGCATTTTATAACATCTATCTTTATTAATTGGTTCTCTTGGATGTCTTTTCCCTCTCCTCAGATCTTTGAGAACCTGACATGTAGCACCAGGCATGGCGAAAAGTAAATCAGGGGCCACCAATTTTGTTCTGCCTCACAATCGCCCACATGTTTTCTTAAAAATAGTGATTTGTAGGGCCCAATCCTTGAGGGTCTTATTCAATAGGTTTGGGGCAAAACACTAAATCATTCTGATAGCTGATGGGCAGCCAGGGTTAAGAACCACTGTAGCAGATATGAAAACTTAAGCTAAAGACCTATTTCTGTTCATTGAAGGGAAGACAGTAAAGATTCATTCCAGTAGGCTGAATCAATTCTGAAGGTTCCTCTCACTTAAGAAACATAGAGACAATATGGTGTCCTCCTCACTGAAGCTCTAGTTTCTTGACATGAAACTGATACACTTTGGAGGGTCTACGGAAGGGCAGCAAAAGTGGTAGAATGTGCCGGGCCCAACCAAGGTAATGGCACAGGTGAACAGAGACAAGGAAAAACAGTTTTATTTGCACGGAGAGTTGGAGAATAAGAAGGACCTGAGCCAGCCTACCACGCTAAGGAGTGAGATTAGGTTCCAAATGGACTCCACCTCCCAGCAGCCTTCCAGTTAGTATGATCAATAAAGGCCTGCTGGGAAATGTATTTGCCACTGAATCACCAAAGTGTGCCAGCCACCTTACAAAAACAGTTTCTTTTTCCTCCATAGTTAAATCTCCACAACAGCTCCCAACTACAAGTATTGCAGACGAAAAAGTTTAAAAACAAACACATTTTACAGATCTTAAACTTGTCTTTGGGATTTGGCTCAAAGGCCTCATCATCCTCCAAACATAGTCCTGCTAAACTCATCATCCAAGTAGTGAGAAAAAGGTCTTTGCTGGCCCGTGGGAGTTCTTTTCCCATTTTCCCTAGGCAGTTAGGGCTGACCAGCAGAGTAAGGTGAAGATTGGGGGGTGAGCGAGGAAGGGCACAAGAGCTAATTTTCCCTGGTAACAAGATGGCATCTGAAGCTTGATGGGAGAGCAGAACTGGAGAGGCTTGAGGGAAGGGTCCAGGCCCTGCATTCAGTCAGAGTCACTGCTGGAAGAGGAGGAGGAAGAGGAGGAATGCTGCAATGGGAAAGGGGAAACGAGACAGCATCAGATCCAATGACCATTGATCACTCCATGGGACATTCTTTGGTGCTCTTCCCCTCCGCCCAGCGCCCCCTTGCTTCCTCAGAAGGTCAGCAGTTTTGAAACAGACTGTCCCTTATAACAGCAAAAGCAAAGCATGTCTTTCAGCAGTGAACATATAGGAGTGGGTTAAACCCTCCTAAACTATTGCACAGAACTTTAATACTGCACTTGGAGCATATCTCCAGCTTTCTCTACCTGACTCAGTGTCTCGGCAAGGGATACATTACCGGCACTAGCATAGCGTAGTGCTAAAAGAAAGCTGCTACCTTACAAATGCTTACTGATGGGTCGCATGGAAAGTTCTCATAGCTATGATTCTAAGACAAGTGAGTAGAAACAGAAGCTGTGGGCCCATCTATCTACTTTTTCCTAGTCCCGAAAGGGAGAAAGTGAGGAAGGTGGAAGAGAAGGCGGGGAGAGTACTAGTCAAGGTTCTTTACACGCGTACTGCCATCAACTGCCATCAAAAACACTTTTGAGTCTCTCCAGGGTAATTTCTCCCGCAATTTAACCTCATCTTTCCTTCTCCTCAAGCTTCTACCAAAGGCCTAGGACCAGGAGGTAGTGCCCAAAGCCCTAAGGCAAATAAATAAACACTAGGCAGAAAAAGGTAAACTAAGGCCTCCTCAAGATCCAGGTTGGTTTATGGCCTTCCAGAGTTTTCCTGAGAGCTACTTGCTAGTTAACACTCTTCTAGAAGGAAGCTGCTTCACCTTGGGGCTGTGGGTGAACTTTTTATCTGAAGCTGACAGTCACTGAGAGTCGTTCTGGGTGGCAGGACAAAAAGGCCCATGTACTTAACACAACACCCCGAGAACACTGAAGGTGGGTGTGTATCCAAGTTGCTATAACAATTATCTGGGGTCGGGGATGGGAAAACAAAAGTTCTAGCAGAGAGACAGACAGACAGGAAGGGCTTTAGATTCCAGTATCTATTCTAAGGCTCAGCCTAGCTCTCCCTGATACAAAGTCCAATTAGCCTGATATTTCAAGATCATCAGATTCTTACCAGTGGGAATCCTTTACAAAGAAGAACCATCTACCAGAGCCACATAATGGCTCCTCCACATCCTCTGACTGCAATCCCCCCTTGCCCATTCCCGCCAGCCCAGTCCCTGTGAGGGGGCACCCCTGCCTAGCCAGGCTCGGGAGGGCACTGACCTTGCCATGCTTGTGGTGTTTGTGCATCTTTTTATGAGCTTTCTTCATTTTCTTCCTCATCTTCTTGTCCATCACCATTCCCGGTCCTACCATGCCAGGTGCCAAGGGATTCACAGGAGGCATGCCAGGAGCAGGTGGTGGGTAGGGAGGTGGGTAGGGACCTAGGGGTTGCCATCCTGGATACCCTGGTTGTGGCACCGGAGGGGGGCCACCTGGGGGGAAAGCTGGATTCCCCTGAGGGGCTGCCGGAGGAGTTGGAAAGGGGCCTGGGGGATAGGCAGGATTTACAGGTGGTGGTGGATGGGCAGGACTGGAACCTCCGGGGAACCCAAGGTTAGGAGGGTATGGATTTGGCCCTGGTTGCCCTGGTGGAAGAAACAAAGAATAAATTAAGGTCAGAACTGCTCAGACCCTCTGACAACAAGGTCTGCTCAGACCTTTTGACAATGCCTACAAAAAGAATGGTCCCGTTTCTCACTCAATGCTTAGAGGGAAACGCAAAGGTGAGGAAGGAGAATGGAGCATAGGGGAGACACAGCTGTGTAGGAGAGAAAGGTAAGGACTGACAGGGCGTGGGGGAGAGGGAGACCGTGAACTCTAAGGAAAGAGCACTGGTCAGCTGTGGCCTAAGGACTGCTTTTGCGGTCTAGAAAGGCAGAGGAAAAACCGACATGAAAACTTCCTGTTGTGGGGCTCATAGGAAAAGGGGTAGGGGTGAGAGAAGAGATCCCCCAAGTACCTACCGGCATTGGGATTCCACATGTTCAGGTGTTTCCTCCAGCCTGAGGAGAAAGAAATGGCAGGAAGATGACGGTGCGGAGATGGGAAAGGGATGTTGCCCCCGAGCCCAAACCCAACGCCTCTAGCCCCGCAGCAGACTCAGAGACAACTTCCAGGACCTCCACATAAATGCTTTTTTCCACCCGTTCCTTCGCCCTACCTAGTTTTTCCCCCTCGTTTCTTAAGTACAGGAATCTAGCTTCTAGGATCTCTCCACCTTCCACTACCCTTGGCTGCAGCTGGAGGTCTCTAATTCCTCAGGAGAGGGGCAGAGTCCGCGAATCTCACTCCCTTTCCGTGGGGACTTAAACCACCCACAGGCTACAGAAGGATCTTAATTTTACCGGCCCCACCTCGGGAGGGGGGAGGGAGACAGGACCACCACCCCACCCCCACCAACTTAAGAGAAGGACCCGCCTCCCGGCGAAACAGGGTAGGAGGCTCAGGAGAGATCCCCAGCCGCTTACAAATGTAGTAGACACACCCCCTTCCGCGTTAGAAAGAGCAAATGGAGATCCTGGCTCCCGGCTGCGAAGAGACCCCTGACCCGGGGACGGGGAAAGGAGGAAACTGGGGAACCCAGATGCCCGGTCACCTTTACGCCACCGCCAGAGCTTGACTCATCCTCGGCTCTCACTTCCTGGTCACCCCCAACCCTAGGCTTCAGCACCCGCCTCTGCCACCACAATTGGTAATTACGTGATCATTCAGCGTCAGTGATTGGAGAACACACTCATCAATCAGTCTAGTCCGAACTAGGCTAGAGGACAACCGTTGCAAAAGGGGCGGAACGGGGCTGCCCTGGCGGAGGCGGGTGCAGAGGGGCGGGCCGGTCGGAAATCCCTGGGGGCGGGGCCAAGAGAGACCTACAAGACCTAGGAGCGAGTTTCTGGGCAAAGTCCCTGGAGGGGCCTTGAGGAAACTCAGCCCATGCCCTCTGAGGTCATAGTCCAAAGGGTGCGACACCTTGTAAGGTGAATAATACACCATGGCAAGTATTGTAACACGGATATACAGAGCATTTAAGAAAGGGCGGGGAGCTGCTGAGTCTCAGCCCCAAACCTTAATTTCACCACCTTCCTCCTAGCTGCTGTGGAAAGGTAAAGAAACGTGCTTGGGCGAAATACAGAGATTTCTTAATCCCTCCTTGGAGGCCCTATTTTAGTTTCATCACTCTGCTATCTGTCGACTTGGCTAAAACTGATAGCAAGAAGGTCTCCCTCCCCTCCCACCCCCACCCCCACCCCCACCCCCGCCATAAGTAAGCGCAACGCCCAATGTGGGGCTTGAACTCACAACCTTGAGATCAGAGTGGCATGCTCTTGGGGGCGCCTGGCTGCCTCAGTGGAAGAACATGAGACCCTTGATCTCTGGGCCCTGAGTTTGAGCCCCAAGTAGGCTGTAGAAATTTTTCAAATAAATAAAGGAATAACAAACAAAAAACAAGAGTGGCATGTTCTGTGGACTGAGCCAGCCATGATCCCCTAAAGAGGTTATCCTTGATGGTTCTCTTCTTCGCCTTTCCCTCATCCCCTTTCAACGCCACGAAGTGTTCATTTTGTCTCTCAAATAAATCTGAATGCCTTCCACTTCTCTCCATCTTTCCTGATCCCAACCTACCATCGTCTCTGGACTATGTTGCTGCCATGGCCTTTTTTTTTTTTCTTTTTTTAAATCACAATAAACAAGCTAGTTTTAATAAACAGAAAACCATACACTCCAAACTTAAAAATACTCATCCTTGGGGTGCCTGGGTAGCTCAGTTGGTTAAGCACTGGACTCTTGATTTCTGCTCACATGATCTTAAGGTCATCGGATTAAGCCTCACTCACATCAAGCTCTGCACTGACTGCACTGACCCTGCTTGGGATTCTCTCCCTCTCTTTGCCCTTCCTCCCCTCAAATAAATAAACAATTTTTTAAAATACTCCCATTCTTCCTAAGCGTACTTATGTAAAAATTGGTCTCAACTAATATAATTCAAACTTCAAAGAATTGTAGAATACATACTTTATTCTCTACTCACAATTTAAAATATAGATACAAACATATCTGGAAATTTAAGAAAACAAACAAAAAGGCTCCCAAATAACTCTGGGTCAAAGAAATTGATGGAAATTAATGATGGAAATTAAATACTTTGAACTAAATCATAATGAAAATATTACATCCCAGATTTGTGAGATACAAGAAATATGAAGAAGATTAATTTTATATTGAATTAAGGATTTTGATAGATTTAAAAAATTTTTTAATGTTTTTTATTTATTTTTGAGAGAGAGTGTGAGTGAGGGAGTGGCAGAAAGAAGGGGACAGAGGATCCAAAGTGGGCTCTGCGCTGACAGCAGGGAGCCTGAGGTGGGGCTTACACTCACAAATTGTGAGATAACGACCTGCGCTGAAGTCAAGACACTCAACTGACTGAGCCACCCATGTGCCCCAATACTTTTTATGTTGAAATAATTTTTAGACTCACAAGAGGTTGCAAAAAACCTAGAATCCCCATTTACCTACCCCTCCCCAATAATATCTTACATAACCACAGCACATTTTGATATATTTTCTTATCAGCTTTGTACTAAATATTTGAAATGAATTGGAATATTTTCTATTTTTCTTAATCTCTAAGACAATCTATATCTATATTATTTCTTTCTTGGAAGATTGGGTTTGAAAGAAATTACTGGTGTATCTATATGGGCATAATGCCTTTTAGAAGTTAAATACTTCATTGGGTTCCTGGGTGGCTCAGTTAGCTAAGCATCCGACTTTGGCTCAGGTAATGGTTCATGAGTTCGAGCCCTGCATTGAGCTCTCTGCTGTCAGTGCAAACCTTGTTTCGGATACTCTGCCCCCTCTCTCTTCCTCTCCCTGTTTGTGCTCTTTATTTCTTTTAAAAATTTTTTAAAATGTAAAGAAATATTTTTCATAAGCGCTCCAAAATGGAAACAAATCCCATCAATGTCCATCAACAGATAAATCGTTAAAGTGTGGTATGTGTGTACAATGGTATATTATTCAGCCTTAAAAGGAAGGAAATTCTAACACATGCTCAAACACGGATAAACCTTGAAGATATTATGCTAAGTGAAATAAGCCAGGCATAAAAGGAAAAATACTGTATGATTCCATTCGTATGAGGTACCTACAGTCATCAAATTTAGAGATAGAAAGTAATTGTCAGGGACTGGAGAATGGAAAGTCGTTGTTTAGTGGGCACAGAGGCTCAGTTGGGAAAGGTGAAAAAGTGCTAGAGAAGAATAGTGGTCATAGTTGCACAACAAAGTAAATGTACTTAATGGCACTAAACTGTACCCTTAAAAATTGTGATAAGAATTTAAAAAAACAAACAAACAAACAAACAACCAAACCCATTCTGGCTACTGTGTGAGGAAAGAACAAGATAGGGAGAGGTGGTTAAAATGGAAGCAGGGAAGCGCCTGGGTGGTTCAGTCGCTTGGGCATCTCCCTTACCTGAGGAAGGGAAAAATCAGAAGAAAGTGTGAACAAAGCACTCAAGGAGGAAGCTATCAAATATGTCAAATGTTGCTGATAAATTATGTAGGGCGCCATCTGAGAACTGGCCATTGGATTTTAAAAAGATAGTGAACTTTTTAAAAAAATAATTTATTTTATTTGAGAGAGAGAGAGAGAGAGCAAAACCCAAGAAGGCTCCATGCTCAGTGCAGAGCCTGACACAGGGCTTGATCCCATGACCGTGAGATCATGACCTGAGCTGAAATCAAGATTCAGATGCTCAACCGACTGAGCCCCCCAAGCCCCCCAAGGATAGTGAACTTTTTAATAGCAGTTTTAATGACATGGTAGAGATGAAATTTTGCCTGAAACAAGTTGAGGGAAAAATGAGAAATGAGGAAGTGGGGACAGCAAATAAAAGCAATTCTTCCAAGGAGTGTTGGTAAATAAGGAAACAGAGCAGTGGAACAGTAATCAGAAGAGGGTGACGGGGGGCGTGCAAGTGGGAGAGAGGCAGAGAGAGAGGGTCAGAGGATCTGAGGCAGGCTCCATGCTGACAGGCTGACAGCAGAAAGCCTGATGTGGGGCTTGACCCCATGAACTGTGAGATTGTGACCTGAGCCGAAGTTGGATACTCATCCTACCAAGGCACCTAGGAGCCCCTAGAAAGGGCTATTTAAGATGGGAGAGTTCAAAGCATGTTTGTAAACTGATGGGAATAATCCAGTAGAGAGAAAAAATGAAATTGCTAGAGAACAAAGAGACCATTGAACAAACAAAGTGACCAGAAAGAGTAAGGTTTCAGTCCATGGATGGAGGCACTGACCTTAGATAGGTCACAGGGCACAGTTCAGTGGTTGAGAGAATGAGTTCTGGAGCCAGACTGCTTACTTTATGACTCTGGACAAGACACTTAAAAAGAAACTTCCAGGGGCACCTGGGTGGTTCAGTTGGTTAAGGGTCAGGCTCTTTCTCTCTCTCTCTCTTTTTTTAAATTAAAGTTTATTTATTTATTTATTTATTTTGAGAGAGAGACAGAGACAGAGAGGGAAGGAGGGACAGAAAGAGAGGGAGAGAGAGAATCCCAAGCAGGCTCCACACTGTCAGCTAAGAGCCCAACTCAGGGCTCAGGCCCAGGAACTACAAGATCATGACCTCAGCCGAAATCGAGAGTTGGATATTTAACTGATTGAGTCACCCAGGTGTCCCCCATCCAACTCTGGATTTTAGCTCAGGTCATGATCTCAAGGTTCATGAGATTCAGCCCCACTTTGGGCTCTGCAGTGACAATGTGGAGCCTGCTTGGAATTCTCTCTCCCCCCCACCACCCCTTCCCCACTCTCTCTCTCTCTTAAAATAAATAAATACAATTGTTTTAAAAAACTAATTAGGGGTGCCTGAGTGGCTCAGTTGGTTAAGCGTCCGACTTTGGCTCAGGTATGATCTCATGGTTCGTGGGTTCGAGCCCCATGTCGGGCTCTGTGCTGACAGCCAGCTCAGAACTTGGATCCTGTTTCGGATTCTGTGTCTCCCTCTCTCTCTGACCCTCCCCTGTTCATGCTGTCTCTCTCTCCCTCAGAAATAAATAAAACATTAAAAAAAAATTAAACCCCCCCCAAAAAAAACAACTAATTAAAAAAATTTCCAGGCCTCAGTTTCCTCATCTATAAGATGAAGGATCATAATAATACTCAATTTATAGTGAGGTTTAATAGGTTTAAAATTTTTTTTTAACATTTAGTCATTTTTGAGAGGGGGGGGGAGGGGCAGAGAAAGAAGGAGACACAGAATCCAAAGCAGGTTCTAGGGTATGAGCTGTCAGCACAGAGCCTGACTCGTATAGGGAGGTTTAAATGATTTAATACACGCGAAGGATTTAGAACACCACTGGACATACAGTAAGCCCTATATATGTATCAGCTGTTATTATTGTAATAGGAGGGATCAGAGTCTACAGGTCCAGATGCAAATACATTGGTAGATTGCATGGTGGGAAAATGCAAGCATTCTTTGCTGATTGCTGTCCCTTTTTCCCCCCTACTTCGGGGAAGTAAAAAGCAAGGTTCATCAGTTGATAGGGAGGTGGGAGGAGAAGGTTAGAAATAATCATCTCAGAAAGTGGGCAAATGAATTGACTAGGGAACTGTAATAGGGTTTCTGGGCAGCATGAAGGGCCCACTTGAGTTTGTGAGCCAAGTGTATAAAGTGAGACCAGTCACC